CAACTCAAATTCTCCCACAAAATCCACCCGTCCCTCAAATTCTAACACAAATTCACCCGCAAAATCCACCGGTCCCTCCCCTAACCCCAAAACCATTCCAGCGCCACCCCCCCCCCCCCCTCGTTTAGCCAACCTCCTACCTAGCCCATCACCAAGAACCCCTCCACCTCCACTCCCCCCACGTCCATCTCATCCATCCACCTCCAACCCCCCCTCGTCCAACACCCAAGAACCACCCACCTCTCCATCCTCCTCCCTCCTCTCCCTAGGATGCACAGGGTCTCTGCTTCGCAGCCACTGGCAGTCTAGGTAGAGAAGAGACCCGGCTGGGGCCCTGTCATGAAGCCACCTGTGCCATTCCCTTAGTGATAACACAAAGAATACATAACAGAAAAACACCTGAAGTTAGTCAGTCTAATCTGGAAAATCTAATTCTTGTTCCGTGTAAAAATCAGCTGACCACAACCGCTGACACTGAATCCTTGAAACTTGCTATGCTAAATGTCAGATCTCTTTCTAACAAGTCTTTTTTAATCAATAATTTTATTTGTTCTCATAATCTTGATCTTATGTTCATGGCTGAAACTTGGCTGGACCAAAATACAGAAAATGCAGTTTTAATAGAAGCATCACCACCAAATTTCAAATTTGGATCTGAAATACGGGGAAACAAAAAAGGAGGAGGCTTAGCTGCCATTTTTAGAGACCACTTTGTCTCCCATAGAATGTCTCTTGGGAAGTTTTTGTCATTTGAATATGTGTCTTTTAAAATACAACAAAAACAATCTCCTCCAATACTTTTCGTTGTCCTATACAAGCCACCGCAGTCATGTCACAGTTTTATTGATAATTTTACCGAGCTGCTTTCAGTTGTATGCACAGATTTTGATAGTTTAGTTATTACAGGTGATTTCAATATTCATGTGGATAATGTTAATGACAGAAATGCAAAAGAGCTGAGTTCTTTACTTGATACCTTTGGTCTCACTCAGCCTGTGAGTGGCCCCACCCACAGCAGAGGGCACACTCTAGACCTGTTAGTTACTAAGGGGGTGAATATTTCTAATGTAAACGTGGTCGATGTTGCGCTTTCGGATCATTTTTGTATATTTTTTGACATGTGTTTCACTAACGAACCACCAGTGGACTCTGCAACCGTTCGAAGAAGACACATAAATGAAAATACGAGTGAACTATTTATGGGAATGATAAACTTTGAAAATGCATCGTATTCTACTGTGGATGAACTGTTTAACTCTGTCACCTCTAGTGTTTTGAATGTTCTGGATACCGTTGCCCCTGTGAAGGTTAAAATAGTGAAAAATAAGCAGAAGGCGCCGTGGGCTAAAGCAGACTCGGTCAGAGCACTGAAGAGAAAGTGCCGGAGGGCCGAGCGGAAGTGGCGCAAGTCCAACCTCCAGGTTGATTACAAGATATTCAAGGATAAGTTGTGTGAGTTTAACCGGGTGCTACGTAGTACGAGAGAAAGGTATTTTTCTGAAATGATTGAAGGCTGCAGTAACAATCTGCGTGTTCTGTTTTCAACAGTTAATAGATTAACAAACCCCCCTGTTCAGATGCCATTAGAGCTTACTTCCAAACGTAAATGCAATGAGTTTGCACACTTTTTCAATGACAAGGTTCAAGGCATCAAAAACGCCATTGTCTCCAATCCACAGATAACAATCCAACAGCCAGAAAGGCTCTCTGAGCTAACTCACTTTGCACCTGTAGATGATAAAAATGTCCAAGAGATAATCTCCAGTTTGAGCTCCTCCACATGCAGCCTGGATGTACTACCCACTATATTTCTGAAGTCTGTTCTGAGCAGTCTGTTACCTTCACTCACACAGATAGTAAACATGTCCCTTCATTCTGGAATATTCCCAAAGGCCCTGAAAACGGCAGTCATCAGGCCCCTGCTAAAAAAGAGCAGTCTGGATGCCACTGTACTTAACAACTATCGTCCCATCGCAAATCTGCCATTTATGGGGAAAGTCCTTGAAAAAGTTGTCTACCTACAGCTTACTAGATTTCTTATAATCAACAACTCATTTGATATGTTTTAGTCCGGCTTTAGACCCCACCACAGCACTGAGACTGCTCTCGTTAAGGTTACAAACGATATCCGGCTGAACACTGACGCAGGCCAAGTCTCAATCTTAATCTTGTTAGATCTAAGTGCTGCCTTTGACACCATCGACCATGAGATCCTCTTACAGAGACTAGAGGACTGGGTTGGCGTCGCTGGCACCGTCCTAAGTTGGTTTAGGTCTTACCTTGAAGACAGGAAGTACTTTGTGGAGATTGGAAACTGTGTCTCAGATCATATGGCCCTGACCTGTGGAGTACCACAGGGGTCGATCCTGGGACCTCTTCTGTTCAATCTCTATGCTGCCGTTAGGTCAGTTAATACGCAGAAACGAAGTGTCCTATCATAACTATGCAGACGACACTCAGATCTATGTCTCACTGACTGCAGGAGAACATGGACCAGTGGACTCACTGTATCCAACAGATCAGTGAGTGGATTCAAAACAACTTCCTTCAGCTAAACGCAGACAAAACTGAAATGATTGTCTTTGGTCCCCAGAAACAAAGAGAGAGCGTCATCTGTCACCTCCAGTCTCTCTCCCTAAAACCTTCAAACAAGGTCAGAAATCTAAGGGTAATACTGGACTCAGACTTAAATTTTAATAGCCACATCAAATCAGTGACATCAGCAGCTTTTTACCACCTAAAAAACATTGCCAGGATCAAAAACATAGTGTCTAAAGCAGACTTGGAGATTCTTATCCATGCATTTGTCTCCAGTAGGTTAGACTACTGCAATGGCCTGCTCACAGGTCTGTCCAAACAGGCTGTAAAACAGCTGCAGTACATTCAAAATGCAGCAGCTTGAGTCCTGACTAGAACCAGGAAGTACGACCACATTAGTCCGGTCCTCAGGTCTCTGCACTGGCTTCCTGTGGCTCAGAGAATAGACTTTAAAACAGCTCTGCTTGTGTACAAATCTCTCCATGGCCTCGCACCAAAATATATTAGTGACATGTTAGTACCATATGAACCAGGCCGGACTCTGAGGAGCACAGGGACTGGACTCCTGTTAGTGTCCAGAGTCAGAACTAAACATGGGGAGGCTGCTTTTCAGATTCATGCTGCTAAAATCTGGAACAGTCTTCCTGAAGATGTGAGACAGGCCTCCTCTCTGACAATGTTTAAAACCAGGTTAAAAACGGTTCTGTTTAGCTGTGCATACAACTGAGGGATTTTATATTTTTATCTTTCTTTTTAATGTTCTGTGATTATTTATGATTTTAATGCTTTCTTGTTTTGTTCAGAACTTTGAATTGCCTGTGTATGAATTGTGCTATACAAATAAACTTGCCTTGCCTTGCCTTGGGAGGGGGAGCAGAACAAACAGATCCCTAACATTCTGTACTCCAAAAGACTTGTTTTAATTATTTATGGACATTGGTCATCTGCCCTGTTTTTATCATTGTATTTCTTATGTTGAATTGTTGATTCTCTGATCTGTGTTGGCAAATTCAACGGTTTTGTTGGGTCCTTCGAGATAATTGTTTTGATTTATGGCTATACAAGTATAAATTGAATTTAATTGCATTGGAATTCAATGCCCCATGAGTTGATGAATTGTTTTTGCATCAAATCATGGGGGCTGCATAATTTGCATTGTTTCTAGTTTTTTATTGGTTTGGTTATATGGCTGTAACTACATCTGCAAAAGTAAATTGTATAAACAAAAATTGTGGGCAACATATTTATAAAATACATTTTAAAACCTTCTCAAGACACTAAGCGCAGAGAGCTGTGGACTAGGTGCCCAGACTGCCCCCCTACAGTCAGTCAGAGCAATGGTCAACGGATCTGTTTCAACCCCATTTTCAAGGTTTATTGCGTCATTAAATTGGCATTGTTCAAATAGAAGACGAAAAATAGCTCTGGCAATGTATATTATAATTTTTGTCGTGGTCGCTGTTTGCTTCGCGACATTCATTTTTACGGTAAACGTGAACACACCACAGCGGTTACTATGGAAACACATCGCACATTCTGGTGTTGATCAGAGAGGCCTCGTCAAGTGAATTAGCTAATACTTAACGCTAAATAAACCGAAATGCCACTGTTGATCACAGACTACTCATGGACTCAGACAGAGTCCACTGTTTACCTCAGTGTCCCGTTGAAAGGAGCAAGAGCGTCGCAAGTGGACATTACTGCCACTGACCAGTACATCAAAGTAAGTCATGCTAGCTACGTGCTAATAACTCTGGTTCATTCATAATAAGAGACACATGTAACGTTATAGCAGGCGAAAAAGAGTTACTATGCCTATGACGTACCTTTGGGCCGTCTAAAAAATGCTATGTGGTAGATATGTAACTTTTCTTGTTTTTTATTTCTTTTATAAAGTTGTTTCGACTACCCGAAAGAGCTTTTTGATCTGAAGCAGTGGTTTGAGAGAACCAAGACACTAGTTGAAAATTGGAAGAGTTTTCACCTTCCACTTGTGGCAGCCTGACGCTTATAAGCCACTAAGGAACAGTATTGTTTTCATGGATAATATGAATGATCCCACACACACTTACAATCCCCGTAACACACTGAGGCAGTAAAGAAGATGCTTGATTAAATTTCAAGATTGTTCACAATCCTGCTACATCTCCGCTGAGATCCATGATGCGACCACCGACGCAAAAGTGAGCAAAAGAATCGCTAGAGGGCAGTGGAGGATCCCTAAATGCTAAAACTAATTTGCTCAATCATTTCAATCACTTCATTATTAATTATAAATTTATAAAATGAAGACAAGTGGCTTAATGCACTATCAAGATGGAGTCTGGTGCAATGACTTCGACTTTTATGCTGATTGTGTTTGTGCAATATCTTGATAATTAGAGAAAGGATTTTAAACTAGATGGTGGACTTGACCAAAGGTAGCATTGTTCCCCTTTTAAATATGTTGTGTTGGTGTCCAGGTTCACTTCCCTCCATATCTGTTTGAGGCTTTCCTCGCTCAGCCTGTTGATGACGACAAAAGCACGGCAAAAGTAGGCAATGGAGCTGCTGTATTCACTCTACCAAAGAGGAAAGAAGAGCCATGGGACCAGCTAATGCTCAGTGCAGGTAAGACTGCAGTTCTGCTCATACAAGTCAGGTGAGTTTGTAACAGTTATGAACGTTGCAGCCGACAAAGAAATCAAAAAAGACCTAAGAGAGAAAGCTCTAATCAGACACCAAGAGAAACTGTGTGCTGCGTCCAAAGCAAAATCAGAGAAGCAACAGGCTGAAAAGAAATATGCACTAACGACGATGATGAAGGTATGGCACTTTGTATTGCACTTTTGCTTTGATATATCTAATACATATTTTTAGCTTGAACAAGAAGAAAGAGAGAATATTCAGAAAATCAAGGACTTTGAGCGACAGAAAACAACAGCAGAATTGGAAGCATGGCAACAGAAACAGAAGGATCAACGTCATACAGAGACACAAATAGACACGAGGGAAAAATCACGGATGGGAATATGTGAAGCAAAGGCCAAATCTGGTGAGTGGTGTATTCGCATCTTTGTTGTGGTTGTAAAATGACCGTTCAACTTTGATTGTGGTGATAATCCTAAATCCAGATCTCACAAATAATAGTGGATTGAAGAGCAGGACACTGGTGGAGCTTCCTGTCCCCAGAGCTACAGGCAGTATCCAAGTCACATTCACTCCTAGAGTTTTCCCTACAGCGCTCCGAGAGTCCAGAGCAGCTGAAGAGGAGGAGGTGAGGACATGGACACAGACATGAACTGGTTTCTGCTTCATCTTTGAACCCTCCGGCTTTTACTTTATTGTGAATCCACACCAATAAAACATGAACATTGTCCTGAGACCGGGCTTCATTCATCATTTACATTCAGAAACAACACATTAAAGGCTTGGCTTGTGTTCTATGTCAGAAAGTCAATAACTGGTCCCCATCTTCTCTCTCTTCTCTGGGGTCTTATAATGGCAATTATGCAGTCAACCGCTCCATTAAATACACTTGTCTTGTTATTGTTGTTTTTTTCCATCCATTGCATGACTCCAGGTGGATCAGGTTATAACAGTCTATGGTTTTAAGCAACAAATGGTTATAATTTGTTTCCATTTTTTTTTTCAACCTAGACATTGTATTATTGCTTGTTACAGTGGCTCAGGAAACAGGCCGAGGCTAGACGTGTCTCGAGTGACGCGCTGGGGGATCTAAAGGACCTTAAAGAGGAAGAGAGAAATCCAGATTGGCTCAAGGACAAAGGAGAGTATGTAAACTACTCTGTATTGATTGTTTTGTTTTTTTGTAATGCAACTAAAGAAGTGCTTGCATTCCCAGTAAATTCTTTGCCACCGGAGACTACCTGGGTGCAGTGAATGCCTACAGTCTGGCTATCAGGCAAAACAGGAAAATGCCAGCTCTCTTTTCAAACCGGGCTGCTTGTCATCTGAAGCTGAAAAACCTCCACAAGGCCATAAAGGATTCATCTGAGGTTAGTATATCCCTCTTCAAAACATGAACTGATTACAATATCACTTTTATCTAATCTAATGTAAGGCCTTTTGATTCAATTCTGTACTGCAGCTGTAACATCAGCCTGCCAATTGACTGTGTGTGTAAATTTGAAGTCTACTGGTACAAACAATGCATCTCTCCTCTTTTGGTTAACATTGGCTGCCCATTCTCCAGCTAGATAAACTATATTGAAGTATTATTGGAGTATTATTAGTAATGCACTGGATTGACAAACCCCATAAATTAAAGCTGGGGTACCTAACTTTCAAAACACCCACAAACCATGTAATGAAATCCATCCTGGCAGGGTTGTTTTATCATTAGTTTTCACAGTTTTTTCAGGCATAAATATAAAATTCAGCCAATCAGCTCGCCCTCTGCCCCAAAGCATCAAATAGTGACCCACAGAGCTCTTTCTTCTAGTATGCTAAATTTAAAATGCTTTTTAAGAAGATTAAAACAGACTGTTGTGGTGGTAACGTATTTGAATAGTAAATTGTCAAATGATTTCCCCTTTCTTTTTGTTGTCATAAGGCGTTGGAGTTGTTGACCCCAGCAGTGCCGGCCAACGCAGCAGCCAGAGCCAGAGCCCATGTCCGCAGAGGAACAGCCTTCTGCCAGCTGCAGCTCTACACAGAAGGTCCCCAAAAACTTTATATCCTCCACAACTCTAAGATCCACAACTAGAAAGATTTAAACATAGCTTTTCATGGGTTTCAGAATTCTGCTGACATTTTGTGTTTGTTTGTACTCAAAAGTAGTGTGATTATTGTTTTTTCTTTATTTGTTATACAATTTCAATCTTGAGTATGTACTGTACTATGAATATAAAGTTGTAGGCAGCATTTCAGATGTTTGCAGTTGAAATAGGGAACATGTGAGATTTCATAACACTTTGAAGCAACTTTTGTTAAAGTTAAACTCATCATTCTATCAATGTGCAGAAGCCTGTACTTTTCCCTTGTTTTGTCTATCTGAAGGCCAAGCTACAAGCACACCGTGGCAGCTGCTGATTGGAGGTCTCCATGCCTCCGCTCTGTATAATACACTTGCATTCTCTTGTATCTGTGATCGTGTGTTTTGTTCGTGCTGTCTCTACCATCGACGATAAAACATGTCTTCTGTCGGAATTTAAGACACGATCCCAGACTATGTCATCTTCTTCAGGTGGTGGAAGGATGCGGGCCTTGTCTGTAACATCTAGAGAACAGAAGACTTTTTTTTTTAACACAAAAAGTGTTTTTTTTCAAGCCAAAACTGAAAAACCTCAAGAGAATGCATCTGGACCAGCACACTTGAACTATCTGCACAGCCCCTGATTCCAGTCAGGCTGTGAGCTGCTGAGACATGGACAATACCAGCGTCCTCTTTTGCATGGACATCATTTGGAACAATTTGGACATAATTTGGACTGAATTGGATTTCTGAATCTGGACACTAAAGCTGAAACGTGTGATTGAAAGACACGTCACAGAAGAATTCATGGCTCGACACAAATGCAGCCTGAAGAAACCAACACGGAGAAGTGGGAGAGACTGTTTTCAAAGCAATATCTGGAACCATCGACTGATGAAGTTTGGTATTTTACTGAAGATTGTTGACAAGTTTTATGAAAGATCTGAACATGTTTTATGAGTTTTTGAAGTATTCCGAGTTATGAGTTTTTTGAAGTACCGAGTGAAGTGAGTTTTTGAAGTATTGAGTTATGATGTTATGTTGCTGTTTATCGATCCTGATGGTCACACGTGAATGTGTGACCAGAGGGGGGAATGTGAGATTTCATAACACTTTGAAGCAACTTTTGTTAAAGTTAAACTCATCATTCTATCAATGTGCAGAAGCCTGTACTTTTCCCTTGTTTTGTCTATCTGAAGGCCAAGCTACAAGCACACCGTGGCAGCTGCTGATTGGAGGTCTCCATGCCTCCGCTCTATATAATACACTTGCATTCTCTTGTATCTGTGATCGTGTGTTTTGTTCGTGCTGTCTCTACCATCGACAATAAAACATGTCTTCTGTCGGAATTTAAGACACGATCCCAGACTATGTCATCTTCTTCAAACAGTTTCCCTAAAAATGTGAGACAGGCTTCTTCTCAAACAGTTCTGGCAACCCATATATATACCTGAAGGATTGTATCTTCACTTTTATAGTATAGTGATTTTTAATTATTCTTATGCCTTGTATATATAATAAATAAACTTAGTCATTAGTGAATTACAAACAACAAATGTGCCTTTGTGCAGGTCTTCAAGAGTATCAGGCTGCTCTGAAGATTGACCCAGAAAACGCAGAGCTGCAGATGGACACACAGAAGATCAGGGACATCATCCAGGGCTCCGCGGAAGAAGGACAAACGTGACAGACGCTGCCTGGTCTATGGTCTATCTATGGTAACACAACAGCGCCCACATGTGGTCACATCATAAAACCATTTTCTCTTTTCAAAGAAGATTAGGTGAAACAAATAAGACTTGAACGCAATCAAATGTGTAAATACTGGGAACAATAGGATAAGAATAAATTGTGGAACTGTTACTTAGTCCTGCTCCTTTTTTAAATGTGTTCCAACCAATGCATTCAGACTTCAGCCCCACTTCAGTTGCTTAAAGGAGTTTGTTTGAGCTCATAAACTTGTGTGATGTGCTGTGTTGGATATCTGTTGATTAGAAAGGAATTTTGTGTTTGTCCTTAAATAGAGGAGAATCTGAAGTGCAAATTGAGGTCGTCCCATCAGACCACACGGCTGGTGCTGGCGGGACATGGTGCAACAGGGTCATGGGAAGGCCTGTTTTCCAAGTCACGGTTCAAAAGTGTAATTATTAAGATACTCACATATTCTGAATGATCAATATAGGCCTAATAAAGGATTAAGTAATGGCCGACTACTTCTAAAACAGCCTATATTGTGACAGTTTAATTCTTAAAACTAAGGATAGTCTTAATTAAGAACATCACATGATACATGGACCACAAACAATGTAATGAAATGTTTCTTTCATTCACATTATTTGTTTTTAATACTAAGCTTAATTTGACTATTTTTAGAGAGAAGTATATTTCAATCTTAATTAAAATATACTGAGCTGGTTCCTAAGGGTTCCTGAGCTGATTATTCACCTTTTTTTTTAAAAAACACGTGACTAACAAATGACAGAATACACGTTTCAATGACACAAAGTGGATATTTTTAAGATCTGACTTAAATAATGTTATTTCCTGACAGTTGAAATCACATATGTGTGTAGTAGTCACTTAGCCACTTAGCTAAGTGCTCACTGCTACTACACTTAGCAACCAAATGGCATACACAGGCTACAGGTTTTCGAATTTAGTGCTGGAACGATTCTTTCAATAACCGTCAATTAATGTTTTAATTGGTTAATTATTAGCTGCTCCAAATACAGACTCAAGTTTGTACTGACAGATGTTTTAAGATGTACACAAGACTTTATTTTCCAAATTGATGGGCGATGAAATGTGTCTTATTTTGAAGGATTAAACAATCTTTTTCTGGTAAAATAAGATTGAACTTGATCAAATTGAGATGAGATCTTTGATCAAATCATTAATGGATTCATTTATCAAGATATTTGGTTGCACAGCACTAATCTAATGTAATAGTAACATTGTTAATAATAACAATATAGTGCTTTATGGACACAGCTACAATTCTAATAGCATTATGCCGTAGCCACAGCTGCCCTGGGGCAGACTAACAGAAGAAAAGCTGGAAATCTGAGCCTTCAGTCCCTCTGACCACCAATCATTCAAGCACACCACACCAGACTCTTAGCACTGGGTGAAGTGTCTTGCCTAAGGACACAAGGTAGTTTAGCACTTTAGCTGCTTTACATTGGTGCTACCTTCTTCCACTTGTACAGTTGTTAGCTTGTAATTGAATTACAGTTCAGTCCATCAGGGAGATATTAAGATTATGTTTAAGTGTGTATGTGGAGCAGATGCTCAAGCGACAGTGTCACTGTATAAACGTGTTTTACTTAAAGTTTAAGATTTATACTATTAATAAAAGTAAAGTCTAGAAAGGACATTGGGATTCAGAGTGAAGAAGTGAGAAGATAAAAACGCGGTGTGTGTGTGGGTGTGTGTGTGTGTGTGTGTGGGTGTGTGTGTGTGTGTGTGTGTATGTGGTTATGTGTGTGTGCGTGTGTGTGTGTGTGGTAGGCCACGGGTCAGTCCTCTCCATTGTAGAGTGTTTTGTGATTGGCAGGTGGTCAGCCCTCCTGGTTGGGTGCTAGAGCTGAGTGACCAGCACCATATGGAGGCCTTTATCCATGCACACTGACCAGGACACACACTGCTGCCTCTGGACACCACTCTTTAACCTGCGTTAACAAAGACTATGGTCTCCCATGTATACATGTGCACCAGCACACTGCGCTGTGGGCCTTAACCAGCTCCACTGAAATACGCACACTTGGCCTTTGTCAAACCTCTTTAACTTCTTTAGTCAGGCTAAAGAGGAATGCAAGCTTCACTGGCACATTGTCCTCTTCTGATTTAGAATCTAATCTTCTTTCATTTAACACAGATTTTGAACAAAAAATAATAATTATTAAAAACATATTTGTATACTGGTAGTTAAATAAAGGTTTACATTTATTAAGTGAAAAAACACCAAAGTGTGACAATTATCAACTACATGAAATTGATAAAAACAAACAGCAACTGCTTTAATGTTTTCTGTTGTGATTGGGTAAATGCTCAAGTGTCTTCAAAGTAAAACATGTATTTCTCTCCCTATGTGAAGTGCATGGAGTGAAGTCCTATTAAAAGTCTTGATTCCAAAGAGAACAGTGTCCCCTGAGATTTAACCATAGATAAAGGACGATAAAACAGTGGTTGCCCTGAGCTCCTCCCCTTCCTCTTCCTCGCCTCTGCTCAGCTGAATAACCACTAAAGGTAAATTAGATCATAATGAGGCTGCACCCTCACATACAAAACCTGATTGGATACGCAACCCTCTGCCTAATGAGGTGAGAAACTGCTCTGTGCGCGGCCTGGTGTGAAAGTGCATGTGTGTGTGTGTCAAATGTCTGTATTTTGCTCCTTTCGTCAAAGCTCTGTGTGGTATCATTACATGCATACGCATCCTCAATGCAGTAACTATAGTGACAACATGAATCTTTAGCCCCGATGTAGAACACAGATGCTCAAACTCATCTCGATATAGTCAGTTCACAAAACAACAGGATCATAAGGGTCATAATGTAATGGTTCCTATACATTTTACTTTTCCACAGCAAGTGAAAAAAAAACATATAGGAGATGAGTAATACAATCCTATTCCAGCTGTTGGTGCAAGAACAATGGTGTGTTTCTTGTTAGTGTGGCGGATCACTTATAATGAACTGGCTGTGTGTGCAGTGTGAATTATAGACTAACCCTTTTCTGAATGATAGACTCTAGGGGTCAGCGTGCGGCCCTGGGGCCCTTTGTCCCAGGCCACTCAGAGGTTCCCTCAGCTGCACTTGACGCTCTGTGCTTTGGTCTCTGCTCTCAGGTAGAAGATGCCCCTCTGCATGCCTCAGTGCTTCTTTTATACAGACCCACTGTTTGACTCAAAGGGCCTGGCCCGCTTAAGTCCAACTGCAGCCCACTCCCACCACTTCCCTCTCACCACATTTTCCAGGGAAGTGAGCAGCACAGCCAGAGCCAGGCAGAGACCTGGGAAACACAGAGACAACAAGTAGGGGACATTTTCAGTTATTTTTGCACCATGTGTATAAGTTCTGGTTTGTTGTAGCTTTAATCAAAATAATGAGTTGTTCAGGAGAATAACAAAATCTTTCAAACAAATCAAATCCTTTGATTCAAATTAGAGTGTTTAATTAACAATTAGATTGGTAAAAATTGAGTTATGATTGTATTAACAAATGTAGTTGGTAGTTACAGTATTTGTCAGACTAATCTTTAGGTTAAAACAAACAATCTTTAAATAGTTGTGGTTTACACCAATCTTATTATGGCCATAGTGCCAAATTACTAAGACCGAATATCTAGGTCAGACTGACCATTGTAGCTGGCTGAACACCTCCAATTATTCATGCAAACACCAAACAAGCCACAGGCAATGTCAATCCAACCAATATTGGTTTAACCAATTTAACTGGTTGGCAAACAACTGATAAAAACCCTGACCGATTCATTGCTAAATCTAACCAATATTGCACAAGTCAAACCTGATTGCATGAGCATATGAATCATCGAGGACATTGGGTGCATAGTTCCATCTTTACAATCATAATCTTGCATAAGATATCACTGCTTGATTCCTTTTAAAGGTAATTTTTTTTCTGAATGACATCATTTGATCAGTACATGTCTTGTTAATCCCTTGCTGTGCTAGTCATAACATGCCCCTAACTCTGTGGTCAATGGACACATGCTGACTGTGACTAAATGTAAAAGGTGAAGTTCTATTGTTTCTCTATCGCTCTGTGTCACTCCGGCTGTGAGGCACAAACCTTAAGCCAGGAGTTAATTAGTCTTTTCTCTTTCCCTGAATGTGATAACTGATTAGCGAGGAATAGTAATGGCTTTCTCTGTAAACTGCCTCTCCATTAGCCTCTTTCTATTAAAACTCAGACGAGTTTTCTTTAAGCTGTGAGTTCAGGCTTGTCAATAAGCCTTGTCTATTTAATTAAATCTCAGAATCACCTATTCACTTCTTTATTATTACTCTCATCTCTCTGCTGAGAATAAAAGGACACTTGAGCAGCTCTGAGTGCTTCTCCTGGTCCACATCTTTGAGTGGCAGAAGGAATGACCTTGTACTCCTCCAGAGAGCCCTCCAGCCTCAGTCCCTCTCACAATAAGAACCATTAAGTCCAATATGAGGTGGTCCAGCTCTTCAGGCTCCTGGTGTTAGTGTGGACGGGACACTAGAGCAAGAGACAGACTTTTTGTGAATATGGGACTTCAAAGTTGTGAAGCACTCAAGAAGAATTATTCTGAAGTGTCTGCAGATCTCTGAGTGGCTTTGATGACTTCAGAGAAACTCATCAGCCCACAGCCAATAAGCTTTATGGTCAACAACGCAACTCTATCATATCACCCCGCAGATTCTTCTTAGTTGAAAGACTTGTATCAATGTTCATAGTTTTTTATTTCAAAATCTACATTATTAGTACTGGTCACTTCTAGCTGGCTACATATATTGTTTTTTTTCTGATTACTCAAACTCTGTATTATCAAATAACTCTCCTTGGAATACAGTTTATCAATTTGCACGTTGGACATTTTATAGATTCTGTTTCCCGTAGAGTTTACCGAATTAATAAAACCACTGTTAATCCACTGCTATAGATTCACTTTGGTGAAAGTGTTACCAATACCTCCAGAATGCAATGGGTCACGTAGGATTGGCCTTCATTTCTCGATCCTCTTAGGAGTTTAAAAGCAACAATTATAGCAGCACAAAAACAGTGTTGGATGGCTGTATGTAGAGTGCTTGGTTGCTGAAACGATGGGAATAATAATGTGTCAATGTGTGGTTCTTTAGGACATATGGAGGAGTGGGCCCAGCCGGGACAACACTGGCTCGTCCATGAGCTCAACTCCATTACAGGGATTAAGGCTGTAGAGGCCGACCACACACAGGCCTCCCTCATACATTCAAACGGCGGGATTTAAACTTGTTCAAAACTAAACTATTACGTTTGGAGTGAGAATGCGCTATCAGCATTTGCCTTTGAAAGGATTTGTTTCAAATGGTTAATGGAGAAAATGAAATCCGCAATAGACAAGCGATGTAACACTCTCGCCTCACAGCGAGGTCTGTTTCTCCAATGGAATCAATCCTAGCACAATTGTTTTGGATGAAATGATACTAGCCATGTATTGAGTTATCGCCTTTAGTAAAATGTGTGTGCTTTTATATTAAGTAAATAATTGAAATGCATTTTGGCCAAGTGTTATGCCCTTTCACAAGTGTTGCATACTGCCAATAAACATACAATTAACACAAGGAAAGAAATCTAGGAGCAGAATGAAAGCGTATCCCCTGACCTTGGAAGCATAGCTAATCACTGCTAACCTCTATTGCTGAACTTAGAAGCATGGCTAACTACTTCAAATCTTTTTTAAATCAGTTAGATTTAAATAATCACTGATTCATTTTTGAAAATGTATTAATAGTGGTGTCCCAATAGTAGGCACTGATTGATACTCAGCACTTTGGGATTTATGAAAAGGGCATTGTAAATAAAATATTTTATTATCATTATTACTATATTTCAAACCTGAGAACATGTTTCATACTAAATACCAAATTGGATACAGCAGCAATTGTTCATAAAATGAATGTTTTAATAAGGTTTTATACATTTCTCTGATTTTATTTAAAAGGCTCAAATGTCAAATTGTGTCTTATTTACGTAAATGCTCTTAGTTTTGATACTTACTTAGGTCCAGTTTTAGCACTCAATACTAAGTTTGGATTACTTAAGTCATAATAATATAAACTAAACTAAACTGAACACATCTGGCTTTTTAGGTTTTAATGAAGAAAATAATTCCAAGTTAACAATAAAATAAGTTGGTTAACTGCTCTAAGCTTTGAGATGGGCAGTCTGCTCCACTTTGTGATTGTTTAATTTTAGAAACTTTTATCCAGAAATTCGGAATTTTGCAAATAGGTGACATTGTGTTATTTTATTGTTTCAATAATCAATAAATCCACTGCTTAAATGATATGCTGGCCTGACAGATTCTTCTGTCCTCTGAGGGCCATGGGCCCCTGGACCAGCCATGTATAACAGATATGGTTGATTGTGAGCAGATCAGAGCCAATGACTGAGGTGAATAGCCCCTGTGCGACCTCTCATTCAGCCCTAGTCAAAGCTCTCAAAAGGCTGTGATATGGAAAAGATTGGGATATCCCCCTGTTTCTTTCTTCTGCTGTATGTGACACCAGTGTGTGCCTTCTGCAGTGTGCGCTGGGCTGACTTTAGTCCAAGTGAATGAAACAGGAAGTGTGTGAATGGTGTTCCCGCAGGGCACCAGGTTGTGTGTGTGCGACTACTGGAGGAGTGTCACATTTTTGATCTTGTTATCAGATTTGTTATTCATTCATTCACTTGAATTTATGCAATTGTAGAAGTATGTTCAAACTTTAAAAAACATTGAAAAGATTTGCATCTACATATATTCATGGCTCAAAATAAAAAGTAATATAATTGTTCTGAAACTTTCTCAGGAAACATTGCATGGAAAATGTTTCATCTACTTCATGTGTTCACTGTTTGAAAATCATGATAAATACTTGGTCAAATTAATATCTTCTTATAATACAGGTTGATTCTAGTGACACCATTTCTTTCTCAATCAGCCAAGCAACCGCAAACACAAACACAGTGTACAAGGCGAGCAATTAATAATAATAATATACTTTGGTAAAGAGATTTTTTTTTTAAATTGAAATGTTGGCAAAACAGACTCAATATGTTCAAATAATTTCACTGCCTCATGAAGTGAGTCATGAAACCTACAGCTTTGATAGCAGTGATGGCTTTGTGTCTGTGTCACATCAGCTATATATATCTTTTTGGTTTGTCACCCCGTATTGCTCCCTGTGCTCCGATCACTTGATCCCAGACTGGGAGGATAGAGCTGGATTAGCCGTTTCCTGCACAGTCACAATGGACTGCACCGGGACACCCGATCAAACCTCACACACTAAACACGACAGCGAACATCGTAACGAGAGGGAGAGGGCCAGGAGCAAAGAGCCAGCCAAAGGGCCGAAAGCCAACAAAGAACAAGGCAAGGCGACCAGCAGGAAGTTGACTAGTCACTTTATCCCTGCACCCCTCCGGCCTCTCTGGTGGGGCAGACGGGACCCTCATCTTGCACCGACGGGGCAGACAGCGGGACAGCACGAAGGGGAGAGAGCTGAGGTTAAAATCAAAGGCTGGCCTGGGGATTAGAGCGAGCTGCTCAGGGCTGGGGTTCAGGTTTAAAGAGAGCCATATACAGGCCAAAGAAGAACGCTTTTCAACACTGACCAGATTGGATTGCAAAGCGGCCCGTCTATATGTGCAATAAACATGAATACATTTAATTATTTTCCATGAGACAATAGTAATAATAGCACATACTATTTTTGTTATGGAAATACAATCATATATCACAGGCTATAGAGATAAAAAAAACAACAAAAAAACATGACAACATATGTGTTTAAATACTAAGTCAAATAGTTGTGGGAACACGAATCAAACGTTTGTTTTGGTATTATTTGAGCAATACATGAATTACTAACTAACTAATTGGTATCACTGAATAATTAAACAGAGGAGTGACACCTAAAAGAAAACCCACATACAAAAGTTATGACATTGAAAGTAATACAAATATATGGATTGGGGCATATTTGTGGAATGAAAGTACACTTGTTGCAGACTGAGAATGTAAAATACTCAAGGACGTCTCACACACACACACACTTGTTTTGTATTAATATGAAAGTTTCTCTCTTACACTGTTGTTGGAGATTTAGTCTCAGAAATGTATTTGTCTGTCAGAAGCATAGAAATGCCATTAGTTTTGAAGATAAATAGTGGTACGCTTGAGTGTTCAGCCACAGTGAGTGTCTGTGTGCTGATCCGTGTGAGAACGCTTGTCCCTCGGCGTATGCATATATAAGCCTACTATACACTTTGAATCACTACACTGGCTTGTTCTTTCTCTCACACACACTCACATACACACAGTGTGGCACTGAAAAGGCAGAGTCCCCAGTCCCTGTTATGCAAATAACATCAGCTCCTAAAACGGTTTGAGTGAGAATTAAACGTGAATCAAATGAGGCTTGGCTCCTTTCTCTGTATTTGGTCTGAAAGAGGCAAAGCCGTCTCTATGGGAGATCCCCACGCCATTGCTATGCCTGTTATGGAATTGACAAAACGAGAAGTGACATAAATACCGTGGCCAGAGCTCAATCCAATTATGTGGCGTGGCCCGCCTCAATACCTGCTAACCATGCAGCACAGCACCAGCGTCCCTGCATTCAGCCATCCACAGAAATAAGAGCCTAGCTTTAACCTTGGTCTCTTCACCTCGCCCAGCTCAGAGTCTCTGCCCTCAACCTGACGCTGCAGACATCAGGGAGACTTAAGAAGGCCTTTAGACAAGGTCCAGACTCTCAGTACGCGCAATAAAACAAAGTCCCCTTTGCAATGCCTCAAACCACAGCAGGGTTCAGAATGAATGGGTATTTAAAATGCAACAATATCACATGCAAATACAGGAATTGTAAGAATATACATTCAAATTATGTGGACAAAATAAACTTGAAGCAACTATGATGATGTGCACGTACTGTGAGTGGGGGAAAACATAATTGACATGACAGTTCCCATTTTCATTGTAATTTCATAAAACTAGATTGGAGTCAAACAAATACTTGTGTGTTTGGGGCCTTTTGATCTGTTGATGTCATTGTGTATGTGAACTATTCAAGCAAAAGGTTTGCACTGGCATTGCATCACTGTTCTTCCCCTGCATGAGTGACAAAGCCAAACTGTAACTACATGTGACAAGCACATCAGCCCCTCCCTCCTTCCGACCAACGCTTGGCTTGTGTTTGGTCACTGATGCCCATTTTAACCACAGGCATTTACAAGCTCTTCTCTAAACAACCTGCCAGGTGCTTTAAGCCTCCGACTGAAGGCCTGCACAACGTTATGAGACCCCAATGAGATTAGCTCTGAACGCCCTGAAAGGAAGAATGGACGCCGCTGCAATGGGGAAGATTGTTAGCACAGCAATGTGTTCCTCTGAGCTCCCATGACCAATCTGCACCTAATGAGCATTCAACGAGTGTGCTGCACGTCAGCGGAGGCCCGAGGCTCTGCTGGGACCAACAAACGGGACACTTCTCATATTTGTCAGCAGCACGGGCTAATCGCTTTGGCCATCGCTTACATTTAAGAACCATTATGAAGGACTTTCTCACACACTGAGGCAAACTGACTGCTCAGTCAAATAAACCATTTCAAACTATTATTTAGGCCTATCGCTATTTCTATATGTCCATTAATGTTGTGTATATGTGTGTAACGTGTTTAACTATAGCAGAAGGTAAATAACTAGGACGACTGACAAATTGATAAATAGCAATACAAAAATATGATGATGAAAAGCTTGACTTCCAATTAAGAAAACTTTATAAACCAGTGTTACAGTGTAAATGCAAACTATATTTATGTGTTTTTTTAGATAAATTAATATATATATTTTTCCCCACTTAAAAATCTGTTAGAAATCTGTTTTTAGATTATTATACTTTCTTTTTTACAAATGTAAATATACGGAACAGTACAAAAGGTTGTGTTTTGTGAGCTGAGCGTGGCCTCACTCTTGTTGGTCCATTGTTGTACAGTGGGACGGAGAACAGGTGCTCGCAGGGCAGCTTTTGCTCGGCCTTGTATCTCTCTCTCTCCACAGCGAGGTGATGTTTAATGGAAAGTTAATATGGTTTTAATGCTTGTCGCCGCACTCCAACACCCAGGGCCCCCCTAATCCCCTCGGTTCAACATGGGCCGGGAAACACATGCTCTGGCACAGGCTGAGAGAGGCTCAAGGAACAGGATTTAACCAGTGTCCTGTAGGAAAAATGATAGTTAGAAAAATAAATAAACAGAATAGCGTATAAAGAATTACTGAAGGCCTTTTAAGATTTGAATCATTTATAAATATCATTGATTATTCAGGACTGTTATTTTGGATGTCATCACCTAGGTTTTAAAAATATTTTCTTTTCTTTTATTTGATCTAATACTTTTCTTTACAATGCTATGTTTATTTTTAGAACTAAAGACACACACACACATATGGCACCGCAATAAAATCAAATTCAAAAAATCTGTACAACCAAAAAATACAAATAAAACTAAAGCACTGTTAGTTCATCAATAGTAGTGTAATGGATAATGTTGTAATGGATATCTGGATGCACCTCAAAACTTATAGCATCTAAACATAAAATATACTTGTGCTTTGATAATAAAAAAGTGTTGTTTGTTGGCATTTGTTGACCAAGACATCAGGAGAAATAAAAGGTACTCTTTAATAAAACTAAGCTTTTTGCTAAAGTATAATGTTAGGAAGTATGTTAAGTCCCTGAGAGACTTAACTAGTTATAGTGGAGCAAAGACACTGTCCTTTGCGTGTGCAACGGGTGGGTTCATGTTGTTAGACCTCTATAGGATAATAGCTTTAAAATGAGTCTTAACTGGTGTTTAATTCACTGACAGCTGTTGTATTGGTTAAGAGACGGGCAGCTCTGTCTGTTGGACCAGTAGAGAAATTAGTTCTGCTGATGCCCATATTCCCTCCCAGAGAACCATCTGCTTTACTTATATACAAAAGAGGGATTTTCCAAGGGAATAAAATGCTTTCATTGAAACAATTTCTCTCTCTCGTTCCTTTGAGAAGGGTTTTAGTTAAAGTGTCTTATTTCCAGGCAAGGCTGCCACTCAGCACGTCTCTGTAGCACATTTAATAATTGGGTCTTTTATTGGTTGCATTTCGTTATCAGCATTACAAAGGACTGAATATTCTTTATCTTTCCAGTCACACATGAGCACGTTCATATGGCACACCTGTTAAATTTACATTTGTAACATGCATCAGTGCATCATCCACAACTTACATAAAATACATATAATATATAAAACCAGCAGGACCTTTGAAAAATGATCAAAATTACATAGATACAAAATTACAGGACTATTAGATGATTATTAACTATTCTCACAAGCACTAATCTATGAATAAGCATCAGAATAATGAGATAGTGGGTGTTTAAATACCATTGGTCACAGGTCTTAGCAGGCCCTAAGGGAATCACCTTATGTGCCCTTCAAGTCCAAGACAAACTCTTTGTTTAAAACCCTTATTGTTCAGCACTTATCTCTGACTTAAGCACAGATTGTCTCTGATAAAACATTATATGCCTATACTTGCTTAAATCATGATGGAAAGGAGCTCAAGCTCTGATCATTGATGATAAGGGAAATAGACCGTTGATTCTTTGGGGCTAACACAATTCATGAAATCGATCCAATTGATTGATTACAATTCCATTGCCTCGAATAATTGGATATGTATTTTTTATCTACTTTTAAAGACTGTTGTACATCTACTGCACATAACTCATTCCAGCACTTGTTGTTTACTGACAGGTTTCCGGCTGCAAATGGTTAAATCATTTTTCATTATCAATATTTTTTCCTAAAGTACATAATTCATTAGAGTAAGTAAATTACTGATTTATTACTTAATTACTAAAATAAAGGAAAGCTGCAGCCCTATCAGTTGTTTTATTAGATCCAGGCTTTTATTCTAGGCAAAGAAAAACAAAATCAATCAATCAATCAGTTCATCAAATCAAGTGAAGTTGAGAAAAGCCTATTATGTTTGTGGAATAATGAAAAGCAATATGGAAACACGATTTTACGCCACTTCATGTCCAGACTTTGATACATGTAGGACTGCTCCAAACGCTGCCCGTCCATAATAATAGCTTTTTGGTGCGTTTGTAGGAGGCCTTCATGTTGGCGAGCTCAGGCCAAATCTTGCCAAAATAGTTGTATCAAAATGTTCTCGCCTCTCAAGTCTTTGAAAGAGAAAGTAGTGGCACTTCAGCCGCCTGTGCGGGTCCAATGAGCAGGAGCGCAGAGGCGCGTCCACCAATCCCTGCGCGGACCGCGTCTTCAAACAGCCCCGTGCACGAGGACAAGTGCCGCGCGTGCGCGTGTGCGTGAGCCACAAACTTTGGCTCTTGTATAAAACCTGTGCAGTCCCACTCCTCAGAACTTTCAGATCTGAATCCATGAGCAGCGGAGCCATGTTCCCCTGCAGCGCTCTTCCTCCACCTTTCTACCCGAGCCTGCTGCGCCCTGGCCCGGCCCTGTCCTCGCCCCTCAGCCGCTCTATGCCGTCAGGATTCCTCGTGGAGGACCTTCTGCGGATAAGTCAGCCTGTCAGCTACCTGCAGCGCACACTGGCCCACAGGACACCCAGTGAGCTGTTCTCCATGAGCCCAGGCTGTGTGAGCCTCTCTCCCCGGATGCCAGAGCCCCGAGAGCCGCTGCCTTCTCGCACCAGCCCCGGGTCACCGCACACAGGCTCCGCACACCTCAAGTTTGGTGTCAGCGCGATCCTGGCGTCCTCACGCACCGGTGAGTACTGCATAAGTGCATTTTGACTGTGAAGCTCACAGTGAGATGATATGGATGACATCAACTCTATGTGGCCTAATGTTGACAAACATCACGTGGCTAGAGAAAGACGTATGAATAAAACCTAACGATGGTGTGTATGGTCTGCTGTGGGTTATGCCAGTGCCTTCACACCCATGAGTAATGCTCAGTTGCAGATTCTAAGTGTGTCTCTCTCGCAGGTTGCTCTCCTCCATCTGCACCAAGTCCGCAGCCCAAATCCTTCCCGCTGCCCTTCTTCGATGGTCACCTTCACCCGTTCATCAAAGCAACTTATTTCACAGGTAAACATCTTGAGACATATTCATTTACGATTGGACAGAAAATATTCTGACGAATGATTCAGCAGAGGTCAAATATGTGACTATTAATTTACCTGTAATATAATATAACCTATTCTTCTGGATGTATTTGTTACTTAATGCCTATAACTATAGACAACTTACAGGATACAGGCATTTTGTAAAAAAAATTAAAAAATTTAAAGCATTGATTAAATTTTTTTTAATCGATGTTTAATGTCTGTAAACATTACATAAAGCTATAATAAACATAATCACTGCGTCTAAAGAAAAGTTCTGTTTTCACCTACCCCCCTTCTCCACCCACTGCCTGTGGCTTTTTTCAACAATAAAAATGGCTAAATGCAATGATGAATAGAGTCTATACTTGTTTCTTATAGTTTACAATGAACAACATGTACAATGTCAAATAAGATCAACAAATGTAAGTTCAACCTAAATACACAGAGACGTTTACTTGAATAATCTTTCTTTTAAAATAAAATAAAAATGATTAACAAATATTTTAATTATCAAACTAACATTTTATCTTCTAAAAACTGCCTTTGACCATTTAGTGGCAGCCTTTTGCTTGGGAAACCCCCGCGCATCTCCAAATCAGCTCCGCCAATTTGAGTGTCTATTTAGGAGGCGCATTGACTGCTGACATTAGCACCAGTTGTCCTAATCTACAAATTAGTCCAGTTTGTCATGCCCTAAATATATTAGTCCCGTTTGTCATGCCTTAAATGTGAGGCGGGTATCTTCCCAGCTCTGGAACTCAGCTCTGCTTCACGCGCTGTCGTTTTCCCACAGACCCCCTCTGCCTCCACAAAGGGCCTGCACCGTGACCAAAGGAGCAGAACCACACACACACTGTCATGACACAGGTCTCTCATCCACAAGCCTCCTTTTACAAGAACACAAATATAACAGCTCTAATACACAGCACCAGATCCTTTACTTCACGTCTTCAGGATAACTTTAACAGACTGGATCACAATTAACTGGATACTTGTCTGCATTTTTACACATGACAAATTAAATTCTTAAAGTGATTTTTGGGGGAATGAACTCCCATTTAAACATATAGTCAAACATGACCAATGCTTACAAGGATGATGGTCACTAAAAACACACAACATGTTCAAAATAATCTTTCAGCCACTGGGTTAGCTTCATGTTATGTCTTTTTTCCCAAGGGTCGCCTGCTCCGACCTCGTATTTCTAAAAGCTTGGTGCTGCCATGAGTCCACATTGAGGAGACTCAGTGTGTCAAAGATCGGCATTATACTAACGTGTCTTTAATTGGCCTATAATATACTAGCCTGTCGGCGGCCTTTTCCACTCAATTCATTACGACACAATCAGCATTCTCTGTGCATTTGCAGCCCGTACAATCCCCCTTCATGCTCGATTAGAGGCAGTGTGAGCCGACCCTTGCAGTGCCACTCTCATTAGCATATGCTCTGTCTCCGCTGGCTGACAAATTGGACTTTTAACAGCACATTTTGGGCAGAACAAGTTTATTTAATGCCACTTTAGGGGAAAATGGGAACAGACTGGACCAGAGTTTGTATCCACTATTGGTTCAAAGTGGTTGAAATAACAAATCAAAATAATAAAAATTAAAATCCTCTGCCAATCTACCGGGGAGGGCTCTACTTCAGTGAATTATTTAGATGTTTGTTGGGTTTGAGTCAAGAAACACTCAGGAGGAGAGAATGAGCACCTTGACTGATGAGTTTACTTGTGTCCTCAGGTTCCTCCCCCGTAGTGCCCATCCCAGGGACATTCTCGTGGCCTCTGGCCCCCAGAGGAAAGCCCCGAAGAGGAATGCTCCGGCGGGCTGTGTTCTCAGACCTGCAGAGAAAAGCCCTGGAGAGAACGTTCCAGAAACAAAAGTATATCAGCAAACCAGACAGGAAGAAGCTGGCAGGCAAACTGGGCCTCAAAGACTCACAGGTACAGTCCAAGATTCTAATATTTGTATTGAGAATTGATTTGTCCGTAAACAACATAAACCTACATCCTGAAAAGTGCCAATTTCACATTTTAAAGATATTATACTTAATTTGGGAATGTCAAATTTAAATGACATCCAGTCTAATGTGACTGAATAAACTCATCTTTGTTAGACATTTAGCAAAATCTCACCTCGTAGTGCATTAATGTGAATGAGTGGTTAGTGTCAGTTTGGATACGTGGAAACACAAACTCACTCTTTCCTCTGTGCTCAGGTGAAGATCTGGTTCCAGAACCGCAGAATGAAGTGGAGGAACTCGAAAGAGCGGGAGCTTCTGTCCACGGGGGGCTGTCGCCAGCAGACCCTCCCCACAAAGACAAACCCTCACCCAGATCTCACAGATGTGCGTCCTGCATACTGCCCCTCTCTGGACAGGTGTGGTACTGACAGCCAGACGCTGAGTGTTCAGAGCAGCAAACAGACGGACTACGAGTCAGACTCAGAAGAAATCCACGTGTCGTAAATGAACATGTTTTTCTATTTATTATTAGCTGTGTTATCAGCTGCCATGTCCCATATGTACAGAGATGTAATTATATGTATTATAATTTGTATGTAGTTTAGGATTTTGAAATTGTGTGATTTGATACTGGTGTAGAACTTACAATGTGCATATTTGAGCTACAGGTATTTTTCTAATAAAATGTATTTTATACTCTCCTTGTCAAGCATAAAACATCAATCTTTCCACAAACCATGGTGGTACTTATTAACACTGCTTAAAAAAGATCTGAGTGGAAAATTAAACTAAATTAAACCCAAAAAGTACTAAATGTGGTATTAAAATAAAATCTAGATCTAGATCATTTTTGGACTCAGCTGATAATTTCAATTAGAATCTAATAAATAATACACAAAAAGCAAAGTAGTGAAAAAAGGGGACTTTATTTCCATTTACACTATTGATTATACAAGAAGGTCTGGAGCAACAAATGTAAGACATGGATGACATTGGAGTTAAATACAAAACAAGTTATTTATTTATTTAATCCTGTCAACATTCAGCTACAGACAAGATGACCGACAGACGCGCTGTGGTCATCTAGGTAAGAAGGAAGGAATTTATAGTTAATGAGCAGCATTTTAGTAAACAAAACTTTATTTACAAGAACATAAAAACTCACTTCAGGACATGCTCTTGGACCGACATGAACACAGTGGATTTCTTCAACTAAACCTTTAGGGTCTGGTTCAGCACTGGCCCCTGATAAATGTTACGAGAGCCGAGCAGTACATACACTATTTACAACCAAGTGACATGCCACTTATGAGTTACTATGACGACCACTGAGAAAAGAGTGCCGACGATGGCTTTGAAATGACAACCTCAAGAATTAGCAAAAATTAAAAGCATGGCTCAAAAAAAAAAAAAAAAAAAAAAAAACCCAAACAGCGACAGTTTAAATGGAATTAAGAGCATTTAAATATATACATTTTGTGCTCTGAATACAACATAGAAGAGTTAAAAAGGAAATGGAAAAGAAAAACATTCAAAAATCAAATGGAGGAAATAAAGGCAAGCGAAGGTTCTGATGAGAACAAATAATTTACTGCCTTGAAGCCCTGATAATGGAAGAAAGTAGTCAAGTCTGAACATGTTTGAGTGAGAATAATATTTGGAGCTTGTCAGATGAATGTATATGTGCAGAAATCTCCCGATGGAGAACTGGTGAACAGGCACGGTGGGCAGACGGCGTTAATAAGTAGTACGTTTATCAACACTGCATCGATGGATGAGTGGGGGTTTTGGGGCAGGGGGAGGGGGTTCTACTGCCTGCTGTTGTTCTTGATCCTCTCCAGACGTTTCTTCAGGTCGTCCAGGTTGGTGGAGGGTGAAGCAGCGCGTGTGTGTGAGGGCGAGTGAGAGTTGTGCTCCTGCTGGTACAGCTCTCTGGACTCTTTGAGCTGAGACAGTTTGCTCTGGAGCATGTCTGTAGACGAGGCCACTGGAGGTTTGGATTGTGGGGGGCGATGCGGAGGCTCGTCCTCTGCACTGATGCTCTGAGAGAAGGAAAAAAAAAAAAAACAGAAAGCGCTTTAGGTTTGCTCTAAAGCTGCAGATATTGAACTAAGTGAGACATTTGAGGGTTTAAAACTGTCATTCTATTACTTTAAATAACGGACGCATGCGATTTATGAGTTTGATGATTGAAGGGTTTTGTTAAAATTTTATATTTAAAACATTTTGCTTTGGATTGTTTTTGACGGAAAGCAAGAGGCATTACAGACAAATTAGCAAAAGTTTCAGAACAGACATTTCCTCTGTGCTGTTGAGTGAACTTCATAATACCATTACACTGCTAAGCAATCTACGCACTCTAAAAAAAAAGGTTTTATATTAATGGCAATGTCATTTTTTCTTTTTGGGATTTTCTAAGATGTATTTGTATTGAATCTAATTATAATTACTATTGTTATTATTATTGGCTGTTACCAAATGGATGAGATGCAGTAAAAGTGCCTAAAGCCAAGTGAGATGCCCCAAAGAGGTAGATTTCAGTTCCAAGCTTCAAGTAGATATATTGACTCAAAAAGTGGTCTACCAATTGATTGAGGAAGGGGCTGGGGTTAAAGAGGGGCTGTCCAGAAACAAATCAGAGGAACTCACTCTCGTGTTCTCCAGTCCTTTTCTCTGCCGCAAGATCTTGAGTCTCTCGTAGTACACGGCAGGTTTCAGCTCCTCGTTGTGACTGCCCAGAGTGGAATCTACAATGTGCTGAGGTAGTGCTGCATACAGACAAATTGAAAGAAGTGAAGTTGAATAAATAATGAAGTTCATCAAGTTTAATGCCGACAGGAGGCTCTGATCAATGTTACCTGAAGACGACTGGACACGAGTTTTGGCCTCTCTCTCCGACTCAATCATGCGAAGGCCTCGCTCCACGTAGCTCTGAAAGAACTGGGACGTGTTCTTTAGGAAGGGCTCCACATCAGCGTCAGAGTACTTCAACTTGTACTCATACAACTCCGTCAGGCCCTGAAGGAAACACATTTTTGAATATGGATACAAAGAAAAACAGTAGGAGAAATGAAGTAAGTGCTGACCTCTTTAGTGTTCTCCTTTGAGCCAATCTTCTTGAAAATCTCTGACAGGATGTCGCTGACCTTTGCCTTCGACATACGATCATCCTGGGGGGAAAAGTACATATTAAAATGGTGATATTAACCAATGCACATTTATTTTTTGGACTTTGAAGTTGAAAGAAATGCACCCACCGATCGTAGTCCAGACTTCTCATTTCCTCTGTCGCTCTTGGAGACTGACTGGTTTCCAGAGTTTTTGACTGCTCTCCTCAGATGAGCCTCCAACTCGGACTCATTACGATTTTCAATCATTGAAAGGTGGTCCAGGATCTAAAAAGAGTTAATTTCATGAATCAGTCACTCAAAGGTAACTATACGTGGTATGCTAGTTGCTTATAATTTTTTGTGCAAGATATTATGTACAATAAGAGACTATCTTTCACATTTCTCCATTGTGAGATCAATAAAGTCCATCTTCTCTTAACAATAACTTTGTGATTAGCCACATACATGGTCCTAAAATATATCTAACAGTCTATGGAGCTCACCTTGGCTCCCATGAGTTTGCAGAGCGTGTGTAACAAAGTCTTGAGAGTTCTGTGAGGCACGTCACTCTTGAGCTGCTTCAGTTTCTCTTTGGGAAAAACCTTCATGAAGTTATGGGCGTCTAGTAAGATTCGATCGAGGTTAATACTGTTGATGGTCTCTGGGAGAAAGCGGATCATCCTCCACAGGCACTAGCAAACGCAAATCACATTTACTTCACCTGACATGTTATTCCAGTGAAAAAAGTTCAGCCATGCATTGGTTTAATTTACCTTCATTACCAGCTCCGAGAACATTGGTGATCCAGCTGATGTGACCAAACTGTCCTGCAGCAGCACCAGCAGAGCACTGTTTAACACAACAAGTTAGTGTTGTTGTAGATAAAGCCTACTCAGATTTTCTCAGTTACTTCATTGGCTACAGTAAGTTATAGAAAAAAATAACTCTGTAATAACAGCCATATAACTAGTTTGCATGCATGTCAAAGCTAGAGGTAGGACCATTTTTGACCCGTCACATCTTTGAATAAGACCGAAAATTGAAAAAAAGAGCACCCCATTCTCACTCAGCCAATCACCTCTAAACCCAGTGAAATAGTGTCTCAAAGCTCTTTAAGTAGGCAAAAGACACAGTGTTTCCCACACATAGACTAATCTGTGGCGCACCGCCACAGATTAGAGACCGCCCGCCACAAATTGCGTTTCGTATTATTATATATATATTTTTTTTGTTACGCTATTTAAAACATGCATCGTCTAGTGCCGCCGCAGCGGTCAATTTGACAGCGGGGAGGGGGGTTTAAAATGTGGCGGCCCTTCGTAACTCTCACTCAAGCTACGCGTCTCTCCCACATACAGAGACCTACACACACACAGCCCCTCCCCTTCGTGCACACCGCGTGTCTCCGTCTCCATCAGCGATCATCGCTGTAAGCAGCTGTGTCTATTAATTTTGGTGCAGAGAAGACGGCTGGTGAAGTTCACTAAAGGTTGGTATCCCGTGATCTCGTAAATCACACATTAAAAAGTGCTGAATGTTCAGTGTCAATGTTGAATTTCCGTCCCGACTCCCTTAACAAGCGATGACGCTTTCTTTATAAAGTTAATTAGTCGCAAGTTTGCGGTATGTAGTTGGGTTGTCGGGGTCAAAACACTATGTAGCAGCTGTAGCAAGAAATAAAGTTATAAGTAACGTTATGTCATTTTTTTACTCTTACACTGAATGTTTGCTGCTTCAATCCAGATGAGTATTGAACAATATTTTCCGCGATTGAAAAAGACACGCGTTGAGGATGAGGATCAGCCTGAACCAGAGATATCGGTCTGAAACAGTCCGCAGTGTAATTAGCTATATAAGTTTACAATATTTTCAGGCTTCAACCAGTGCTGCTCAAGCAGAAAGACAGGGTCAGGGAGAGAACGAGATAGAATTGATTATATTCAATATTATATTCAAGGTCAGTGAATTGACCTGACACACACACACACACACACTAATGCCACGACAAACCCTTATCTTTCAAGAACAAGAACCAGGAGGAGCTCTTGTGTTTACTGGCAAGTGAGTTTGATGAGTGGGCCAACCTCTACCCCTGCCTGAGCCTTCTGGCAAGCATTGCTTTGGTTATCCCTGTTTCCTCTGTGAACTGTGAACGGGATTTCTCTGCAATGAACAGGGTAATAGCAATAAAAAATTCCCATTGTCTTTATATTGGTGCATTTTGCATTGATAATAATTTATCATTTTGCTTTATCTCCAGGTGAAAACAGACCTCAGGAACAAACTGCAGGGAGAACACCTGGCAGCTTGCTTGAGGATCTCCATCAATGGACCCTGTCCTGAGGACTTCCCTTATGATATGGCATTAAAATCTTTTTTTCGCCAGCCCCGAAAAATCAGGTGCTCTGATAAAACATGCAAACTTTGCAACAAGTAGGTTTATATATATCCGGCTGAACACTGACGCAGGCAAAGTCTCAATCTTAATCTTGTTAGATCTAAGTGCTGCCTTTGACACCGTCGACCATGAGATCCTCTTACAGAGATTAGAGGACTGGGTTGGAGTCGCTGGCACCGCCCTAAGTTGGTTTAGGTCTTACCTTGAGGACAGGAAGTACTTTGTGGAGATTGGAAACTGTGTCTCAGATCATATGGCCCTGACCTGTGGAGTCCCACAGGGGTCGATCCTGGGACCTCTTCTGTTCAATCTCTACATGCTGCCGTTAGGTCAGTTAATACGCAGAAACAAAGTTTCCTATCATAACTATGCAGACGACACTCAGATCTATGTCTCACTGACTGCAGGAGAACATGGACCAGTGGACTCACTCCTTCACTGTATCCAACAGATCAGTGAGTGGATGCAAAACAACTTCCTTCAGCTAAACGCAGACAAAACTGAAATGATTGTCTTTGGTCCCCAGAAACAAAGAGAGAGCGTCATCTGTCACCTACAGTCTCTCTCCCTAAAACCTTCAAACAAGGTCAGAAATCTAGGGGTAATACTGGACTCAGACTTAAATTTTAATAGCCACATCAAATCAGTAACATCAGCAGCTTTTTACCATCTAAAAAACATTGCCAGGATCAAAAACATAGTGTCTAAAGCAGACTTGGAGATTCTTATCCATGCATTTGTCTCCAGTAGGTTAGACTACTGCAATGGCCTGCTCACAGGTCTGTCCAAACAGGCTGTAAAACAGCTGCAGTACATTCAAAATGCAGCAGCTCGAGTCCTGACTAGAACCAGGAAGTACGACCATATTAGTCCGGTCCTCAGGTCTCTGCACTGGCTTCCTGTGGCTCAGAGAATAGACTTTAAAACAGCTCTGCTTGTGTACAAGTCTCTCCATGGCCTCGCACCAAAATATATTAGTGACATGTTAGTCCCATATGAACCAGCCCGGACTCTGAGGAGCACAGGGACTGGACTCCTGTTAGTGCCCAGAGTCAGAACTAAACATGGGGAGGCTGCTTTTCAGATTCATGCTGCTAAAATCTGGAACAGTCTTCCTGGAGATGTGAGACAGGCCTCCTCTCTGACAATGTTTAAAACCAGGTTAAAGACAGTTCTGTTTAGCTGTGCATACAACTGAGGGATTTTATATTTGTATCTTTCTTTTTAATGTTCTGTGATTATTTATGATTTTAATGCTTTCTTGTTTTGTTCAGCACTTTGAATTGCCTTGTGTATGAATTGTGCTATATAAATAAACTTGCCTTGCCTTGCCTTGCCTTACAGCGTTAACAGTATTTATAGTGTAATATAGTGTTTATACAGCGTGTGAATAATGTTATTTTTTGCAACAAGTAGGTTTATACAGCGTTAACAGTATTTATAGTGTAATATACAGCGTGTGAATAATGTTTGATATTTTGATCAGTCCAATAAAGCATTTATTTGACCAATTAACGATGTCATTGTTAATTTTTGCCCCCCCCCCCCCCCCCCCCGCCGACGACCACCACACATTGCCTTCAAACCTGTGGGAAACACTGAGACATGTTGATGAAGATAGAAAGTGGTCTGATTTGTTCACATCTCTCATGTCGTAAAAAAAAAAAAAAAAACTTTCCTAAAACTACTGTACCTCAGAATGTTAGTCTGGTCTGACTTCTCGAGCATCTTCACCACCAACAGATTGACAGAGCGAATCAGCTGCTGCCCCTCCTCTATGTCCTCCACTCTGCCATCCAGCATCAGAGTTATGAGCCCGTGCATGAGGTCCTTGAGCACTCCCATAGAAGCTTCTCTGGCCAAGGACTCCATGGAGAACAGCTGAGGAGACGGCCCCAGTGTTAGCAAGGTACAATGCCTACAATGTTTGCGACTAATTATGAGACGATAAAACATATATGCAATATATAATGCAGGGTAAACATGAGTAGTCAGGTGCTCTTTGAGGATAAATGGGAAAATTATGCAGAAAGCAAAGAGGAAAAGGTTTGACGCACTCCGACTTTATCCTTTATAGTGGAAGAGACATGGCGCAAGAGGATGTTTAAGTAAAATCAGAGTGCCTCGAACCTTTTCCTCTTTTCTTTCCAATACAAAAGTTTGAAATTTTGCAGCTTCTCCAGTGTGCTACCCAATTTTGCAATATCTGAATGTATATTTTGAGTTGAATTATTCTACCCGATGCTGTAATTATGTATGCGTTTTCTGAATGTAGTATTATTTTAGGCAACACATGTCTTGTATGTGTTGTAAATGTAATCGGTGTTGCATCATATGTAATGTGTCCGTATTATGTTCATGCGACCCTCTCGAAAAAGAGATTCTGCATCTCAAGGGGCTTTCAACTCAAATGTCAAAAATCAAATCTAAAGCAGACTACTCACAGAGACCATGTTTCCTATAATGCAGCTGTACAGTTTAAAGATTTCCAACTTGTCCAGGCGGTCATCGGCCATGTGCGTGTTGTAGATGAGTCTGAGCTGCATGATGGTGGCGATGAGGAACTGGTCGATGTGTCCCGACATCACCTCTGCTTTGTCCTCCTGACGCACCACCTCGTCAATCTAGGAGAAACACCCGCAGACGATCTTAAATTACAAGCGCAAACTACTGACCTCTTCTGGTGTAAACTCAGAACTACAGCCAGAATTGTAAGGATTTAGAGCCAGCCTTTTCTTTGAACAAACAGAGCTGATTTTTTCATAAATCAAAGTCTGTATAACCCCTCACCAGACACTTAAGACACTTTTCTAATCACCTGAACTCACGACTGCTGCTACAGCTTCCAAAAACAGTGCATACACTAAAATAAATCTGCAAGGGACCCCAGGTGGAGGGGCAGGACCAGGACTGAAACTCATGTGAGGGACCACTTTAGAGATATTTGGGTTTAAAATAATAATAATAATAATAATAATAAAATAAAAACAGTAAAATAGTATCCTGTACCATCTTACCAGTAAAATTAAATGTAGCCTGCACATTGCGACTTGGGACCGTTTACTGCGTTGGTAACTTAATACGCATGTTGGTAACTTGCACTTTTTCTATCTGTATTTTATAAGATTTTTTCTCAAGGACTACAGATGGTTGCACCTGATTTAGCACCATGCTACTTTCCATCTTTTTAATGTAACTTTCCTTAATAAATTAAACTTAAAAAATAAAGAGTAGTTACACTTTCCAGAGGTGGCAAGTATTTTGATCTAAATGACAAATGATATAAAGACTGAAATGTCGTAGCTGTCAGATTCAAAAGAGTGATTTACTTTCACAGATCATATGTACCTGTGCCAGGGCTTGAATGCTGGTGCTGATGTCACCACTGGCCACTTGAGAAATGACAAAGTTAATGGTGGAGGCCGTGCTGTTGTGGAGATCATCAAACTGCGGCAATACCGGGCGCATCCTAATAAAAACATGAATAAAAATGTCAAATTCAAAAATGTTCTAGAGTTTAAAAAGGTTTTTGTGATGCCCGTTCATTTACTTGGGTTCTGGGAGCATAACTGGCTCCAGCAGCTCGTCCAGCTTAAACTGGACCAGGTCTGGCAGCTCAGACACATTTTTCGTATCCATCTCAATCATGTCCAGGTCCAGCTGGAACTCTTTGGGGATGGAGGGGTGGTCGTTGTGGTGCGCATTCTGACGAGATTGGCTGCAATGAAAACAAAAACGCAGTGAGTTCTCTGGAGAAAGTCCTATAGGATGTTTAGGGCAAATAGTAGGGATATATTTGATTAAATCCCTCACATTGCACCAACGTCACTTAGCAATAACTAAAACAAAAAGTGATTTAAGTGTATGCGGGCAGATCATGGCATAGATCATGACATTAGCCCTGAACAAAATCAAAAAAACAAATTGAATATATAGAACTAATAATATTAAAAAAGGGAACGCATTCTGTATTACAATCTGCGTAACGTGAAAACGAGCAAGTGAGGCTTTGCAACAAAATGAGTGACTGTCAAGTAGCTGGAAGACATTCAGAGTAAAAAGCCATCAGGACATAGGCCTACCACGATAAGGGATAACGAGAGTTGTGAAGCATGATACAATAAATTGAGTTTATCTTGCAAGATTGCTTTGAATATTAATGTTTTAGCTGTGCAAAGTACTTTCAAAGATTCCAAATCAATACTTTTCACTTTATCGTGACAGGCCCATCAGCACAGACACAAGGGGGAGCGTGAGGCACCATCCTACACCTGATGAAAAATCCTAGTCCGTTGTAAAAGCTCAAAAAGGAAAATTGGTAGAACATTCAACCTGTGTTAGGAAAGGTCACATGTTTAGGGACAAGGCATAATGTAAAAAGGACACTGCAACATCCTGAGCACAAGATGATAGACATTAAAATTGATCTTTGATTTACTAAAGCAGGTAGATAATGCAATGGCTGCAGTTATAAAACCAAAAAACCTAATAGAGTGATGATTTGGCAGCATGACAGACAGAGCAGCAGCGGGAGGAGGAGTACTTACATCCTATACGTGCGATACATTATTCTGCTCCAAAAAAGGCAGGCAGAGCAGAAAGGAGGAAATCACACAGGAAGAAAGATGGGGAGTTAAACAAAGAGGCCGCTTTCATAGACATTTGGAATTTGAAATGCCAATGAAAGCAACCTGGCATGCAAAGTCAGAAGGAAAGAACCAGTTAGAAATAGCACTGAGCATGCTTAAGTTGGCACACCAGAGATTGTTTGAGAAGATCTGAATAAAAGCATGCAAGAGATCAGCCTCTAAAAGTTTATTCCTGTGTTCATTTATCATTCACTGGGGTTTTTCAACATTTTGTCAAAACACCCTCATAACGTTATCTCAGGGTTTTTTTTTTAGTATGATATGGCCTTTACAAAGTCTTCAGTGGGTTGTCGGCACAAGTAGCTGCGATTCAAGGCTGGATCTGCACCAAAGGCTCGCCAGCACCAAGACAGTGACAACAAGCCAGAAGATTTGTTGTTTATAGTAGCTCAGGCCCAACAACAGTAAATCATCACTAGCGTAGCATAGCGAAGCGGCAACTGCTACAGCAACAAACATGCCCAACCAAATGAGAAGAAAAAAAACCTTAAAGCCGGTGAGTAGGACTTACTTAAGTTTATTGGGGTCTTCCTGAGGTTTGCGGAGGAAGGTGCTGTTAGGGTTGGCTGGGTGCTCCTTCTGCACTCTTTCTGGGGCACTCTGTTTGGGAGGAGCAGCAGCAGTTTTCTTTGCAGAGCGTTTGATCCTTTCTTCCAGCATGCTCATGTCTTTCTCCGACAACTAGAAATGTCACACAGTCTTTATATATATTTATCTTGCTATTGAAAACTAAACTGCTACGCAAAATCCTTACATTTCCTATGAGTTTATAGACCTGGTCACCACAGACGTTATACACAGCCACAACAGTGTTCAGAGCCGCATTGCGAACAGACGTATCCCGGTCACCGATGTGAACAGCAATCTCCTTTAGACACTTAGCAGGAGTGGGCTGGCACACAGTCATCCCAAAGCCCTCAATCAAACACCCCAGCTCCTCCAGACATTCTGCACACAAAAATAAATAATGACCTTTGTATGTGGGGGGAAAAAAAGGTCTTCAATAGTACATACCTGCTCTCTGTTTTGAGTTTTTTGACTTTGTGCCATCCATGAGGAATGGAAACACCTTGGACGCTGGATAGACTTTACACAACATGCCAAGAATAGCACGGACATCTTTGCGCACCACATCTTTAGACTCTCCAACCTGCAGAGTTTTAGAATCTTCATATTAGCCCACTCAGCCCTTGGAACATTCTTTTACCATATTTAAAACTACCCCTTACTTTCAGAATGAGGTAGGGCACAAATGAGTTAGCTTCGTATTCAGTGAGATTATAGCCTTCGCTGTTGAGCATGGAGAACAAGAGCTTCAGATACTCCAACACCTTCATCAGCACTGTTGTGTTGGTGTCAAAGAAACGCAGCGTGAACGACTTCAAGATCAGGTCCAAACAGCCGATCGTAGCCTCACTTTCACTTTCCAACCTCTGCCATTTGAAAACATGGCATACATTTCATTAAGTTATACATTTAATTACACAAAGTTTAGACAAGTTTTAACCTACCTCAATCATGACACCAATAGCCTTAACATGCCTCTGGAAGTCAAAGTGGAACAGCTCATCAAAAAGCCATTTCGCAAAGCAGGTGGACATCTGCGTTTTCAGCTGCTCAACGTATTCATCCCGAGGAGTAATGAAATTCCACTTCAATATCTATATAAAAAACAGCACATCTTGAGCCACAAACATATAGATTAAAACTCCAGCAGATTGTATTCACAGTACTGTTGGGAGGGACACTCAAGACAACAAGAACAACAACTAAGGAATTTTGTATAGTTCTCTATGAATATTCATTACGATCATCTTAATTTATTTCATACCTTAAGCTGTTTCTCTTCTTTCATTCTTTGCTCCTTTGCGTTGGGAATAAGAGTGAATATTGGACCAGACTTGTCCTCCTCATCCTTCACAGCTTTGGCGACAGGCTTCTTGGCAGCTGTCCCCTAAACGGCACAAACACGACAGTGAGAGCACGGAAAGATTTGAAAGAAGATTGTGCTTTTGGGTGAGACGATAGAGGAGACATGCATCAGAGTTATGTGTAGTAGTGATTTTTTTTTTCTCCCAGACAAAAAAATTTCAACTTAAAATTGTTAAAACATTTACATTGTCACCAAAGTGCACAAAAGACGCTTTTAGTGTCGGTATTAGTAATTACAGATATGTTAGAATTTGATCAAACCCAGACCATCGGAGGTCCAGACGGAGAAGGATTAAAAAAAAATATTAGTTTGTGTCAAGTTTGACTGCTCAGTTGGGCTGGTAACATACTCCTTACTTAGCAACACAAGCTAATATTAGTAACCTTGTGTAAGAAATAATGCATGCCAAGGAAAAGGTGCTACATAAACCGTCACGCTGTATGTGGAATACAGTAAACAGTAACACAACTGAGTTCAAAGCAACACTGGTGTGAGCTTTGCGACACTCTTGTTATTAGTTCTACCTGCTGAACGCCAGCAGCAGCCTTCCCTTTAGCAGGAGGCTTTTTACTAGCAATAATGTCCTTGGAGGGAGGAGGGGGGGTTGGAGCTTCTTCAGGAGGGGAAGGGGGCTAGGCGAGTAGAAAAACACCACATTAAGTCACAAATAAATGATAAAATGAGATGATGAGCAGGTCAAATAATAGGGCAGAATACAGTCGGCACTTTGGATTGTATTGCTTCACACAGTTACCTTTCTAGCAGCAGGAGCACCCCCTTTAACCTTTTTGGTTTCTGGTTTAGAATCAACGTCATCACTGGCAGGTTGGGATCTGGAAGCTGCAAAGAGATATTGGGTAAAACATACACTTCAAGTAAAAAAAAATACAATAAAATGGTAGAAGTGAACCAACCAGAGGGGGCTCTGCTCGTTTCTTTTCCCGCAGCTTTTGGAGGTGGCGCAGGTATGGCCGGCATAACTGCTCGGGCCTTCTCCAACATTGCTACCACCTGATCTTTTGAAGCAGGCTGGACAAAGATGTCATAGTTAGAAATTATAGCATTTGAGCATAGCATTACATTTAGAAAAGATTGTCTTACTTTGAGTTTGCCAGTAGCTTTATTCATCTTGTCATAACCCAAATGCATCATAAACATAGGCAGCGCATCCTGGGCTTTTTTCCTGACGTCCCCATTTCTGTCCTCCAGACAAGCGTACAACTGGGTCACACACACCATCAGATCTCCTGGCACGACTCGCATGTTTGGGAGCTTCTCTGCTAACCAGCCCAAGAGCTGCAAGATCAAATATACTGAATTTAGAAACACTCAAATACATAAATCAATGAAGATTTCTTGGGGGAAAACTCATACTAACACCTCTACAGCAGATTGGTTATAAAGGAAGGAGCCAATACCAAAGAATAGGACATCTATCTGTAGCTCTCTGATCTACAGTGCCTTGCGAAAGTATTCGGCCCCCTTGAACCTTTCAACATTTCGCCACATTTCAGGCTTCAAACATAAAGATGTAAAAATTAAATTTTTTGTCAAGAATCAACAAGTGGGACACAATCGTGAAGTGGAACAAAATTTATTGGATAATTTAAATTTTTTTAACAAATAAAAAACTGAAAAGTGGGACGTGCAATATCATTCGGCCCCTTTACTTTCAGTGCAGCAAACTCACTCCAGAAGTTCAGTGAGGATCTTTGAATGATCCAATGTTGTCCTAAATGACTGATGATGATAAATAGAATGCACCTGTGTGTAATCAAGTCTCCGTATAAATGCACCTGCTCTTTGATAGTCTCAGGGTTCTGTTTAAAGCGCAGAAAGAACCATGAAGACAAAGGAACACACCAGGCAGGTCCGAGATACTGTTGTGGAGAAGTTTAAAGCCGGATTTGGATACAAAAAGATTTCCCAAGCTTTAAACATCTCAAGGAGCACTGTGCAAGCAATTATATATAAATGGAAGGAGTATCAGACCACTGCAAATCTACCAAGACCCGGCCGTCCCTCCAAACTTTCATCTCAAACAAGGAGAAGACTGATCAGAGATGCAGCCAAGAGGCCCATGATCACTCTGGATGAACTGCAGATAACTACAGCTGAGGTGGGAGAGTCTGTCCATAGGACAACAATCAGTCGTGCACTGCACAAATCTGGCCTTTATGGAAGAGTGGCAAGAAGAAAGCCATTTCTCAAAGATATCCATAAAAAGTCTTGTTTAAAGTTTGCCACAAGCCACCTGGGAGACACACCAAACATGTGGAAGAAGGTGCTCTGGTCAGATGAAACCAAAATCGAACTTTTTGGCCACAATGCAAAACGATATGTTTGGTGTAAAAGCAACACAGTTCATCACCCTGAACACACCATCCCCACTGTCAAACATGGTGGTGGCAGCATCATGGTTTGGGCCTGCTTTTCTTCAGCAGGGACAGGGAAGATGGCTAAAATTGATGGGAAGATGGATGGAGCCAAATAAAGGACCATTCTGGAAGAAAACCTGTTGGAGTCTGCAAAAGACCTGAGACTGGGACGGAGATTTATCTTCCAACAGGACAATGATCCAAAACATAAAGCCAAATCTACAATGGAATGGTTCAAAAATAGACATATCCAGGTGTTAGAATGGCCAAGTCAAAGTCCAGACCTGAATCCAATCGAGAATCTGTGGAAAGAGCTGAAGACTGCTGTTCACAAACGCTCTCCATCCAATCTCACTGAGCTCGAGCTGTTTTGCAAAGGAAGAATGGGCCAGAATTCCAGTCTCTTGATGTGAAAAACTGATAGAGACATACCCCAAGCGACTTGCAGCTGTAATTGCAGCAAAAGGTGGCGCTACAAAGTATTAGCGCAAGGGGGCCGAATAATATTGCACGCCCAACTTTTCAGTTTATTTGTTAAAAAAGTTTAAATTATCCAATAAATTGTGTTCCACTTCACGATTGTGTCCCACTTGTTGTTGATTCTTGACAAAAAATTTAATTTTTACATCTTTATGTTTGAAGCCTGAAATGTGGCGAAATGTTGAAAGATTCAAGGGGGCCGAATACTTTCGCAAGGCACTGTATAAAGCTATCAATTATCCAAATGGAAAGTACAAAATTACAGGAATTGAAGTGCATAAACATATCTGGCATTAAATGGTTTTAAAGTAACAATATGTGATATTTGCATGTCAAGTCATCATTAAATCGCCCCAATATTTCAAAAGGCGTTATTAAATCATGCTCTTTTCGAATACATCTTTAACTGATAACAGTAGTTCAGCTGAGATATTTGAATATCAAAATTAGTTTTACGACCCGTAAAAGTTTTCCTTTTGATGTCCTAATCTCCGCCGTTTCGCCAATCAGGAAGTCCGAGGTCCGGGTTGCCACAACTCCCCGCGCCTAGTTAAAATAACATGTGGCCGCAGAACTAAAAAATGTCTTGTTATGATTCTCAAATCATTAATGACAAAACAAAGACTAAATCGAGGATTTATATCGGGACGCCTTTGAAAACTTGAGACAATTGAAGGCGGATACAAACTTTCCATGATGCAGAACTTGCTGCGTTAAGTGCGTTCTTCAGAATCTCTTATATGTAAAGATGGCCTAATGGTTAAGTCACAACGCAGGCACTCCAGCAGACCGGGTTCAAATCCAGGCGAGATATGTTTTGGATTAAACAATATATGATGATTAGTTCTATGACGGATTGTTCAAAAACGGTAAAAGGTAAAAACAAGCCGTTATTTGCAGATTAAATCTCAATTGTAATAAGAATCATTTGAGACCACATGTACCCAATTAAAATAATGTCTCTTTTTGATGTGGGACTTGTATACATGCATGTCCATGGGTTAAAGTTGAAAAAATTCCTGAGCCTGAACCATCTATATGAATCATAGAATGATCACTAATAAGCGTTTTTTATAAGCGCCTTTATACGCTCATACATATAATTTATATCTATTTATTGCCAACAACTGATGTTTATTATAAACATCAGTTGTTGGCAATAAATACATCATCTGACTATTGAATTGTTACTTAAATGTAAAGCCTCACCTTGCCAAGACCTTTCTGCAAGTACCCCTAGTTTGGATTTGTGTGATAATGTAAAAAAAAAAAAAAAACATACCACATCACAGTAAGTGAATATACTATTTTCTTTTTTTTAATTATTATTGATGTTATTACTAACATTTTATGTGTAAACTGTAAACTGATTAAACATCCAAACTAGACATCAGATATGACATACAAAAACTAAAAACACTGGATCAGGCAACAAGAACACTTCCAGATTCAACCTTAAATATATAAATAAACCTTAACTTTTAAATTCTACTTATTAAACATTTAGCTTTCAACACAAATAAATGAAACTAAAGTGCAAATGAGCTTTGTGCTGTGTGTCTTCATAAAGCACCTGTGTTAACTTTCAATAGACTTTGATTTGGTAAAACATTACAAAACAACACAAATGCTAACAGTACTGTTTGAAATATTCATTTCTTTTTCTTTTGTTTAGGGTGTGAATTATCTGTATGCTTTCTTTTTAACATGTTGGGCGGAGGGTTTAATGAGGAGGCTACTTTGTCTGAACAATTAAATAGAGGGAAAAAACCGCATGGTCCAGAGGAGGAAGCAGCTGGTGCAGAGGAGAGTTGTCTGGCTGGTCCAGAGGAGGAGGCAGCTGGTGCAGAGGAGAGTTGTCTGGCTGGTCCAGAGGAGGAGGCAGCTGGTGCAGAGGAGAGTTGTCTGGCTGGTCCAGAGGAGTGGGCAGCTGGTGCAGAGGAGGAGGCAGCTGGTGCAGAGGAGAGTTGTCTGGCTGGTCCAGAGGAGGAGGCAGCTGGTGCAGAGGAGAGTTGTCTGGCTGGTCCAGAGGAGGAGGCAGCTGGTGGAGAGGAGGAGGCAGCTGGTGGAGAGGAGGAGGCAGCTGGTGCAGAGGAGAGTTGTCTGGCTGGTCCAGAGGAGGAGGCAGCTGGTGCAGAGGAGAGTTGTCTGGCTGGTCCAGAGGAGGAGGCAGCTGGTACAGAGGAGAGTTGTCTGGCTGGTGCGGTGGGGCTGCAGCCTTTTTATCATCTCCTCTGGACCAGCCAGACAACTCTCCTCTGCACCAGCTGCCTCCTCCTCTGGACCAGCCAGACAACTCTCCTCTGCACCAGCTGCCTCCTCCTCTGCACCAGCTGCCTCCTCCTCTGGACCAGCCAGACAACTCTCCTCTGCACCAGCTGCTTCCTCCTCTGGACCAGCCAGACAACTCTCCTCTGCACCAGCTGCCTCCTCCTCTGGACCAGCCAGACAACTCTCCTCTGCACCAGCTGCCTCCTCCTCTGGACCAGCCAGACAACTCTCCTCTGCACCAGCTGCTTCCTCCTCTGGACCAGCCAGACAACTCTCCTCTGCACCAGCTGCCTCCTCCTCTGGACCAGCCAGACAACTCTCCTCTGCACCAGCTGCCTCCTCCTCTGGACCAGCCAGACAACTCTCCTCTGCACCAGCTGCTTCCTCCTCTGGACCATGCGGTTTTTTCCCTCTATTTAATTGTTCAGACAAAGTAGCCTCCTCATTAAACCCTCCGCCCAACATGTTAAAAAGGACATTCAAAATTCTGTCCACATTTGTTTGTGGACACTCAATGTTTAAGAAAAAGGTTTCCCTATCAACTTGGTGCTAGTGCACAGCGCAGTTTTATCAACTGCAAATGATTAATGATAATTAAATCTACCAGCGGTAGTGATGGTTCTGAACGACAGGTTATTTTCTGCGATAAAGCCACAGACTTAGTTTTAGGTCACAGACACAGTCCACCAGAGCAAGCCTAGTCTCAGTTGTCGCTGAATCTGATGCACCAGGTAAAGAAGTGTGGGAAAGTGCACGGACAGCTGCCAAGTGCGCAGTTTTGAGCTGGTGGTGAATCCAAAGCTGTTTGATTTGTTTTCTCATTACTCCCATATAAAAAAATAATAATAGCGAAGTACGAACAAGCACCGGACACCTTCATCTTTTTGCACCATGAAGCAACAGAATCCCATCGTCTCCACCTCATCCAGCCATGCCCACCTCCATTTATTTTTCACTCCGTTATCAACAGCAACTTATACAGCTCCTTCTTCCATAAACAACGATCCATGATTGTGATTGTGCGTGCATGCTAGGCTAGCTTTGATGAATGAATATAAGACCTGCTAACACACACCTTTCTTCTGCGAGTTTCTTCCGTTCGCTCTCGTTGATTTGCTTTTTTATCACGCAGTTTTGCATGGGGATCGCCACCAAGATATTATCAAAAGCTCACCAAGACATGCTTGTCCCCATTCCCAGTCACAGCAAAGTACATATTGTACATTCCGTTAAATAAAAAAGCATTGCGTTTGGTAAACGTTAATTATGTCCTACCTTTCCTCTGATAACGCGCCCAGTTTACCGGTCCGCGGGCTGCTGGCTGTTATTGCTCCGTTCGGGATTACATTTTCCTTGTCCTCTTCTCCTTTTCAAAAGCTCCGTGCACTTTTCAGAAACTTTCACCTCCGTGTTACCATCGCTAACTTGGCTACGTCCCATTGCCTTGAATCATTTACGGAGCGCTCATGTAGCTAGCCACGGGACGTTCAAGGCCCACTCGTTACTTTTTATTTCAATATACATATAAATACAATTATATTCAAATTATTAATATATATCTAGATATATACAACAGATTCACACGTATTACTATATATTTTGTTATAATTAACCATTTCATTGTGTGTATTATATTATTATTATATATTTTGGTTTTTTTTCAGACCAATTTCATTTGACGGAAATCCGTCACTTAGACGGAACTCTTTAATCCCTGCGCTATACACATGCAATCCTTTCATACAATTGGTAGAACACACTTGAACCTTTTTCAAATGACAGCAATCATTATTTATTTATATATATATTAAAAAAAAAAAAAAAGTGATTTTTTTTTTTTTTTTTTCTCACGCCGGATTTCCGGCACGGTGCCGGAAAACTTTAAGCCCTGCATGTCTAATAAATAGAGAATAAAAAATAATTAAAAAATTGAAGGGTGATATCCTCTGGAGGAAACCCTAATGTTGATACGCTGAAGAAATATGTTCCAACATCCATTCTTCCCACTCCTGTTTTGGACATCAATTGCTTATCTATTTTGCATAATCAATGTATAATTACACTGCTTTTATTTTGTTTTTCTCATCTCAAATGTTCATATAAAATAAATAAAAAAACATTCATTCAACATTAGCACGGCTATCATGGCAATGTGAATGGAGACAGACAAATAACTGATCAAATAATTCCCTGTGTTTGCTGCTGGATTTGGAGTGTATCTGGCAACCGGAGTCAGGGAGAGTGGGAGAGGACTACAAAATATTGACTGACTGCAGTACCACTTTTGGCCAGATTTTTACATTCTGCTCCTTTAAAGCTGCACTAACTGACTTTGGGATTTTGAAGCCACGGACTCGCTGGCCTCGCTCTTTCTGCTCCCCTCCCCGCACCCACGAAGCTATCGCCCCCCACACACACCCACTGTTGGGACGGAGCTAGTGTCTCCCAATATGGATAATACATGGACATGGATTTGCACGTGGATGGCGTGACCATAAAACGATAGAACCGGGAAGCGCGGAGGAACGGGACTTTCTTTTGGATGGATGTTTTGCTGTGTAAGCAGTATCCGGTGATGAAGACACGAAGCTTCAGGTTAGCTCCGCCGCTTGTTGTGCTAACTCAGCTGTCTGTGCTAACGGACCTGGAGATTTCTCACGAAAGTGGGGGCTAGTGGTCCGCTGTGATTGGTCACAATCTGCGACCCGAAACACATTCTCTTCCTTGTTTCATCAAAACTCGATCTAAAATATAATGTCACGCCAGCACAAATCTGCGCTAATTATTCTTCAAAAGGACGTATATCCCAATGCACTACATGGACATGGATAGCATTTTCGTAAAGAATACGAAAATAAAGTCAGTTAGTGCAGCTTTAATTATAGCCTACTTTTATTAATGACACATATGGACGGGACATTTTTCAAAACCGTATCTAACCTCACATTTAAGATTAAGAAAAAAAATGCTGGTTTTAGAGACAATTTTCAAAAGGAAATTGTGACAATGACTGATTACGGCTCCAAATTCCTACGCTACTTGATTCTGTGAAAGCGTTTTTTTAAAAAAGTTGATGTTTTTACTTCTTGTCGGAGGAAAGGGTTCTCCTTCTTGAGCTCCTCAGACAGATCTTCTCCCTCTAACCACTCCTTCATCCCCGTCTGCTCCACCCAAGCTTGCAGCGTAGTCATGGCAGCAGCCCTGACATTAGCCTGCAAAAAATATAATTGTGAGGATAAAAGTCTACGGAAGTTATTGCCTTTTCTAAACACGAGTGCTCACCTTACTATCTCCTAATACTGTGATGATGGGAATGCCCAGTGATTTAACGTGTTGCTTAAGTGCTGGTCCCATTGCGGTTGCAACCTGCTGTAGGATAGACAGGGTCTGCAGGACCTAAAAAAAATGAAAGTTGTTTTTTTAAATTATGTGCAAGAGGGATTGTACTTAAATTCAGGCTTTACAAGTTTGATACTAACCAGGATTTTATTTGAATCGTTAAGTCGTCCTTTCAAGGCTAGTGGCAGGTCACCAATGTTGGCAGTAATAAACTTGGCCTCAGTGATTATGGCTGAAGTCTCATCCAGACCCTCCTTTCTAATCTTCCAGTTCTTGTCTCCAAGTTTAGACACCAAGTCAGAGGTAATCTTATCACTATATAAAGTTGAACAATGTTTAGTATAGAATGACAAAATGGTCTGTATTACTTCCATGTTTTAAATGTAGTAAATGTGAGTAACCTAATGTCTGTTCTGGGCAGTAGATCCATGATATCTGGTTTGGCATCTTCTTCAGCCTCCTCGCCCTCCTCCCCTTCCTCTTCAGCAGCTCCTCCTGTCTTTTTTGTACATCTGGTTGGAGCAGGTGGAGTCTGGCCCCGCATCTAAAAAGCACACACACACACACTTCATTTGTTGATACATTTGTGCAGTGGCTTTGTGCCAATAGATAAACTGCAGCAAACTATGGTACTTCACAAATTCATGTTGAGATATGGGTCACCTTTTCAAATTCAGCATCTATCTGTGACAGGAGAGCAGGCTTCTCATCTTCAAAGAACATCCTGAGAGGAGCACCCATGTAGAGATGCATGACTCCCAGCAGTGTGATGGCTGCCGTTCTCACAGCAGGGTTAGTTGCTCCCAATGCAGTCTTCACATTGTTAATGAAAGCCTTCACATTGATTCTGGTAAGGAAAAACATTCACAATAATTAATGTAAAAAAGAACAACAATATATGCAATACTTTAATATTTAATTTATATTGCAACTGAAGATTTTAAACTTAAATATTTTTCGTTTAACCTTCAGAATGTCTAAATAAAAACAAAGCATTCCAAAAATCCCATGAAATTAAGAAAAATCACTGCTGAACAGACTATGTGGCTTGAAGATATATTCATACCCCATGAACTTTACCATGTCGTCACAGTCCATTTAATTCCATGAAAGACAATGACATAATTCTAGACAAATGTGATATTTTTTTGTGAAAAACTGAAGGTGGGGCTTTCAAAAGTGTCAGATTACAAGGAGCACCACCACTCTAGAATGAGTCTCCTCCATCAGGCATGATTGTGTCAACAGAACATTTTAAATACAGAAGCGACTGAATGTGAACTTGTCGTGAAAACCAATAACCACAATCACCATTTCCTCCTTTTCCGGTCCTGGATCCATGAAAATGTGGTTTTGATTAGGTATTTTTGCAGATGATCATTGCGTCAAGTTTACAAGTCAGTCTGAGCGGAACAATAGACACGAGGACAGCTTCTTTACAGAGACCTGGCTTCTCACAAACATGTCCCAACATATTTGATTTGATTTTAAGTCGTCCTCCATCCTTTACAAGATCTCAGGACACAACCTTGTGTCTGTTTTACAAACACTTTCTAAAAATATAAAGACTCCAGCATCTTAATTTTACCTCATGGATGCTAAATATTTTCACCACCCCCACTTTTCATCATCTTTTCCCATTTTTCTTTATATTCTAGTTCAAGCCACTGCATCATTTCAAAACTATGTAAAAATAATAATTACCCAGTAAAGCCAAACTCTTTTATAGCATTAGCCAACCAGTTGAGTGATTCAGCCTGATTCTTTGGGTTCTTCTGGGAAAATGCAGTTGATACAACCTTAGAAAAATAAAAAACATTTTAAAAAAGGTGAATAATTTCCAAAGTACAATAGATGAAATAATACAGTTTGACAAAACAGACCTGTTCAGCTGTCCAAGGAAGAGAGCAAGTCTCTCCAATAGCAGTGAGAGCTTCTTTAGCATTTCCACCACATTTGATGTCTCCAACTTTGTCTACTAATCCGTCTAAAACCACAGAGGCCGACGTTTTTGAAAACTGCCCTCTCTGAGCTATGATAGCCACTATGTGAAGCTTAATTTGCATGACCTGTGCCCAAAAATACAGAAATGTTTCCAAAATTCCAAATAAACAGAAGGTATATGATAAGTATTTTCTTTACCTGGAAGTTTGTTTCTTTCCAGCCTGGTTTTTTTGCCAACATCCTGACCAAGGCCTGGCATGGCATATCTGCTTTGTCCATAGTCTCAACCGCCTAAAAAAACAGCCGATGGACACACATTATCACTAAAAGTGGAAAGTTTTAGCTCAGCACTTGCAACAGAATCAATAAATCACTGTTAATGAATCAGTTGGGAAAAACAAAAAAACCACACACCCGCTGGAAGTCTTCCATACTTGCAAGTCGCTCCTTCCAGTTTGCAGAATCCAGTTGCTGTAGACAAGTGGCTGGAAGCACTCCTCTTGCAAGGTCTTCACAGACCTCAGTCTGATAAAAAAGCATTTAACAATTATGAAAGGCACTTATTGTAATTTAAGTATGTATGTAAGTGCATATTTTTTAAATCTATAGTCAGCCACTCACTAAGTATGAGACATTAAGGCACATATACATAATAAAATAATCGATTTATAATAAACTATAAACAATACTGTGTTTAAGTCATGTATGCAATGCTTACTGCAGCAGAGACACAAAAGAGCCACACAAACTATGCACATACCGCAAGTTCAGTTTCTGTAAACTCTTTGGTGTCAGAGGACTTCTTGGCCTTCCCCGCAGCACCAGTGGTTTTTCCTTTCTTAGGTGGACCTGAAGAAGGCTTTAGAATGATTGCAAATAATTAATTATGAATTAAAGTTTTTAAAATCTGTTGTGATTTGGGCCATTGGCATTACCTTTGAGGCAGATACAGTGGACTTTTTGGGTGGTGCAGCAGATTTGGGAGCTTCAGAAGGAGCAGGCGCTTTGGAGACTGCCTTCTTCTCAGCCCCTGCTCCTCCACCAGGACCCTTCTTTCCTCCAAGAAGCTCCACTTTGTCAGCACATTCCTTGATCTGTGGCAAATGTATATATGAATAAATCATTATACCATGATATATTATACCGACAGAGGCATTTGACTGATGTAAACTTACTTTGTCAAGCTTCAGTTTGTCCAAATCAGCAAGGAAAGGGTTAACAACCCTTTCTCCAATTACTTTCATAGCTGTACCCAAAGCTTCAAAAGCAGCATCTCTCACCTCTGGAGCTGAATCATTAACTTGCTAAAAATATGACACAAGAACATAATTACACTGCTGGTTTTAATTCAGAACCATGATACAAGGCATGAAAAATTATATTCACCTTGAGAAGAGCAGCGCAAACTGGTTTGAGGACACTTTTGGGTAATGTGGCCTGGGTACAGTGCCGTATAGAGCGTGCAAGAAATAGTGAGGCTTGCTGTTTTATAGAGGGATTTTTGTTGTCCATTACAGCCAAGATGTCTTCAGAAAGGTTTTGAAGAGTAGTCTGTTAAAATAAAAAAAACAGTAGAAATGGAATATTCCAAAGAACAAAAAAAATACAAAGAGTGGTACATACAGTGAGAAAAATGGCATCGATTGCCTCCTGCAGTGATTGTACCACCTGTGGCTTCTTTTCCTTGAATTTCTCAAGAATAGTTGGGACAACCTAGAACAACAATTTCCTTTTAAAATCGAAGTCAAAATCTAAACCCAAAATCTCAAAAATACTGAAGACTCCTTACTTGTCCAGCATATTGCCCAAATTTCTTTCTTAAGCCTGCGGCCAGGCCAGCAAGACATTTAGCCGCAATGGATACCAACATTACATTTGCATCCTTACCCACCACCTGAAATGATATTTATGAATGCAGTTAAAAAGTAAGAAAAATAAACAGTTCTCTTACTCCAAGTTTACCTTTTTTAATGCCCTAACGAGGTCACCATAGTCACCATTTTCTAATTTGGGATTCTTTGTCAAAACCTCCACAGCTTCAAGAGCTTCTTTTCTCTCCTGCCATTTCTTAGCCTCCTGTGAAACGTTTTAGCAAGATTAGGATGGGGACGGTTTCTACAAATACATATATATAAAAAAACAAAAACAAAAACATACTATTTTTTCATAGAAGTCTTTGGGCATCTTTGATAGAATATCAACTGCCTCAAGCAGTTCATACGGGTCGATTGCTACTGCAGTTTCTTCCACTTCCTCTCCTGATTTCAAATAGAGGTAAAAAGATATGTTCTTCAAAAGTGACATTAGAAGTGATTTTACCATCGGACTGATCTCCTTGGGCTTGCTGCTGCTCAAACTTTGCCTTCATATCCTGCTGAGATCGAAGGAACCGGCTTTGCTTGGGCGGCGCAGTGGGGAGCTTAACCCATTCTTCCTCCAGCTCTTTCATCTAAGGCCAAATGTTAGAAGTTTTAAAGTTGTAACAAACATATGGATAATGCAAAGACAGCAATCACACCTGCACAGAGTTGATATTCTGCAGAGGAGGTCGAAGGGCATCTCTGATCCATTTGTAGATTTCAATAGCTAACTGTTTGGCTTCATCTCTTACGGCCTTTTCTCTGGATTCAAACTGTTTGGATAAAATCTTCACCACAGGCTTCAATGTGACAATTTTTGAGCCAAACTCACTAAGAGGAAGAACACACAAAGTCAGGCATAGATTCACATCTGCTGTAACATTGATAATTGATTTTTTTACTATATAAACCTCATACAATTCTAAATACAAACTGGTGGCCTTACCTTAACCCCTTTCTGAGTGCTTCAAGGCAGGCCACAACAATTTTGGGGTTCTTGTTATCAAGGCCTTTGATCAACTCATCTTGAACAATTTCTGCCTTTTCGATTTCGATGTACATTAAACATATGTCTGTGCCAAGCTCCTTGGCCTTAGCTTTTGGTTGATTAAACACTTTGGTGACCACACCAGACACCACCTCGCCAGCAGTTCTGTAAAAAGGAAATAATTGAAAATTAGAATGTTACTTAGTTTGTCTATTACTTCTGAATGTGGCAACAAAATGTATACTTTTCAATACTTTAATTGCTACAGCAAAAAAATGGGTAATTCCACAAATCATAATTTCATTTAACTAAACAGATCTGTCTCACTCTATTGATAAATAGCATATACAATAGGTAAATTGCAAAGATTCAAAGTCCTTGCACAATGCAAAATTACGTGACAAAATATAAGTGCTTGCATCATTCCTGTTAGACTTTACTAATGCGCAAAGTTTGTATCAAGTGCAATAGAATTTTAATTCAAATCATAAAAGGTGAGAAATGGCAAAGGTCTTTGAGTTGAAACAAGTCAGAGGCTGTCTACACGATAATCTAAATGGAATATTTTGTTGAAATCATTCACCCTGAACGCTTAACAGTTTAATACAATGGAGGCACAATGACCTTGCACAAAATTACCAGTAAATGTTATTGGCAACCAGACCTGCAACCATCTGTTCAAGGAGTATCATGTTGCACTGCAAGTCAATTGAGGAGGCAAACATTTTAAGGATTTTAAATCCAGCCAACTTGTGTATAGTAGCTTTAAATTGAGAATAAAACTGAGCACTCATCGTTGATCATTTTACAAATCATAAAGAACAAGAAGTCTGACCCAAAATTAGCACTTATTTTTAATTGCTGACCTGCTTAAAAGATTTGATGGAGGGTCCAAGGACATAGTACTTTAAGGGTTAGAAGGTTATTTAATGAGACAAAAAAAATGTAAAAAGAAGCTAGTAATGCTTAATTACCTAACATGTTTCGACGGTATACTTCCTCCTTCAGCTTAGATTTACTAAGAACCTTCTAAGCCTTAAACATAAGACCAAATTAACTTTTTACATTTAACATAGCACTTTACCAAAAATTAGGTCAATCTTTAATTTTTTTATCTGCATGTTTGATTTCATTATAAATATTTGTTTTAAAATCAGAAGAAAAAGTATTTGCATTGTTTAACTTATGCACAACCCAATATTTGATACTTTTGATTAATTTTCTTAAAAGAAAAATTAGGAGGACCAACAAAGAAGAAATGGGTTAGTAATAGATAGTAATGGTCGAATTTCAGTATGAACTTGTAATACTACTACAATTACAGTAACCTTTAGAAATGCATCATAATTGACTACAACGGCAGCTGTGATCATGCCAATCTAATAATTCATTTTTCAACAACAAATAGAAAGAAACGAGTTGAGAACACAATGACACCTAGTGTTGAACTTAATACAAGTTCTTGTATGACGTACTTTCCAGCCACATGGGCTTTGTCGACGAAGACCAGGGCAGCTTCCAAACCTTTGAGCTGAGCCACAGCATTTGACTCAGTGACAAACTTCTTAATGAGTCCTAAGTACTTTCCCCATTCTGGGCTTTTCTCGTCGTGTATTCTGTTAAAGAGCTTCAGAGCTTCTTCATAGCCATTTAGACGTGCCTTCCACACCTGCAGCAGGAACAGGAAGAAATGTGTTCAAATGTGCAACCTCCGAGAGAATACAGCAAAACATTACAGCCCAAGAGCAATGTTAACAATAATTCAGAGAAATTACTTGTTACACATTGATTGAACATACTTTGTAAACAAATTTTAATTTCATTCTGCAGTCATTACAGAATTTATGAGCTATAAAACCTTCTCCGCATGTTTAAGTCCAAGTAAGGTTCCAAAAAAAAAAAAAAAAAAAGTCATCATTAACCCTTCATATCTTGTAGGCTAAAGGGCACTGTGCACCTAGCAGTAAAACTTCAGTTCAAAAATAATAGTAATTTAAATTGGATAGACAAACCGGAACAATAAGCTTTCATGCAACCTGTCCTACAATAACAAACACCAGTTTTCTTTGAAGTTATTGTTTGCTGTCAGGGAGAGGTCAGCGGAAGATGTAGACAGAAGCAGTCTATTCACCTTATGTTCACATTTCTGGTCAATGGGAAGCTTCATCCATTCACTGTCGTCCCCCATGGTTGCCACTCGGGGGTAGGCTTCCCCAAATCTGCTTAACTAGAAACACAAAAACAAACTGTGCAGGAAGAGCAAGAAAATAAAAAGCACCAACAGAACTTAAAACCTCCAGACTGTGTTCATTGGTTCGATCTATATTTTGTTATTGATGTTCTTCAAGTGATTGTTTTCACCAATTTAATTTTGTTTGTTGACGTATTTGTTTATTAAGGGAGTGGGGGCGTGAGGAAGTCCATTTTCTTTACTTTGGTTAAAACAGAAATGCAGTCTGCACAATATCAACACTTCCTACAAAATATTTAAAATTAGCGAGAGATAATGCACAAACAGCATAACTAACCATGCTTTTAGTGTACCCAATATGGTTCAGCAATATTCCTCCCACTCAAGATCCTCACTTAAAAGCATAAGCATGTGATCAGCTAATGCAGTAAATGCACATTTAAGCTTCAGTTTGCATTGATCCAAAGGATTATGGCAAATGGCTTATCAAGGAGACGAACCTCTGATCAAGTTGCATTCATGTCAGTGTGTTTATTTGGACTGCATTCTTGGTATTACGTTGTTGTTTTTAATAGATCAAAACATAACTTAGCATGCATATCAAGCTCTAGGTTTTAATAGCTCTAGTATGAGCTAACAACTTGACTGCAAGGCACCAGGAGTCAATGATGAGCTGTCATTAAGAAAGTGGCACGTATGATCGCAAAACTGTAAACTATCCTCCTCAATAGTGATAGATGGCGTAATATATTATTTACTTGCTTCAAGATCAAGTGTCTGAAATAAGTTGAATAAATAGCTCTGGCTAACTTGGCAACAGTACAGTTGCTACGCTAACCCGCTCATTCCGGCTTAACATCGTAAAATACAGAGAAAAACTACCAGAGAAAATAATAATGCGAACAGATTTTTCAAGTATTATAGATGGCTCTTCAACGGAGCATTTGGGTGTAGTTGTGTTTATCTCCTTAGAACCATATATCGGCTAACCTTTCATCCGCGCCAACAACCAGGCCTAACAACGCACTTCGCAGCGACGTCGCAGCAGAAAGCCCAGAGCAACACTTCCACACACTGCACATGACACAATGACTACACACAGATATGTATCTTATACTTACATAGTGTTTCTAGTGGACAATGTGCAGCTTGCTATCCAGTGAGACGCAGGCGTTAATGAATATCACATTAAACAACCAGACCTAGCTTTATACAATTGTTGTCACTGTCATTGTAAAACACAGATCCCAATTCCGTTTGTACAAAATAAGGGTCGAGAATTAGAATTTTACAAAAGCAAAAAAGCATGAAACACACAGCTAAATGTGACTACGCTGTATATAGTAAAATTAGTCATACTAATTAAGAAAATTACATTATTCTCTGGATCCTTTTCATTTTGTAAGTTATCTTTTATTTTGGTAATTCCTGTCTATAGTGGTATTACCTTCAAAAGTTTGACGAAAGCTCTCCAAGGGCGGTGAGACTTAGGAGGCGGGGACAAGGCCACCACCCTGACAACCGCGTTTCTATGCTTATTTAGACGGATCGTTGAATAAAACTCATTGCTGGAGTCGCTTTGAAATAACTATACGATATAATAGTAACACATATTGATTTATAGTTATAACATCTCACGGAGAGCCTTTGTTACATACACTGAAGTATTTAAAGTGTTTCCGTATATGACACTATACTTAAATCGGATTGGGTGCATTTAAACAGAGCACCGCCCCTAAATTATAAATACAATAACCAATTGGCTCACAGAAATAATGTATGAACGCGTTAGCATACTTAATGTCTTAATTTATGTATTTGGTTGGCCGATCCTGTAACAAAATAAATACAACATGGAATGGAATCCTACCAATTTTGTGTGTTGCGTTTGAAAATACACCAAGAAAGATATAAAAGTGTAGCCTTACTGTCATAATTATACATAAAATACTCATAAAACCCATTGGACTTTAAAAAGTTTCCTAACATGTAAAAGTGACGTCATGATTAGTGCCCCACTTATGCTTATGAGAAAACGACATTCTGTTGTGCTGCTAGTAGCGCATCCATCAAAAAATAATTTGTGGTATAACCATAGACCGTATATATACAGTGTATGGATATAAGATATATGATACAATATGGTATAATACGTATATTATTTATTAATAACACGCGGAACCATCTTCCGTTGTTGTTTCTTTGGTGTCTCTTTTGGAGTAACTCATAACATCCCTCGTTTCCCTGACAACCCCTCCACCATCTCAGGAACATCAGTGGTACCGAGCCAGAGATCTGCCAAATCAGCATAACCACGGCATTTTATTTTATCTACACAGATCATTTTCGTTATTCAAACTTCTCATTTATAATTCATGTGCCTTTCTATCTGAACCATCCAAATGAGTCGCTTTAATCCCACGGTTCCCGTCGAAGAGTATCTCGGTATGTTAACGAGAGAAGACATTTTAGCTAGCCGCTTGAACAAGCACAGCAACATTTTGAAATGTTTGATGATTGCGATTAATTGAGATTGTTTCTTACCCTTCGTTATAACTCAATGTTTTTATTTCAGAGGATAGTAATGTGATGTTCTACCTATGTGATGCTGTGACCCAGCTTTTGGAGCATAAAGAAGAATACACACACTTTGGAGTTGTCCGTTACTTTGCTGAATAGTAAGTAAGGCACTTCTTGTATTTTGTAGGCTAAGGATTTCACTTACATGATCTGTGTTCAGTTTTAACAGTGTGAGGAACAGCAACCACATACTCTTCAGAGAGTACAGTTACATAAAGGCTACACCCCACAACAGAACATCTTTCATTAGAGTTTTCTGGAGGTGTTACAGACAGATTGGAAAGAGCGGAGGTGAGGATAATGTTCATAAAACGTGCACATTTGGACAAAGTGGTACATTATTAAAAAATAATAGTCATAAAATGTTTTGCAACATCAGTTTGAAATATAAATTTTGTTGACTCCCACTCTCATATTAGTGCTGGTTCAACTTAAGATATTTTAATGAAATTTTTGCAACTAGGACTGCAATCATCATGACTCGTATTAAATAATTTCAGCAACTGATCTTTGTTTTTTGTTTTTTTCTTTGTTTTGTAAGGTAGCCAAAACAAGTTATTAGAATAAATTTGTATACATAGAAAGATGTGTTTTTCCCCTTTCATATTATTGTATTTAATTGTGAAGTTTATTTTCAGAACTCCTGTCTATGCAGGAGTACAGGTCACTGCTTCAGCTTTTATGTCCCGACTTTCCCATGGAGGTGGTTCAGTGTGCAGCTCGGTGAGTCAGTTGATTGAGCATGTAATATTAGTTCATACTGCACAGTTTATCTACATACTTAACAAAAAGACGTAATGACACATGATCAGACTACTTTGTTTGTCCTGCATTACAATTAATAATCAGATTAACTCTATATTAGTGGTATTCATGCTCCAGTTTGTCAAAAACAAATGCAAAAGTTTTGGTTTTCGTCTCTTTCACTCAGTTTCACAGGGGTTTTGGTGTGATCTTGCTTTTGATTCCTGTAATCTTAACTAAAATACATCATTTGCATCTGTTTTTATCTTTCCCTTGTGAAGGATTGTCCTGATGGATGATGCTATAGACTGCTTGATGTCCTTTTCTGACTTCCTCTATGCCTTCCAATTACAACTGTTCTATCAAGGTATTTCATTTCTATAAGCTATTTATTTTAACTTTATTATAAATGATCAAAAGTATGTGAATTATAATATTTTTTTCTGTATTTTTTGCATAGAGTTTTTGGACAGCACATTAGAAATTTATCAGGATTTGCTTGCAGGAAAGAGTCCTAACACTGTTATTGTACCCACCTCCACATCCGTTGAGCAGCTTCCTCCAGTGGCAGCAGAAGAGAAAGAGGAGCAGCAGCAAGATGGAGTAGAGACATCAACTCTAGCACAATGTATTGAAGCCCTCTGTGACCGCTTCAAACACAAGTAAAAATCTTCTATCTATAATGTTGCTCTGTTTGTAAACCATCTTATAATGTTCTCCTGTGTTTATAGTTATCCCCCAAGGTCATGTATGAGAGACATCCTGGAGCAAAATGACAAAGTATCATATTACAGCTTTCTTATGAGCTTGGCAAAGCATGAATCTGTAAACCAAATGATTGGTAAGCTTACTTTTTATAGATTACAGTACAATTTTTCTGTTTTTTTTTTCCTGCGCCCCATGACATACTACCACAATAAAAAATAAACTGGCCGCATGGCGATAAAAGGCCGCTGAGTTCAAATAAATTAAAATTAAAGTAGCAACCCATAGTCTGGCAATTACAATATTTATTTTCATGAAGCCACCTTTGTTTGAATGGCCATGATACATTTGATTTTTAGGAGCACTACCAAGCAAAGCTGATCTACTCATTGACCCAGAAATGGACCAAGAGTTGGACAAACTGTAAGAACCACAATGTTACAATCCTAACAGACAGTTGTATATATTATTATGTTATATTATATTATGTTCTTTTGATTAGAATTGCACAGATCTCAGTGAGCCCAGGCAGTAACAGCAGCGGCAGTGCAGTGGGGCCCCTGAAGGATGTCCAGAGGAAAGCTTCTCCACGGAGGAACATTCACCATAAGAGAAAGATCGAGGTGGAGAGTGATGGCTCCACAGAAGAGACGGACTCTTCTGAAAACTGAAGCCGACAGACGGACCAAACGGACACCTACATTTTGTTTCTTTTTTTTTTTAAATTGAGATCTAAATCATGTACTCCCATTCCAGCAGTATAGTTTCCATCCATTTCCCCATAGGAGTCAAGACAAATGATATTATGACAATGACAATATTAGGAGTTGGATGATATGAAGGCTATTTGCTTATCAATATTCCGAGTGATGATGTTTTCATTCAAGAAAGCACACAACAAAGGGAAAGAATGTTTTAACCTTTAAACTCACGTTTAAGAGGTTTCGTTATACATAATATCATGTTGTAGATACCTCTGGCTTACTGCATAAAGACTGTATTTATTGTATCTAAGTTGTGCAAAACTATTTAATACTATGGAATAAATATAAAAAGCGTAACAAATATTTTCTGATTGAGTAATATTTTGCAACATAGCAATGGCAGACTCACATAGAAAAGCTAATTATTTTGACAGAATACAATTTCCAACTTGTCTATAATTTTTATTTTTTGTTGTAAACATCATTTATTGACAAGAACTGTTTAAAACAATTCTGCATATTGTATTCATTTGACGACAGTAACATCATGCAGTGTTTCTTACACCCAGGTTTTGGTCAAACTGACAGCATACAATAATAACTCTATACAAACATACATACACTTTCTATACAGGATATATACTCAATGTTGACAGTTTATTTACAATTCCCTATAATGACAGAGTCACACGTGGACAGACGGAACAGAACATTATTTGGTGGATCTGGTGCCTCAGCCTCACATTGTGTCAAACCAAGATCCAGAGTCCATCAAACACTAATGTGGACTTGGACTGGAGACATGTGTAAACAGAAAAGACAAAAATAAATAGGCACTATTATTCAGTAATACTACAAAGGCAGGCTTCATCTCCATTGTCTAAGCCAGGTTTCCAAATGTTCAGGCTCGGACCCCCCATAGCAGCATTAAATTAGCTCACAACCCCCACTGTGTAACGACCATTGAATAATGTGCTACTTGTGTAACTACATCCACTTCAAACATGTTTTGTATCAAATATGATGTTATTGATTAGATACAGTTTCATAATAGCCTTTTTTTAACGCAGCTTGGCTAGTTTAAGTTAGTGGATGAGTTAAGATTTACTTCATTGTCCCTGTGGAGAAATTCCTCTCTGCATTTGACCCATCCTGCAATGCTCATGGATGAAGTTTTGCTCCAACTCGCTCTAGCTCCTATTGTGTCACACTCACCATAAAGGGTTTAAAAAATCTGGGTTTTAACGCTCTCTGTTATCCTGGTGTTTATATTGTGTTATTGTCTTTGTAACTCTAGATGAGCCATATAAGGGAAGACCAATCAGATGCCTTCATTCACCGGGGGAATCTCCAGCTTGCCTTAACAACCATCTTAGCAACAGTGCAAACCTAACCTTGTAAAACCAATGCAGTTATAAGAAAAGTGGCTCCAGCTACCTCATGTTCAAATAGGCTACTCCTGCATTCGGCAAACACTATGGTGACGTCAGGACTCTATCAGTCCACCACTAATCTTTTTAGATTTTTTTGGATTTGCTTCAAGACACATGATACTTTTCTAAAAGAAGTCAATGTTTGGGGCGTGTTGAGGAAGTAATTTTTTTGCTCGTTTCTCATTTGGTCACATGGTCACCAGAAGGAGAAAAGCTTAAAATCTAATTTAGGGAACCACTGGTCAAGGTCAAGAATTAAGACACTTTAAGTAGAGACTTTGTACATGTTCTATATGTTGTAGATTTGATCATACTTAGAAACCTTTTGTTTTTGGTTGACAATGCAGAGAAAGCCTGAGTTGAGGATGCCGCAGTCCTGGACATCACTGTGGTCCAGTCCTTCAGGTTCCTCAGTTAATGACAGAAATTGCACAGCGTCACTTAGGCCTTATTCACGATTAAAGGAAAAAAGCTTTGCATACCATTATGGATTTAAAAAAACAAAACAGTTAAAGTAAAAATAGGCACCTTCTGACATTTCAACAGTAGATTGTCATGTGTAGGGTTTATGGGGTTTAATTACAAAGTTATGCTTTGATAGATGAACCCTCATTTGTGCAAGAAAAAAACTGAAAGTACATTGTTGGCTGGCAAATTTTAAGACAATATGTTGCTATTTTGTTGAGTTTGAATTTTACACGCAATACACTTAATCTGTAATCTGTGGCAATAATACAACTGTATGATGTTCTTCTGTTTTGTTGCTTCATATAGTATTAAGAGGTCGTCATAGATACCATCATAAAGCAAGGGCCGTTCTTATCATTACAAACATCAAATTAGACAAAATATGTTCAGTTCAGGTGACGTCAAATGCGTGACTATCCCTGGCCATCACATCCAGAGGCAACTAGTGACAGAACAATGTCAGGGACTGTGTGTTTTTTCCCAAAATCCACCATGCAGTCAGAGAAAGGAGTGTTATGGTGGTTAGTTTTGGGGTTGCATGCGCGCAGTGAGAAGGAGGTGTTACTCGATGAAGATGTCTTCAGTAGGACACGAGTAGCCAATATTTTGCTTATAATATTGTTTGAAAGCTCTCCTGGAAGAAAACAAGAGTACAGGAAAAGTCTCAATTAACCACAATTTGGTAGGTTGAAGTATGATTGAAAAAAACTTCTATCTTAATCCAAAACCACTTTAGTTCAGCACTGTCTCTATTATGTTTAGATTTGTTGGAATAAATACTTTTGAGTTTGTAAGGAGAGGTTTCTTACCCTACACATTCAGCCAGAGGATGCAGCGTTGTTTCCGACATCAACACGTGACAGGCAAAGCGATGTTGGTCAGGGTGTTTGGTAATGAAACCAAAATATCTGTTGTGTTTTGGATGGCATCCACAAAATGAAATGTTTTTCAACTGGAAGAAATTAAAGCACTGATCCCCCTGAAACAAAGTGGCAAATCAATGACCTTGTGTTTTCCACATTGTTTTTCTTGTGTGTTTGACGGTTTACTTCTGATAATTGGACAGTTTTGTTGTTAAAAGCCTTACCCTATGAGCAGACTGGCACTGGTCCTGCACAATGATCTTCACTCCCCTTACACTGACCTCCAGCACACAAGCAGAGGGGGGCTGTCCCGCCTGCCGCCTGTTACAGGCCACCTGCAACACACCAGACCACAGCTAATTACAGGACAACACATACATCTGAACTGTCAGCCTCATCTCTACTCATCTATCAAATTCAATTATATGAAAACATGTTTCAGTGTTCAGTGTATGCATGATTATAGTGTTCAGTGTTAAAGCCTTTTTCTTATAACTGTGCATATGGTTCACATGTACTTATCCATAATCTGACAAAATGGCTTTATGCACATTAACGCGTCACTACATTAGCACTTAACGATATTAGCGCTTCACTTACATTTGTTTATTTATTTTTTCTATGTTCTCTTGTTGTAAGAAACTTTGTAGCACTTTGCCCAAGACAAATTGCATCTGAAGGGCAATAAAGTTTATTCTATTCTATTCTAAGAGATCACTCCTGGGCAAATGAAGGATGGCACTGCATAATACATAGAATGGAAACTGAAAGTACCCATACACTGTGTAAAAAGACAATGGCAAAGAAAGATTATCTCTAATTCCACTGAATTCTGAATTCCTCTCTCAATATTGTGGCATCAAGGTGAGAAAAGAAAATTACATGCAAACTGTATTTCTCAAAAATAACTAAAATAAGAAAATACTCCAAATAATACTAAGTTCAAGATTGCTGTAAATGATAAACTAACCTTATGCATAGCCGCACAGAGTACATCATTGCCTTTGAAGATGGGCACCTGGACAGACCCAAGGAAGCGCACTGTGAACTGTTCCAGCCAGCCTTCTTTTGGAACTGAGTGGGAACAAAAAACAACTGTTTAGGTAAAGATGGATGTACAGTATATACCGTAATTGTCAGGCTATAAGCAGAAACTTTTTCCTTTAAACTCTGTGGCCTATATAGCGATGCAACCCATGTATTATTATTGTGGTAGAGTATTTGCACACAGTTGTAGTTTGGCCGCTGCTTTATAGACATGTGCGTTTAATAGTCCAGCATGTACTGTATGTCAAAAGCTGAAACAGTCTCAGTGCATACCGTTGTTCATATCTTTGGACACTTTCACCACATAGAAAGCAGGGAAGATGCCCGTGGCTCCTGTCCTCATGTTGTAGCCGTGACACCACAGATCTTCAGACTGTTTCAGAATCAACACCGGGTCATCTGTCTCCAAATACAACTCGTCTCCATGCCGCGGAACAAACCTGCGCACACATCAGAGTTTATTTTTCCTCTGCAGTCTGCATTTGAACATGTGTCTGCAGGCATTTTAACACAGAGAAAATATTACCTGAAAGCTGCTCTGTGGCTTTGTTGCCGCTCCACTCCATTCAAAACACAGGAGAACATCCCGAAAGAGCTGGCACCTAAAAAAAAGCCACACACATAATGTAATATATCAACTTAATATATTTTTTTCATAAAGCCACAGGCAAATCTTCTCTCTATTAGAGCTGAAAATCTTGGCCCGAGCCCCATGGGACCCGACGAGTCCGGGCCGGATCTAATTTGTATGATTCCACTGGGGTCCGGGTCGGTCCAGTTATATACAGCAATTGAGTGTAAATCTGATCCTTTCCCCTCATCTTTTAAACAGGCTGAGCAGTGGATATCTGAAAATAAAGGTGAACCCTCCCAAAAGAGCTGAGAATGTTCCTATTTTCCTTCACATTGCACCATTTCTGTGGCCGGCCTCTCTCATTCTCTCTCTCTCCTCTGCACACCTGCCTGCAGCCTGTGTCAGGACACACACACAGAGGATATCAGGACTCGATATGCTCCCCGAAGCAGCGTTCACAGTAGATCAGACAGCGGCAAACAGTTACTTACTTACTTACAAACAGCATCCCCCACACACACAAAAAAACATGCAGCGTTCTAGCCAGGTTTGTGCATAGAAAAAAGTTGTAAGGCTTGGTTTGGGTTGGGGTCAGTCCTCTCGGGTACAGGCCCTGCTGAATGTTTTATGCCCGATTACAGCTCTACTCCCTTTAGAATTTATTTTGCCAGTTAATTTTTTTCATTCCACTGTGCCTACACCAATGGGTTTTTTACTGGACAATAGCCTCATCAATAAAAGTATTTTTTATTAAATCATAAAAAGTGAGAACTAAACTCACAGGGCACAGCTCCCATTATCAACATTTCTAAAAGCACAAAATCACCTGTTTCACTGTAGTCGCTGTCAGCTCCAAAAAGGTTCTGGAACTTTTTGCTGTGGGGAGCTGTGGTATTGGTCTGGGTGGACTGATCTTCGTCTGAGGCGGTGGTGATGGATCTGAACTTGGGATGTTTGCTAAACGTGGCCACAACTTCCCTCCTTCTTTTCACCTCTTCTTCTCTCCTTCGCTGCAAATCCTCCTCTTCCTTTCTTTTCCTCTCCTCCTCTTTCTTCCTCTCTGAAAAAAACAGAGAAAGGAGCATGTCAATCAGTAAAATATTGAATCATGGAGCGTTTAAAAGTTTGCAAAAAAGTGCACCATACATCCAGGAATGAAGGAAACTGGAGAGAAAAGTCATACCAAAATTAAATCTGACAAGGTATGAAATATTTTGGTTCAATCCATGGTTTTCACATGCATGTATTTTTTCAGACACCACCACATCACTCTCAGGCCAAAGTGTCAAATGGTGGCTCACAGGGTCCTTTCATACATATATATAAGAGATTAAATGCAGAGATTAAATTAGATTAAGTCAGCAATGCATGTCGTTGTGGTCGGATTTGTACTCATTTGATACAAAATGTGTCATTTATGGGGGAAAAAAGTGGAATGAGAGATGACATTTATGAGCGGTGACTTGCAAAATTTTCCGATTTCATAATGAAGTATGTTTACCACTGCGTGCAAAATGAAGGTTTAATGATTAAAACCTTTAATTCAGGTATAATACTACTACAGGATTACTATTGCAACATCAAATCATCAGTAAAACTAACTTTGTCACAACGGTCTGGTCATTCTGTAATTTGAATTTTAAAGCATTTGTACTTTCTATATACATGTATTTTTATTATAGCACATATTGGGATAGTTGTACAGAATATTAGACTCAATATATATTAGAGCAATATACAAACGCTCCTCTAGTACGTATTTTGTTGTGAAGCTTTCCCAATCAAGCGAAAGTGACATTTGATCTAATTTAATGTAGTCTCAAGCGGCCAGTGGTGAATAAAACATGCTGACACTTGTGATCACTGAAGGATAAGACACATTGAAATGCAAGGCGTGTACTTGTCAGGCTTATTCCTCTGTTCCAGGGCATCGCAAAATGTTTACTCAGAGCCTCCCCAAAAATATTTGACATCCGTTAATGACCCCCGTTGTTATACAGTAAAAATGGGATGCCTCAGATCATACTTAGTCCACTGTAGTGAGGGTTATTTCAGTCATTTATTGTGTAATTGGAACACGGAGATACAACTAAAGTAATTTGAAGAGAAAGAAGGGAGGTGTCAGTGTAGTCAAGGTCACAACTTCTCATCAAAACCTGTCACATCGTCTGTCAGAGCTCAGAAGCTAAGCAGAACATGGCCTGGTTAGTACTGTGATGGGAGACCTCTAAGAACACCAGGTGCAGATGTAAAGTACTCAACAGTCATTGTGTCTTTAGGCAAGACACTTCACCAACCATGCCTAGTATTAGTCTGGAGTGAGATCGGAGGGGGGCAATGGCTCATAGTGGCAGCCTCGCTTCTGTCAGTTTACTCCAGGGCAGCTGTGGCTAGTAGCAGCTTACCCCATTAGTTTATGTAGTAAAGCGTCTTTACCTGGCCCTGTATTCTATCTCTAAGTAAGTTATGGTGGAGGAGAATAGTTAAACCAATGGGGAGAGAGCTTGCCTGGATTTGAATTTATTGAATCCAATCAGAAGGCAGAAGGGGTGGGTCTAAGTGGCGCTTGTCTCCAGAATTGTAAAAGTAACTGACTTTACGTACCTTTCTTCTTGGTCTCTTCCTCCTTCTTCCTCCTCTCCACCTCGTACTCCGGATCCTCGTCCTCATTGGCCGACTGGTAGACCGTGTCCGTGTCGCTGTCGTCTTTGTGCTCGCTGTAGTTGTGCAGACAATCCTTGAGGCTGACCAACTCCAACTGAGCGTGTTCATCCACTACCAGAGTGTACTTCACAGAGTCATAGCTCAGCCCCGCGGCCGTCTCGCTCTTTGGGACCGTGCAGACCACACCGGAGTCCTCTGTTAAATTACTGCTATTTTCAATTGTTGTCCCTGGGTCTGGTTTTGGGTCTGGTCCTAGTTCTGATCCTGGTTTTGGTTTTGGTCCTGGTTTGAGTTTGGGTTGTGCCTTTTCTTCTGGACAGTTCTGTATTATAATCTTAGAAGGGGTTGGCTCTCCCTCGCCGTCCTCCTCGCTGATGCCCGGGTTGGGGTTGTAGGAGAGCGAGGGCTGCAAGGGTCCAGGTGGGGGTCCCTCTGTGTCTGAGCTCAGGGACATTCTGTTGGAGCCACCCTCACTGCTGGAGCGGGATAGGGCTGGAGGCTGTTCCTGTTTCCTGTCATGATTTTGACCTGGTCACAAACATGGAGAAACGTTAATGATCAATACATTTCTCATTTTACACATGACAGAACAATTGGGGTGCCTCATTGTAATTAAACATGCAAAACTAGAAACAGAATTCACAAATAAGTAGAGCCACTGCATTTAGCAATATATAAAATATTACTTGTACATATATAACCTGATAACAAATCTAAAGTATCATATAAAGACTATCGAGCTGGGCTGAGAGGAGAGGTCTGCAGCTGCTGATCCAAGCTGTCCTATCTCTTACAGGGGTGGGCAATTATCTTATGGCCATGTTGTGGAGGGCCAGACCTGTTTTCAAGCTGTTAATATTTAATTTAAGTTGGGAAAACATATGGGTTTTCTTGCATAAATGTATGGTGGTGGTGCAGGGAGGGGTTATTTTAAAGTAATGGAGGTCTGTGCACAATGAGGGCTTTTTTAGTCGTTTATATTGCATTGTCTATCCACCTCTTTAACTTGACAAAAATAATTATTCATTTATGTCCAAAACAAGAACAAACGGCAACTGGTAATCCAACAGACTTACTGAATACCAACAATAATAATGGCATACCACTGTTTAAGCAGTGATGCAGTCCCCTCACATCCTTGCTTTTCAAAGGAATTCATCCAGACATTGCACAGTCCATACAGTGTCCAAAATTCCAGTGCGGTGTCCCAAAGTTCACTCGCAGCAGTTTTGTGTCTAAATAAAACTGAAAGCTGCCGTTACCACAGCAAACGTTCTCTGTAGCCTACATTTGTCATTTGATATGCCATTCCTTATTCTATAAAAATGTATGTCCAGGTTTGGTGAAATTAAATGTAATATTGATTCCTAATGTATTTCAAATGGAAAGAAATAACAGGGAAGGTATGTTATGCGTTATGCTGAATTTGGATGTAGCCATATCCTCTACAGAAATTGCGAGTGAGCTCTGCAAATCTAAAAAAGGTTTTTTAGATTATCATTATGTTTTTGGTCTGTGTCACAATTTAAAATCTCACGAGACAGAAACTCCTGCAGTCAGTAGCCCGCATAACAGAAGTGGACCAGACAGATTAGGAGTTTTAAAGTTGTGTAATTATAGTTAAATAAGAGGAGATTATCGCAAACAAGGAAAAATGCACTGCTCACTCAAAAAATACGTAGTTTTACGTCCTCTATATGTTTAATGCATAATTTTCTTTTAATTATTTCTATGATTGAGTTTAGTAGGCCTCTAGCTCTTAAATACATCTTCAGGGCTCCATCTTTTGTCAGTTTCACATCAAATCTCTGTTAACAAATCATCAAGCAAAAGTCTTTAACTCAACTCTTTCCTTCATATACAGCTGCTAATAGTTTTAAAGCTAGTTTTATTCTAAAGGTTTATGAAAATAGGCTGGATCAGGATGTTGAACTAATATTAAATAATCACATATGATGAAAACTTAAATTTTATGCAAGGTTGTTATTGTTGTCTTTTAGTACTTTTGTTTTTCATTGTATTGGACTCAGCCCTTATGGAACAATACATCTAATCTTGAATCTTGTGGAGGAGACAGTAAGTGAAAATGTCCTTCAGTGTGTTTTTACCTTACCTTTCTCTTTGCTCTTGCCGTTCTTTCTGGGGGCAACAGGTGTGCGGGGGACCACCATAGCAGGCAGGTAAGGTTGATGATTGTTCAGCATGTTATTCGCTTTGCTTCCCGCTGCTTTGGTGGGAGCTTTGGGCGCTGCTTTTGTTTTGGCCTCTGCTCTGCTTCTCAGTCCGATCGCCTGTATTCTGGAGTGTGCGTTCTTGTCTTTATCTCTGCACTTCTCCTCACAAAGCCGCGGCCCTCGCCTCTCGTCTTTGCCTGATCCATCCTTTGCCTTCGGGTCGGTGTGGTTCCTATCTCTCAGCCCGCCCCGTCCTGCGCTTTTACCCCCTGCCCCTGCCGCTCCTGCCCCCCTGCGCTGGCTCCTAGGGGACTGGTTGCTTGCGCTGGCGGTCCCCGGTCTCTCTCTGACTCGTGAGCGTGTGTCGATGGAAGCGGGGGCGGTTGGCTGTCCGTTCGCTCTGCCGTTGACGCCATTGGTCGCTGGAGGTTTGGGGGCCGGTCGACGGGTGCTGGGTCGGACCTTGGCCTCGGCTTTGGGCTGGGCACCCGGTGGTGTTTGATCCCCTTCACATGCAGAGACAAAGAAAGCACAAGGATTGAGTAACGAGAGCAGACTGAGGGATAATCTGAGGGATAATGAGTGAGAAATCTAAAAACACTTGAGGGCTAAAATACAGTATACTGCAATAAGAAAATGGACAATTAATCAACTAAATATAATGCATTAGAGAGGATGAGTTTTTAGACATGAGCTAAAAAAGAGGCTTTTTATAGTAAAATACATACAGTTGTACTTGAAAGTTTACACACTCAAGCAGGAGTTTCATTTTAGCCATATTATGGAGATAACACACTTTTTTCACTCAGTGTTAGCGGCTGTGAAGTCATTTATTATTCAATCTATACCATAATTGATCTCAAACAACTCAATCTCTAACACACTGTTTATGCACCGTGGCCCAGGAATTTACAGGAACTGGAGGCTTTTTGCCAAGAGGAATGTGCAGCTTTACCATCAGAGAGGATAAATAACCTCACTCACAACAACCACAAAAGACTCCAAGCTGTTATAAATGTTAAAGGGGCAATAGACGCTTTTGAGAACTGGAAACTTCTAATCAGGGTCATTTGAGTTGTTTTGGTTAAAATAGAATAAACAATAAATGGGTTCACACAACTACTAACAATGTGCTGTCATTGATCTCCAATCTCCAAAATATGAAATGTACAATATACAAACATTGAAGCACAACTGTACATAATCCAATAATTTCATTTTGACATAAGTTGATTCATGTTTGGTGCGAATTCCAATTTTCTAATACATGTCTGGATCCTGCCATGTAAAGAGGAAGAGGGGGATGCTGTGATAGAGGGAGTGTCATAGAATGCTGCTAATGTAATGGATGAGTTTTGTGATACAACAGAGCACAGTGTGTCCTCACCTGTGATGTGCGGCGAGGAAGAGTGAGTGTCTTTCCAACTTTCCTTTTTTCCAAGAGAATTGTTGTTGATGGTGTCCTGGAAGAAAGTAGACAGAGCAGCACATTTGTTAAAGCTGCTGGACTAACTAATGGATGCATAAAAAGTAAATGCTGTTTGACTTGTAAAATTAAAATGTTCAAATCAGCTATCTTCATCTTATACTAAAACACTCACTTGTAAGAAAGAGCCCTGTGAGTCACTATTTGATTAGGCGAGTGAGGATCCTCTCTTCTTCATGTTTCTGTCTGAGAAACCTGATCTAAAGATGATCTAAAAATACAACTGATAGAACCAAACTGTTTTATGATTATAGAACTAGTCCAAGCATTATTATGCGGGGTTAAAATGAGGTACACCAGCTTTCTTTTCAGGAAAACACCTGGACAGAAGCAATGAGGCATCTGTGACGCTTGTGCCAGCAAGAGGAAAAGCAGGAAGTGACGATTCTGCATCGACGGCAGAGCTGACTCACACTCATATCCCATCATGCATCCTCTGCTCCACCATCTGTTTCTATGGTTACATCTAAATGTGGGGGTCCTAACCGGATTTAGAATAGCATTTGGCATTTTGCGTGTTGACTTTGCATAACAAGTTGAAATATTGAGGGTAGGCGTCTATAAGCTTTAGCTACTGCCTATTCCCTTTTCAGACCTTATCTTGTCCTGTGCTTGAAATAATTTTTGAATTGTCAAACATGTCTGAAATAAATTGATAAATTGAATTGAAAATTGAAAATTGAAATTGAATTAAATTTCATTGAAATTGTGTTGAAATATTCACCAAAAATATATATATAATTAAAATAGGAAAGGAATAGCGGGGGGAATCAATACTCTCAGGTCATCCACGGCAGGATGGAGACTGGACAATAACAGATTCATCAATATTTCATGTGTTATCCTTTGATTTTTCCTTGTAAAATTTTAATCAAAGTAAATAAAGTAAAACCACCGCTTCATTGAGCGAAGAGGCATAACTTTAGTATTTACTGTAATTACCAGACTGTAAGCCGCTACTTTTTTCTATTTCATTGAAAACTACAGTCCGCACAGCGTTGTGGCCAATGTATGTATTTTATTGTAGTAGAGTTTACGGACTTATTATTAGGACTCCATGAAGTTTTAGTAGCTATCGGACACTAGTTTTTTGTCAAAAGATATTGGTAAATGAGTCCCGACCGTGGGGTCCCGACACGGAAGCTAACAGGTAAGGTAAACAAGCTAATATCTTCATTATGATTTATCCATCCATCCATTTTCTACCCTTTAATCCATTTCTGGGTCAGGGGGGTGGCAATCAGAGATGCCACCCAAGTCTCATAGCACCAGCCCCTCACTGACCCTCTGCAGGTGGTGAGTCCACAGGAGGACGGCTGCTCTCTGAGTTTGAGCATAGCCTTGATCTTTCAGTGGGGGCTTTGGGCAAAGTGGGGTTAAGTGTCTTGCCCAAGGACACAACGACAGCAGTCATCAGTGGGAGTCGGTGGAGAAGGTGCAGAGGTGCAACCTTCTGGCCTTAAGGCCAATGCTCTACCAACTGAGCTACTGTCGCCCATTATGATTTATAATTATGTTAAATACCGTTAGCTTAAAACACCTTGTCATTAAATCATGTTGTGACCATCAGTTGTCTGCAGCTTGTATTCAAGTGTGGCCTATATGAGGACAAAATATATAATATCAAGTATAGCATATATCAAGTTTAACCCTAAATACTCCAGTAGAAGCAAATAAATATATACTTGCATGTATAAGTAATGAAATTAAGTTAACTAGGATTATTTGGTTCAAGTGTAAACCTATAGATGAATATGTAATAGACTCTAATGGTAGAATATTGAAGTAATAAGTTACCTCGGAGGGTTTAAAATAGTAACAATGATGAAACATGAAGCATGTACCATGAAGGTACATGTTAGCGGCAAAAGGCTCTGGGCTAAAAGTGACAGTGGACAGTGCACATTCTGACATTACTGTATATTATTGAACAGATGCATGACATGTGAGGTCAGGTCAGCTTTCAGGAGTCTTAATGTGTCGTTGTGAAGTCTGAAAGGATTTTGGTGGCATGAAAAATATACAAACGGTCACACACAATTCAGCATCACCATAGCATCAAATGAAAACTTCCTTCAGAGACAATACTGCCAATTCTAAATGACTTTAAATAACTAACTTTTACACAGAGTCAAACAGGAGTGTTGTGCTCTAGGCCACAGCACTCAGCACAGCTCATAACTTACAGCAGCCCGACACTGCACATCAGCATTTCAGCTTCCGATTATATTTCATCAGGATCTTCTGTGACCTTAATCAGAGAGGGAATATTCTGTGCACACTTCTATTATTAACATCTGCAAAGCCTCAAACTATAAAATAAGGAAACACAAAGATCATGGACCAAAATGACATGGTCCAAACTTTGTATTTAGAACCAGGATTCAAGTGGTTCCAATTTTACAATAATTTATGGCGTTGTATATATTAGGTCAGCTATACTTTTAAGCTCTACAGTAATATATAGAACGTTTATGAGAGATGTTGTCACGATGCAACATTTCAAACTCTATAATTCTCTTACAGAGTTTGAAATGTTGCATCGTGACAACACCTAAACCAAACTTGAAACTTGATACCAAATTCGGCCCCACAGTGATTATTAATAAATGAATAATAATTAATTTATAACTGATAATAATTATAGTTTTTATCGGGCCACAAGGTCTTGTACAAGTTCTTCCAAAAACCATTAAAATGTATCCAACGATTCTTGAAAAATGTCAAATGTTTATGTAATTTTAGTCAGAATAGATACCTGCTCAAATTAGTATCTAGTTTTGATACTGCTTTTACTATCATTTACACTACTTCCTGGATTATCAAAGCACCTGTATATACAACTAACCAATTTTAAAAGAGAGTATTTTTGTTCAAATATAGGCCAGGAGAAAAACAAAGCTGATAGAAGATTGTTTTAACTGATCACTACATTATTTTTGTGTGACGATGTGTTTTCACGCACTGTTGACTTGTAATGAGCACTCTGGTCCAATCCAAATGCTACAATAAATGTGTGTCTCATCTCTACTAGTACTTGATGGAGTCAAACTAATAAGTCCATAACTTTTGCGCTGTGTATTTCCTTGAATTTCCTTGTCTCGTCTCTATACTGCTCACATAGATATACTGGGAACCAGTATAGCAGTAACAGGCGCTTAACAAAATGAAAATACATACATTGGCCACATTAGTAGATTGGCTGAAACGTTCACAGATAAAAGTCCAGAAACAAAAAACTGTTAAGGACAATCAGATGATATATATATTCTTTAAGGACCTTAGACAGAAGGTAAAATAGCATTACTAAAGGCCTTGTTAAAAGGTTGTAGGGCAGGTTAAATGTAGCAGAATCTTAAAAGATTTAAGGGATCCAAAATAATCTCTGTGGTTGTATTTGCTGTACCACATCACACTCTATATAAACACTCACACTCTATATCTTTGAGCTGAGCCTTGTTGTACAGTTAATATTAAAGCTGTGAGATGGTAAGATGACTGTGCTTTGATGGGAGCTGACACAGTAAACAGGATGCTGTTCTTAAAGGGATAGACCAGGCCACAACCGTTGCTTCTACTTCTGCCTGCAACAGCATTCGGCGCTGGACCGTTGGGACTTTCTCGTGATACAGTACAATAATATCCTTTGATTCAGGCTGTGCTATAGACATTTCAAGCATCATAATATTTAAGAAAACAAGGCATCAATATGAAGTGTCCTTGAGCATCACTACACCTCATAGCTAACATGTTGATGGTGCGACAGGGTGGATTTATGAATAGCAATATACAACCAAGCACAAACAGAAGGCCATTGCAGCTATTTCTCAGCCAGTGTCCAGTCCAGACCGCACATAGCACATACGCAAACAGAGATACTGAATATGTTGACATTATCACAAAGATGCTGGATGACAGACACTGACCTATTTTCTAAGCTCTGAAAAAATAACACCGGTTCCTCCCCTGCGCTCTTACCTGGGTCCCAGCTTGAGGCTGCTGTGGAAACAGGGCCAAACTGGTGGGTCTCTTTGGTCGGTATTTGTCCATGACCGAAGAACAGGTTGGTGGCCCAGTGCCCCCCTGCTCCCAGCTGGATTTTAGGGGCCGCTCCTCTTCCTGAACAAGGCCTCCTCCTCCCCCACCCACCTCGACTACCTTCTGCTCTGCTCCCTCTTCCTCCTCAGTCTCCTCAGCATCGATCAGCTTCAGGCGGCTGCTGCAGACACACCCCCTCCACTCCGGAGCTGAGAGCTGATTGGCCGGTGGAGCTGCCTCTTCATCGTCAGCATCGCAGTCGTACGCCTGGACACAGTGGCACAGAGAGGGGAGAGAAAAGAGGGAGGGAGGGAGGGAGGAAGCGACAGGAGGAAGTGAGAGCAACCAACCAGAGCGCCTGGGTGACATCATCAGCTGTGACATCATCAGGCCTGTGGCATTTTGTGTGAATAAGGATAATAAAAACAGATGGTGTGTGACCCATTAAAACAAGTATAGGTGTCGTCTGCTATGAAACACATACAGTACAAGCACACGTACCATCAAGTGCAGGCAATCAGTGTGGCTTTTAAAAAAGGAATTCTAGTCTGCATGTGAAAGCTAGATCCCGTCAGACCTCTGAAGCTAAGCAGTGCACTTGGTTAATACTGTGATGGGAGACCTCTAGGAACATCAGGTGCCACAGTGGGGCAGCGGCTGATATATCATGTGCCACTCTTCTACTTGTGAGAAACGGGTAAATGTCCTTATGGCGAAACGACACAAAACATGGTAAAGATACTGATGATAAATTGTACATCAACTGTACATGGAAGTGACGCTTTCACAATTAAAGAATTACATTTGGTACTAAGGTAAATATGTTACCGAAAATGTTATTTTTCAACACTAAACCAAATATCGTTCACTGGAGAAATTATTTAAAGCTTTGAGCTAAATAATTACATATTATTGAGGGAATAAATGTTGGTCAGCTATTGTCTTAACTGAATTTATTCTAATTGAGTGAAAGATGTGAAGTTTTTATGTTGCCCCTAGGTGTTCTTGACCCAGTTGTATTTGTATTAATTTAAATGCATTTCATTTTAATATGCATTACATTATAAATTATGGTTCTCATATGTTAATGTCAAATTAAGCAAAAAGCTAACAAACAACCACCAGGTGACATTACCCCTTGGCAGAGGAAAAAGCAGATTCAAATCATCAAAGCTTGTCGTTTGGGTCATTATGGAATATTCCAACATATCTAGCCTGTAGATATATTATCGTAAAGTACCTAAATAAAAATAATAAATTAAGTACATATTAAATACCACGGAACTTACCAGACCATGGTCTTGAATGTCAGTGAGCTCAGACAAATCTTCATCTTCAAACTCAGTCAAACTAAAGTCATCTGTGAGCCTGAAAGAACACATGTACAGCTCATTTTAATAAGCAAACACACATAGTGTCAATGTGTCAGGCCGTTATAAAAGATAGATAATCTGGCCGTGGATGTTATAATAACCGTGATCAGAAGATAATAACTGCGCCTCGTGTCATTCTCGGGAACTCCTGTTCGACATGACTGACTTGTGTTTATGCTGACATCTAGTGGTGACCATGGGGTAACACTGTGAATTCTCTTTTTTAAGTGTGGTGAAAATTATTATTATAGATCCATGGGTGAAAATCCTTAGTCTAATAATACACCCGGAACTGAAATCATGTGTGGAGTGTAGTGTTTGTGGGCTGGATTGCGCAAAAATCTGGATTTGGATCTTGATCATAGTGTTTTAGTCAACAACAAAGACAATTGCATATAAAATGTATTTCATATATACTTACGTTTTAAAGTCTTTATATTGTTATCAAATCAGCATCAGTAATCATTGACTAAAATATAATGTAAATTAAAAGTAATTTCAAATAAAGATGTAAATGTTCAATTTGTACCATTTTTCTACTTGGTCCTCCAGATTGTTCTCATCCTCCTCAGGCTCCATCTGGAGCCCTGCAGCCCGGAGCAGATTTGGGATTGAAACAAAAACAATTTATTCCTGCAACGTATCTGGATTTCAGACTTGTTTTGCAGAGGTGTTGTCTTTGTCATAGTAGAGCAAACAGAGAACATTCCATATGAAATCAGAATATTTGAAAGTAAAACAATCAAGCTTCTCCTCCTCCAAAGTCCCAGTTGCCAGAACGTAGTGAAGTCAGACTTTTCTTCAGTTCAATATAGTTCTCACAGAAAACATTCTGCCTTTGTGAAATTCTATGGTCTATGTTTAGAAAAAGTAGTCCAGTAAATCAGGCTGTAGCTGCAGAGTCCTCGCTGTGTCAAGGTTGACTATGAACTAAGGAAATATGTATCTGTGTGGAATGATGCAGGTCTGTAAAGCCCTCTCAATTTTCTGCTTCTCTGATCAATAAAAAACAAACATCCACTTCCTCTGCTCTGCACACAGCCCTGCAAGTGGATCTCTGCACCTTTAAATTCTGTTTTACAGGCTGAGCTCTGCAGCGCCACATCCGGAGATGAGTGCCATGGACTTTTGTGTAAAGTGACAATATAGGCCATTGTAAATGTGATATATAAGCAATGTAAATATGATGTAACCTCAAGAGCACCTGGATAGAAAGAGTGCTTTCATTTGATGTTGCAGAAGCATCCAAGTTAAAAGTGACTACTTGGGGCATTTGAAATGCAGTCAAAAGTCCTCTGGGTTCGATTGGAAGTTGTTCCTGCTGCAGCATATTTCCTTTATAAACAGGGACGTGTCAAATATCAGCCCAGCAGCAGATCATACTGCTAAACAGATATCTTTTTCATCTGGGAAACATAAAACTACTCCTATACACAATCAAAAATAATCAGATCAGAAGTCCATGGGTTCTCTTTATTGAAACCTGCACACACTGGTGATGCTTTTTAATGGAGAAAAAAACATGAATCTAAGAAGAATTCTTGTTCTCAAAAATCCTTTAGGAATTTTATTGAAAATAAACTCTTTGTACAATACAAAACAAATAAATAGCCACATTTACATCTTTGCTTCTCAACTTCATAATGCTAAAACCTGGAATGTACAGTCACCAACAAGAAATGTTGCTTTGCTCTCAATAACAAATGTTGATGATATTAATTCGCTCTAGTGGTGGATTTTTAAAATAGTAACATGTTAACTTAACATATTTTGGCATTTGGTTAGTCCAGGAACCAAAGGGATTTGTGCAAAACTGTTTAATACCGCAGGCAGACTCCACTTCTCACTAAGTCGGTTTAGTTTGCAAAATCAAACTATACATTAAACAAACAAAATTGCAATAAAATCCAAGAGTGATTGTCACAGATTTAAATGTTTGTTCAATGAGCAATGATCCCAATCTTTTTATTTTGTGCAAAAAGATGAAACTCAAATCATTATATTTGAGGGCTGTTATTTGAATTCTATCATCCGTGTTTTGTGACTGGGAAAACCATAAAAGAAGTGTTTGGTACATTGTAGTAGCCACTGAAAAAAGAATTAGCAAACTTTTTTGTGCAGTAAATCACTTTGCTTTGTCAGCAATGGTCATAAACAAAAGGGCCAAAATCTTACCTTTTCCACTAGAGTAAGCTTTTGGCCATGTTGTGGCGCGAGGTGTGAACTTTAACTTATTATAAAGATTATTACACATTATAATATATGGAGAAAACAACATCCATTCCTTGACATTCATTACATAAAAGCAGCATTATTATTGCCAGCGAAAAATATGGCAACTTCCAACTCTTTCATTATTATATTTCCTCCACAGTTTACAAATTATATTATATTGTATATACTGTATATTTAGTATAGTTACCAAAATCTCTCTGCCATATATGTACACAAATACTTGCTACACGTTCATAGACGTAGGACACACAAAATCAGTAAAACAATATTAGAGGTGGAACCCAAAGCTTTAGCAACTAATGAACTGAGAGCCATGAGTTACCAGCAATGGAACAGCTGTGTCTTGAACGCTCTGTTTTGAAATGTGTCCGGTGCGGCAGATTCTATGAAGACATTCATGAAGTTTAGGAACCGCTGTGAGCCACATCAGTTCCCTCGGGCCATAGTGCATTCAGAGGTCCTCACTCAGCAGCTTAAAGAAAGTTCTTAAACCTGTTCCTTATTAGAGGTATGCTGCTTTCTGTGGGGTATGGCTTTGGGTGTCATGGTTTTCCACAGGAGCAGGATGATAAGTCTCATCCACGAGTTTCCTGGAAGTAGAAAGATAAGGTAAGAAAAGATAATCATTTATTTGTCCCACAGTGGGGAAATTTCAATGTCATCGTTGCACAGATATAAAAAGAATATGCGCAGAATAAAAAGGAGGAAATAAGAGCACTCAGATTGCACACATCAAACAGGATCTATTATTCAAGATAATAGATAACAAATCAAATAATAATAAAATAAAGCTAGAATAAACACTTTAAACACACACCTTGGTACATGCCGAGTTATTGTTGATGTCCCGGTGACTCTCCAGACATTTCTTCTTCCATCATTTCATCGTCCTGCTCCATTTCCTCCTCCATCTTTTCATCTGTGGTTGTACTGTCCCGGGATTCCTCATCGGTCTTCCTGTCCTCTTTGACAGCCGTAGTACAGTTCTGTCGGCCCCTCTGTCTCTGGTTCCAACGTGCCTTCCGGGTCAGGCTCTTTCGTCTGGGACCCAGTGAGTTAGAGCGACCTGAGCAGGGGGCTACATTTGCAGACGGTGACATAGGAGAAGGGGGCTTAGGTTGTCCAGTCATAGGGTCAGTGGAGGTGGACGATATGGTAGTAGGGGGTTCGTTTTGTGGGAGGGAAGCCTCCTCCAGAGCCGTGTTGTCCACCGTGAATGAAGACATGCCCATGGTAGACGAGTCTGGAGCTGTGGAGCACCCTGCTGTGTCAACATCAGGAGGCTTAGGTGGAGAGTCTAAAAAGGTGAAACATATATTAAACATTGTTATTTTTTTACTGTTTTGTATTGTTTGTCTCAGCAAACAAAGTCAAAGTACTAGTAAACTATGATAATTCAATATAGATAAACTACATATTTGATCTTGCCTTACAAAAAGCAGATTTTTTTTCTATTACAAAAAAAATAGCATGGGCATTATCTTTTTTGCAACAGACATTTGATATCCTCACCAGGGCCACTGCTCGTTTGAGACTCATCCGTCATCGGTGGCTCTGCTTCCTCTTGGATAGTTGGTACTGATGCAAGTAAGCCTAAAATATGAACAGAGAACCAAATTCAAATATATATTTGAACATAAAAAGGTCCTTTTCATGCAACCACTCCGCCAAAAGATATAAAGCTGAAATACAAATCAGCTTTACTAAGTCAACAAGTGAAGTGGTACATTTTAAAATGTTAACTTTTGAATGGAGGCACACAGATGCAGAGGCCAGATGTAAAAAAGTTCTTTGTTGTTTTTTGGAACATATAGTTTTGCAGTTAAAAGCTGTATGGAAGTCATCCAACTAAACACCAGAGAATATCAAATGTCAGCAGAGAACAGCACCATTCCTGACGCCATGATAGACCTAGTGTGACAAACTGGCGATGGAGCAAACAGGACCTGGGACTAAGAAGATCAGCATCTAACTCTTGGTGCACTGACATCACGCTTGTGGATAGCTGTGCAGAGATGTTCCGTCTCATGCTGCTAATGTGTCGGCCATTTTATCTACCAAGGGAATCAGTAATTTTTACATTCCACTTGATGCTTAGGCTAAACATAGGTTTCAAGCTGCATTACCGACAGTTCAGCAGCAGCCCCGCAGTGTCTCTACAGCTTGACATAAATACATATAATTATGAAATAAATCTATTTTTGTTTAAATTGTCAGGCATCTTCAGAATGGTACATTTTCAAAATGTTAACTAAGTGTTTTATTACATGATTTGAATCATGTTTTTGTGATTATTGTCAGTAGCCCAGATGTCCAGATTTTGGGGACGCATAACAGACGCAGACAATTGGTCAGGTCTGGTGTTAGCCAGGCTTATTGTACCCCACTTCCAATCCCAATATTTTACTCCACCAAGTATCTTGAGTAGCAAACCACAATATATTGATTGTAAAAAAGTAAGTTGTTTTGATCCAGCTTTCTTTCTGAACGTGTATGTAAATCATACTTTACTCTTCAGGGTTCAAAACACAACATTTAAACTCCCTATTACTCTGGATAAATCATCAAATATATTATTAAACCTCAATACACACAAAAACACATGCAAATAACGGCAATCTTATAACGTCTAGAGAGAGAGAGTTGTAGGTGAACTTACTCAATCCTCTGTAGTGCGACAGCTGCTGATAAACTTGCTTCATTCGTTCAATATTGAGCCGACTTCCTTCTGCGTGGTTTATCATTGGTTTGGGATAATCCACTCCAACCACACAGTTGGCTGCTTTCTGCACCGACTCTGGCGCATTCCAAGGCTCATAGATGTAGCGGTTTGGGTAGTCTTTCAAAATTGGGATGTATCGCCTGCAAAAGAAAACGCTTCATTTCATACACATCACATACACTTTTAAATCAATGATTTTGTATATTGATAGACAAGTGTATAAAGTTCACTTTCAGTTTGCGCTAGAGACCAGCAACGAGCCTTTTTCCCTGTGAATGTAATGGAACTCTAGGCAGAGGTCTGAGCTCTACGAGTGCTTTTCTAGTTTATTTATTATTAACCAAAAATGGTAATGAAAACTGCTGTTTTTAAACTATTGTTCAATTATTTAATTATGTACCTGATATAATCTCCAGTTGGGTCTGTTCTCCTTCCAAATCCAACTGGGCAATAGCAATGGAAAAACTGTTGAAAGAAGGCACTGCAGGACAGCCACATCCAGCTGCCAGCGTTCACACTCCAATCAGCATCCAACAGTAGCTCCTCAAACACCTTTAAAAAACCGCATGATTACAAAAGCTCTATTTCTCTGTTTTCAAGGGTATTGCCAGAGTGGTACCTTCATGCCACTCTCCCAGCTGAGCCACAGATCTCCTCTGGTCAGAAAACAGGCCACCGCATGTCGGGCCAGATGATGAATCCAGCCCTCCTGTCTTAACTGAGTCATGATTGCATCAATCCAAGGGAACCCGGTGCGACCCTCAGCCCACTTTGCCAGAGCCTCAGGGTTCTGGTCCCACGGAATCTACAATTTCACAGAAACTGTTATAGTCAAGAGTAAAAGAAAAGGCACTAACATTTTTGAGAAAAACAATTATTGCTTGTGGCACCTGAACACAAATAGGGTTTCCCTCCATGCGGTCAAAATTGGGATTGTTGGTGGCCGCGGTGTAGAAGAACTCTCTCCATAGCAGCTGTCCGAAGAGGGAAAGAGGAGGACTGCATCGCTTCCGTAGCTTATGTAAATGAGACGAACATACTTTTAGTTACATACATCAGTCAGGCTTGCACAAACTAACACACTTAAAGAAGAAATACATTATTATTTAAAAGGTATTAAATGTGTAACCTTCATATAGAGCTCTCTCAGGTTGTAGTACAGGACATGACATGACAGACAGCCAAAGCGCAGGTACGGGCTCAGGCCGGTGGGGCTGGCGTACAGTGAGCAAGTGCTCACTCGGGGGTGCTCGATGCTGGCGACCCATACCTGAACACAGAGGAAGTCTATTTACTGAAACTATATCTCAATAATCCTTGGATATAGCAGGCTGCAATCGTGGCATTGAGGTGAAACATAAGTGTGCAACTACCTTCTTATCCAGGTGTTTGTTGAGTCGTTCAAGTGCCTCAGATTCCCCTCCTCTCCACACTACTGTAGGCAATCCTTCTGTGCGAAAACCTGACCAGAAAAAGGTGGAATAGTATAAAGAACAATGCATAATATCATTTTTATTTTGATAGACCATTACCCGTGTTTTTATCGTTTATTTTTGTTTACCAGTACATCAATCTTTTTACATTATTTTGGCTCCATCGAATACTAGCCAGGTTTTGAAGCATGTTTATTGTCAAAATACAATGGATTTATCAGAGTTCTGTCATCATCATGAGTAGACAGTGCCTCATTAAATCCTTTATCAGTTTTGTTTTGCTTCATTGGCTGTTGGTTAAAGGAGCAATATGTAAAAATCTGGCCAAAAGTGGTACTGCAGTCACAGTCAATATTTTGTAGTCCTCTCCCACTCTCCCTGACTCAGGTTGCCAGATTCACACCAAATCCAGCAGCAAACACAGGGAATTATTTTATCAGTTGTTTGTCCGTCTCCATTCACATTGCCATGACAGCCGTGCTAATGCTGAATGAATGTTTTGATTCATGTTTTTTTATTATTATAATTTGGACATTTGAGATAAAAAACAAAAACAAAATAAAAGCAATGTAATTATACATAGTTTATGCAAAATAAATAAGAAATTGATGTCCAAAATAGGAGTGGGAAGAATGGATGTTGGAACGTATTTCTTCAGCGTATCAACATCAGGGTTTGCTCAAGAGGATATCACCTTTCAATTTTATTTATTCCCTATTTTTTAGACAAACATGTAAAAGTCCCACATCAAAAAGAGACTAACATTATTTTAATTGGGGTACATGTGGTCTTAAATGATTATTTTTACAATTAAGCTATAATCTGCAAAAAAACGTCTTGACCTTCATCTTTTACCGTTTTTAGAGCAATCTGTCATAGAATGTGATAACATGCAATAAATACAAAAAGACATAGCCCGGGATCGAACCCGGATTCCTGCATCGTAAGCGCGCAGCTTAGCCCGCTAGGCCACCGGTTCACACGAATGGCAGCACCGTGAAGAACGGATTTCAACTAGAAAATTCTGCATCACACGTAAACTTTTATCAGCTGTCTCAATTGTTCAAAGGCATCCCGATATAAATCCTCGTTTTAGTCTTTGTTTTGTCATTAATTATTTGAGAGTCATAACAAGACCTTTTTTAGTTCTACGCCACATGTTATTTTACCACTGAGATTAATGAGCCGCGCGGAGTTCTGGCAACCCGATCAAGGACTTACATGACACTTCCTGATTGGCTAAACGGCGGAGGGTAGGACATCAAAATCAAAACAATAACAACTTTTACGGGTCGTAAAACTAATTTTGATGATCAAATATCTCGGCTGAACTACTGTTATTGTTATTGTTGAAATATTCGGGTCATTTAATGATGACTTGACATGCAAATATTACATATTGCTCCTTTAAGTGTTACATTACAACATCAAAAACCAAGGCTTATATAAGTGCGGCCTACATGGGTTGGAAAAAACGTATCTTCTTTTCAAATGCAACTGATGCGGTGTGTATACAGGTGCAGCAAGTACATATAACTCTTTTGTTTTAGGAAGGAACTCCAAATATGGTCATACCTAGTTCTTCTAATGACGGTATATTGTAGAGCTGGTCGTGGTTCTCAGAAATGTTTGTGTGACACTTGTGCATCTGCTGTGGAGTAATGGGTGCCAATGGTCTTCGAGGTAACTCCAGTCTGCTCACAATCGTCTGAAACCGCTTAAAGGTCAAAGGTGGATTGTTGTTGTTCATCTCGATGATCCTAGAAACAACAAAAGACACACAAAAACACACACAAATTTATGATTTGAAGCAAAATTTACCTACATGAAAAAAAATATTGAGATAGAACTTTCTGAAGTTGACCAGGCCACTGTAAGGAAAGACTTTTTAAAAAGCAGATTTATCTACTTTTGCTTTTTTGTTTATTGCAATTCTATAGGACAATTGTAGTAATAGTGACAGTAGATAATTAGTAATCTTTATTTATATACCGCCTTTTCACTTCAGATTCAGATTCATTTATTTGCCATTTGCAGTAAAACCACATTGGAAAAACTGTGCAAGACTACCCCAGTGTGCGCCAGACAGAGAAGACGACACACACCAGAGCTCTTGCCACGGCGCCATCTTTCCGGCGCCATGCGACAAACAGTAGAATAAACAGCAGAGAGCAATAACATTCAGGTTACAACAGACAGTTGGATAGAAAACATTGTGCTTTGTATAAACCACGGATTTTTTTCTCGGGATGAGCACCTCCGGCTGCCGGTCCAATGTGGCTGTCAGAGGAGGGCGAGGTCAGGGAGGGGGTGAGTCGGAAACACAGTGAGGAGTGGAGGGGAGGGAGAGATCAGAGGGAGGCGGGGGGAGCGGGATCCAAGCTGGAACTGACTGAAAGAGTGTGAATTGTTGTAGAGTCCAGATTTATTATTATGGCCTTGGCCCGAGGAATGTGAGATAAGAGTGGAGAGAAGACACAGCAAGGAGAAAACACATCTTCCTGTAACGAGGGACAATATAGTATGCATTTTAGCAGTCAAAAACAGGCAGATATTCTATTAAATCCAATTAAACCGAATTACGGCGCCCTCAGATCCCATACACAGGGGCAAATCCAAGCCGGGTCAGAGAGTTCAAGCGTGACACACAATGTCATTCAATCTCAATTCCAGAGTTTTATGCCCATCAAGTGAACGAGCTGCGAGATCTTTGATCAACTGTTCCACTAACACCACTCTTCGTTGTCCAGCCACAGCGCTCTCAACCACAGCGCTCTCAACCACGACTCGGTTAAGCTCCTTGTACATCCCATCAATTTTGTTGGCCAGCAGGTCGTGAATCTTGCGAACTGCCATGCCTCCGAATTTGTGGTAGAAGAGAACCGCTCCAAACCCAAACAGGAGGATCCCCACCACCAAAAAGTCAAAGGTATATACGTCTTCCGAATCTTCAATGGACAGGGTCGACAGACAGAGGGGCTGCCACTTGTTCCAGCTGTCAAGCGTATAACCCGCTGGTGAAGTCCCGTCCGGGCACTCGGGCTCTCCAGACCCACGCTTACGATGCAGATCTGAGTCTCAAAGCGGTTTACAATTGTTCATTTTGGGCATTTGTCTCTCACTCCACACAGAGATGGGAGCGGGGTCGCCAGTACAGGAGGCGCATACCAGAACTATTGGACATATTTTTAGTGGTAGGGGAAACCGGAGTACCCGGAGGAAACCTACGCAGACACGGGGAGAACATGCAAACTCCACTCAGAAAGGCCCTGGTCCGACCGGGATTCGAACCCAGGACCATCTTGCTGAGAGGCGAGAGTGCTATCCACTCAGCCACCGCGCCGCCCTAATTTATAGATCCCCGTAGGAGAAATTCAGGTGTCCAGCAGCAGAAACACCTCCATCCAAACAAACACATACATAAATTATAACGTTTCTAACTAACTAAAATTAAGATGGAAAGAGCTGTGAGATTTCATAACACTTTTAAGCAACTTTTGTTAAAGTTAAACTCATCAATCTATCAATGTGCAGAAGCCAGTACTTTTCCCTTGTTTTGTCTATCTGAAGGCCAAGCTACAAGCACACCGTGGCAGCTGCTGATTGGAGGTCTCCATGCCTCCGCTCTGTATAATACACTTGCATTCTATTGTTTCTGTGATCGTGTGCTTTGATCGTGCTGTCTCTACCATCGACAATAAAACATGTCTTCTGTCTGAATTAAAGACGCGATCCCAGACTATGTCATCTTCTTCAGGTGGTGGAGAATGCGGGCATTGTCTGTAACATCTAGAGAACAGAAGACTTTTTTTTTTTACACAAAAAGTGTTTTTTTTTCAAGCCAAAACTGAAAAACCTCAAGAGAACGCATCTGGACCAGCACACTTGGACAATCTGCACAGCCCCTGATTCCAGTCAGGCTGTGAGCTGCTGAGACATGGACAGCGTCCTCTTTTGCATGGACATAATTTGGAAAAATTGGATTACACAATTTGGACATCATTTGGAACAATCTGGATTTCTGAATTTGGACATAATTTGGACTGAATTGAATTGCTGAATCTGGACACTGAAGCTGAAACGTGTGATTGAAAGACACGTCACAGAAGAATTCATGGCTCGACACAAATGCAGCCTGAGGAATCAACACGGAGAAGTGGGAGAGACTGTTTTCAAAGCAATATCTGGAACCACCATCGACTGATGAAGTTTGGTATTTTACTGAAGATTGTTGACAAGTTTTATGAAAAGATCTGAACATGTTTTATGAGCCTGAGTTTTTGAAGTATTCCGAGTTCTGAGTTTTTTGAAGTACCGAGTTTAAGTATTGAGTTATGATGTTATGTTGCTGTTTATCGATCCTGATGGTCACACGTGAATGTATGACCAGAGGGGGGAATGTGAGATTTCATAACACTTTTAAGAAACTTTTGTTAAAGTTAAACTCATCAATCTATCAATGTGCAGAAGCCAGTACTTTTCCCTTGTTTTGTCTATCTGAAGGCCAAGCTACAAGCACACCGTGGAAGCTGCTGATTGGAGGTCTCCATGCCTCCGCTCTGTATAATACACTTGCATTCTATTGTTTCTGTGATCGTGTGCTTTGATCGTGCTGTCTCTACCATCGACAATAAAACATGTCTTCTGTCTGAATTAAAGACGCGATCCCAGACTATGTCATCTTCTTCAGAGCCACTATTGAAATAAATGACAAAGCACAAACAAAACATTGTTGAAATGCTGTGTTGGCCTAGAACCTGTTGAGCTTTCCAACAAGGTTCTGGCTACTTATAGTGGTGGGGTAAAGTTAACTGGATGATAACTGTGACCTTGTATTTATGATCTCAAAGGATACTTTGGGCTTAAAAAACAAACTATATGTCTGCAAACGTGGACTCAATACCACCATTTCCCCCTTCATCTCAAGAGTAATATACTGAATTAAAATAACTCATAAAAAGCCATCTTCCTGTGGACCCACCACCTGCAGGAGGATAAGCGAAGGACTGGTGCTATGAGACTTGGGGGCAGCTCTGATTGCCACCCCCCCGACCCAGAAATGGATCAATAAAAGGGGTAGAAAATGACATGACATGACATGATATAAAAATGGAATGCAAACACTCCAAAACATGAATTAAGACAATGTGTTAAGTGTTAAAACAATAGTAAAAACCCTAATGTTTGTACATAATGGCAGTTTATTAAAGGAACCAATAGAAAAGATTCTGTATTTATAGTTCTTCCTTATACAACAGAGATAGGCAGCAGCCAGTTGGTGGATTTGTGGCAGTGTCAGTTTCCTCATTGGTCCATTCACAGCCACAAATATATAGTGTGTGTATGTGAATGCACATACACACAAGTTAAGCCCTCACACTCTGTCTTACCCATGGTGACCATACCCAAGGCGAGTTTATTATGTAATCCAAAGCTGTAATACAGGTCATGTCTATATGTACTTGCTCTTAGAGTGTAAATAGAAGCGCAGGGGCAATACTTCTAATGTAATGGCACATAATACAGGACAGGCTTCATCACAATGACAGGGTTTAGGCCAACTTCAGCTGAACAACTTCACCACCAGGAGGCACAAGATGTGGCACCACTTTACAACAATATGTGTGATGTGTGTGCAGGCATCGGTTTTGAAGGGGGTGTTTCTGCGTGTAGTTTGCATATTCTCTTTGTGCCAGTGAGGTTTATCCTTGGGTGCTCCGGTTTCCCATACTGTGAAAAGGTATTCAGGTCTTCACGTGTGGAACTGCCTTTTGCTTTTTTACAGCTTTAACTCTTTTGGAATAAGCTTTGCACAATATCTTTGTTTAATATTTTATCAAGACAATTAGAACCTAACTTAACTTTTTAAACATTAATAATATAGTGAAAACCACTGCCTTAAGAAACAGAGGTAGACCTCTAAAGAAGGCTTATTTATACAGGTGATATTTTAATCAAATTCAATTGGACAGAGTCAGCCTGCAAGATGTACACAGAATTATAAAAACACAATTAATTGTGTTCATAGAAATACAAAACTATAGTATTATCAATGTTGGAAAGATAGTGGTATCAGATCGGTATCAGGAATGGCACTGATGACGCTTTTTTTTTTCATGTTAGACTCCACACGGAACCAAAGAAAATGCTGGCTTTTAAAATTGAAATGGTTACCGTTACCCTATACACCGTTTAGCCTGACCCCCACTCAGAGCTTGAGAAAAGACTGTTAGGAGGGAAGCTTGTTGATGAGTTCCTCTACCACAGTTATAACAGTGCTCAGACCAAAACTAAACATCAGAACGCATAAACACAAATGCTACTGTGGTATTTCAGTTTGATACTTTTCCTCTGTGGTAATAGCTTGAACGGTATTATATCGCCCAGCCCTGACTGCCAAATCGGTATTTTCAAAAACCGCTGCTATTTCCATGGAGTCATTGTGTGTCTTCCACAAAGACACCACATAACACACATATCAGGGGAACAATGTTAACACACCTGTCGAGATTGTAGAGGGTGTGGGAGTTTCTGATGAGGGTCTCTACACCAAACTCTTGAGCCATTTTGATAATGGCTCCATCCCTCTCCTTCCCATAAGGCTCTGGGTCATACTCAAAGGTCAACCTCGTCACATTCCACTCCTGCATCAAAAAATGAGACAATACATTACACAAAAAGCAAAAATAGAATACACAGTATCCCGGTATTAGACATACAGTGGTTTAACTAATTGGCTCTAGGGTAGAATAAAGCAGTACTGGCAGCAACATTTTTCAGAAATGTGACATGTGCCACCAGTCCAACAACAGTGGACCATAATGGCTTATTGTATGCCGTAAAATTTGATCTATATTTAATTTTGAGGAGTCAATCGATACATAGCGCTTAAAAAATGTTGACGCTTGTGATGAAAATAAAACATACTGCATTTAAATTTTTATTGATAGTAACTCTTTAGGCGCCAAAGGTGAAGAATTGTGCCATGAGCTCCTGAACCCTATATTTTGTCTGACAAACTGATGAAAAAAATTAATACAAATGAGTATACGTGTATAAAATTGTAAAAAAAAATATAATATGTAAACTGAGTCTTGAAATACAGATGTGGAATGAGTGCAAACCTTAAACAGTCTGGGGAACACATCAGTAGGTTGGCCTCTGACAACAAACAATCGTGAGTTGAGCTTCTTTAAACTGTTGTCCAGGTCCTCGAGGGCCTCCAGCAGGAACCTACACATGTGCAAAAAGTATTCTCTTAACTGAAGGCAAATGAAATTTAATTGAGAATGAAAACACAAAAACTTAACAAGCAGAGGTCCTCTGAGAAATCACACTTGTTACTTGATAAGAGAAAAATTTAATTGTGGATACTGGGTAGTAAAAATGAATCGGAAAGCATAGAATTACATTTTAAAAGTTTGTTATTTATGCACAACCCAGTTGGTTGTGCATAAATAACATATTAAATTGATATTTTTCACACATGTCGGTTGGAAATTATCTCCTCCTCCCAGGCCCCGGGGAAGACCTAGGACACGCTGGAGGGACTATGTCTCTCAGCTGGCCTGGGAACGCCTTGGGGTCCCCCCGGACGAGCTGGAGGAAGTGTGTGTGGATAGGGAAGTCTGGGCGTCTCTGCTTAGACTGCTGCCCCCGCGACCCGGCAACGGATGAAGCGGAGGAAAACGGACGGACAGACAGTTGGACCCACAGAGGACAATATGTTTTATTATTACATTTGGTCAAAAATCTATAAAATTTGCATTATTTGTATACATTTCTGTGGAGCCTCATTAGCCTCATTATTGTAGATTTTTCCATGTAATGCCATTAAAGGGGGAGTATACACAGTATAGAAAAACACCACTGATTTAATAATATGCCACTTAGTGATTTCTTAGATTTTCAGGAGGATTGTTGTTGAATGTTGTTTAAGCGATGTGTGGCTGCAGGCTTTCATTCCAAAGGTCTATCAGGACGGAGAACATCAGAATCTACCAATGTCCTCAAGTTTTCAAGACATTAAAACCTGCAGCCACACTGACAATGAAGGACAAATGCACAGGACACACTCCCCAGCAGGGACAATGAAGTATACCATACATATTTTGTGCATTCCCATTTACTTAGAAACATTTTGTGTTTTCCCTGATGAGCTACACAGGTGTATACAAGCCTATTGAGCAAATAATTATCACTGAAGAGCTCTCTTTAAAAAACTAAACCCACATTCTCAAATGTTAATGGATTCTCCAGTGATGAATGCATTGATAGATGTTGCTGTCCTCATGTTGAGTACTTCTGACGCTATGCCAGCCTACATGAGTCAACGCTGCTGAGGCCGGTGAGTCAACCCCAAGTCCCGGGTCTCCAAGATATCTGCCCATTCAAATCAATGGATTGTACACATGCTCGCACCATGGACGTCCCAATGCTCGGCTTGGTCCCGGTAGTCCTGACCAAGCCGAGCATCAACATCTGGAGATGGGTTCCCGGGCGCTGTTACTACGGCGGCCTTAGTAGCATCAGGATGGGTCAAATGCAGAGGATTGATTTCATGCATGGGAAATATATGGGAGCTTCATATGCTCACTATGCTTGTGAATTAGTGGTAGAAGAGAAATTGGTGTATTCATGTCTTAACAAGGTATACAGCACATTAACATCTGGACAGTACTTTTGCCCTCCCACTGACCACAAAGTTGTTTGTGTTCAAAAAAATATTTGTCCCCTCTACTGGAGTCATGCTAAATGCTGAGGTTGGATGACATGTGTCACAGAGATTAATTTAAACATTCTGCACTTATATTATATTTAACCCATATTAATGTATTAGCGTTACTTTTATTCCTGAATTTCTTCATCGTTTTGTCTTTTTATCTACTGTGGACCGAAGAATAATTTCCTCCTTAAGACAATAAATATTTCCTCACTATTCACTACATACAGCAACAGCCTCAAATGTTAAAAAAAATGCTAGATTATTTTATAAAAGCAAAATGGCTAATTCAATAAATAGTGGACTGTGAGTAAAAGGTGAATTCACAATCTCAACCAATTTATTTGATTCGATTTGAATTGAATACTTTATCTTGAGCAGTGTTACTCTGCGCCATACAGAACGCACAGTACCTACTTACATTGGCAACAAATGAAGAGCAAAACAAAACAAAAAAGGTACAGGGAGGATCTGTACATTTGGGAAGGAAAAAAAGAGACCAATCCATTTCTACTTTTTTGCCATATCGCCCAGCCCTAATCCAGAGGCAATTTCTTCTCAATGCATGTCTCCAGCAACATCTTTATGTGCTTGTTTACATTAATATGGTCCCATAAATCTGAATGTTTCCATAGTGAATATTTCATGTTTCCTTTATAAGTGAATCTTTAGTGCATTATGCGTTAAAGAAATAATTATGCAGAAAAATTCAAATAAAATGTTATAATTTCATAGTAGTAATATTGCATTTTACAATGTGCATACGTTTGATTGAAGTATGCACATTGAAGCGGATGATAACCGTTTTGTTTATAGTAGTTGCATTATGTAGCAAGCGTAATAAATACCCTTATTTTTGTATGAATGGCAACATGCATACAATATCTCTTTCATTATTCTTAAATTGGCCAGTGCTTGCATGTGAGTCCTTAATACAGTCTAAATAAATAAATAAAATATATTTAAAAAAGGTGCACTGATGGACGGTCCACATCACGTGACTGTTTTGTCTTGCCTGGGAACTTCTGAAAACTTTATTCTTTTTTTTCTATGAATTTCGATGTGATTAATATAAATGAGTGTTTTGATTAATATAAATGAGTGTTTTTTTTTTCTTCTAAATTAACATTTACTCTGATTTCAGGAAAACAACACAGACAGTGCTGCAGACCCTCCCACTGCACTAGGGGCTTGACTGTAGCGTGTTAGCAGCTAGCAAGCTACGAAGGCCTTGTTATTACTGTACGCACATACACTAACTAACATGTGCATAATCTACATTTGGCATCTGTTTAGTTGCTCTATTACCCTAATCTTGTAGAAATAGGCACTGTGACACATGAGTTTGTAACGAACCTCCATCGGTTAATCCCCACGTTAGCGGCTCCAGCAAACCACGGGTCCAGGATATAAACACAGCGCACTGTGTCCGCTCCATTCAGGGCCTCCTGTAGCGCTGGGTTATCGTGCAGCCGCAAACCTTTACGAAACCAGTGCACTGAATTCACCACCATGATCTCTGCTAATCCATCTCAAAAAATAACAAATTCTGTAAAGAGCAAAATCCAACCAAACTCCGTAAAAGTAGAGCACACTCCGCAGACTGTCAGCGAGAACTCAACAACAGCACAGTCCAGAGCGGGAGCAGGGGGGCGTGGCTACAGCTGACAGCCCTAAGCCGGCCTGTGATTGGACAGACGGATGTACGTCAGCAGGAATTACAAAAGAGGACCACTGTCATTGGTAAATCACGTTGCAGCACTGCGAGAGAGAGAGGATCTTGTCACGTTTGGAGAGAGCGATGGTCCGTGCTGAGGCTGAACAACGCAGAGAGCGACGCTGCACAACTCTGTTATACAAGTCTGCGTTTGATGCACTTATGTTTGAGTGATCTAACATTTCGCTATAGAATTAAACATGATGTAACAGTAGCAGTTTTGTCTACCTGAAGTACATATGACTACTTTGTTTCTGATGTGACGTCATATAGGTAGTCATAAGAGTGACACATGTGATGGATGGCAGATGGGAGCCAGACATAAAATTAGTTATCTGTCAGTAAAGACATGCCTTTAATTTACAAATAAATAATTGATATCCCTAAAGTCACAATCACCATAAGAGGAAGAATACAAATGTATGCTGTTAATAAAAAAGCTGTGATCTGAACCGTCCTCATAAATGATTGACCTGCCAACATTCAACTGACTTGACTTTCCCTTACACTCATATTAAACATGTCTGTCACACAGGGTTCTCCATGGTGCGTTGTCATAGTGAAGGTGACACGCTCCAAACAATCTGTGTTTGGGTTCATGAGTTTGTGGAGAGAGAGAGCTCGTTTGTAAGGTAAAACTTTACTCTTTCAATATAATAGTACTAGATTGCTGTGGGTATATAGAACATAATATTGTTTACCTAACCTTATTGAACGAAAAGGGAAATTCTTACACCTATGCTATGTGAAACTTTTACGTCTGAATAAACTTTTCTTTTGATCATTGAAACATGCACATGAGAAATAGTGAACATGAATTTACACAAATTGAATGCCATTAAGATTTTGAAAAAAAAAAGTTAGTTTTTATATTCTTCTCCAGCAATGCCCAGTGCTGAACCGTGGGTTGGGTTATGGAGACCCCACAGACCACTGGGCCCTATTGCAGCGATGTACAAGAGCCCAGGGCCAAAGTACTCGCTGCCTGGACTCACAGGTAAAAAACAATTTTGTAACAATACATTTTAATACATTTACTTTATGGGTAATATCAAAGGACACTGTCTATATAGGGTTAAAAATGTCAAAACACTTGATTGATCATGGCTCCGGAACGCTGTATACCAGACTTACCTTTTGCATTAATTGTCTTCTCTTGTGATTTCTTCCTAAAGGAGAAAAATTGCACTGCTTGACAAAATATAAAGCTCCTTACTACAGCTTTGGGTCCCGTCATGAGCTGTCTGCCTCCAGTCTTTCTCCTGGACCCAGATATCTTGTGCCTTCTAACATCACACGAGTGGGCAGGGATGGGACACCTGCATTCTCCCTGCACGGGCGCCCAAAGGAACCTGGTTTATTCCAAGCACCTGCACCAGGTCAGCACTTTACAGCACCTTGGTTATAATATTGAATTTATTACTATTAATTATTTCCAATTACAAATATGATAATAGTGAAATAGGATTGACTTTAACAAAGAAGTGAAACTGACATTCTTCACACAAAAATATAGAGGTTTTGAATTTACATGATTCTTCCTCTCATATGATATATTTGACACAATGGAATATAACAAGCATCAACATCTGGAGATGGGAAGCTGTGCTGCAATGTAGAGAGTAAATTACATTAAAAAAAACATCAACAAAGTCTCCTGTTTACAATCAATTAGGTACATAGTCAATGGCTATAAGACTTTGCCTAATGTTTGTTTTGGTTAATGGGGGAAACTGAACTGCAAGAAGACAGCCCAGGCTGAAGTCCTTTAGTACTCTTGCTATAGTGACATTTATTTATGATCACTTTTTTGTTGGTTCATAGGACACTATTCCCCAGAGAGGTCCTCAAAGTCTGTCTTCCGCTGTTCTCCTGCGTTTACACTTTCTGGAAGAACCAAAGAAAGCATCAAAGATTATGGACCAGGTTATATAGTTTGTTTAGGGCAGGGTTTTTGTTGCTTTGTCAGTGTGTGAAATATCATCGTTCACAGGTCCTGCCACTTACCAACTGCCTGGAGTGATTGGTGGCAAATCTGTGGTCACCTCATCTGCCCCTATGTATTCACTGTGTGGACGGAACAAAACTGGGGGCTTTTCTGAGGACCTCAAGAAGGTATTTTTCTTTCATAGAATGTTTCAAGTTTCCTTTTTTTTAAAGTCATATAATAAATTGACAAAATAATGTGTGGTCTTGGCCATTGCACAAATGTTTGCTTGAAGTGATTTCGGTACATTTTTACTGGCCCTTGAAATAATGTTTACCATTCCATGTCATGCATCTTTTACAGCTAATTTGCCAAGTAAAACAGTTTGGGCACCCCAAGTGTCCAAGTGTAGACGTCTTGTCTCTTGATTGAACCTGAGGAGTGACATTAATTCAATAGACTTTCATAATTGTGGCTTGTATATTACTCGATTGCCTTCTATTTTCGACAGGGCGGTTTTTTCATATTATCTTACATTTTATCTGCCCAGACTCCTGGTCCTGCTGCCTATAAAGTTGTTGACTCGAGTCTCTACAAGGAAAAGCCTCCTCATTTCAGTATGACAGGTCGCAACTTCACCCCAGGGGAAACTACCAAGAAACCTGGACCTGGGGCTTACTGCCCGGAGATGGTATACGAACATTTCATTTTTAGTTTACTTACAATGTTGGGATAGTTTTGTATTTGTATTTTAAAATTCTAAATTTTGTCTAGGTGACCTCAACTAAATTCCAAGCCCCCAGTTACTCCTTTGGACTTCGCCATTCTGAATATATTGCACCTCTCATTAAGGATGGAACAGAGTAATGCACAATCAATGTCCTGTCAACTAAATAAATAACACAGAAAAACTGCCCTTTTTTCCTCGTATATTGAGTCACTTGATAATCTCACACCAAAAACGTATTCTAAGGCCTTAACGGCTGCAAGCGGAAAGTATATGCTGTTAGATTTGAGTCTGAAAAGAGATTCTTGACGTAGCTGCAGAAGGAATGAGAAAACTAAACAAAAACAAAAAATAAGTACAATAAATAAGTAAGTAAGTAAGTAACGTTTATTTATATAGCACATTTTACAGACCAAGGTCATCCAAAGCGCTTTACAATGTTCAGATAATGTTCCAATCATTCCACACACGGTGAAATACTAATATTTCATACTGACAAAGTCGCTTCTCCTGATACTGAGCAAACCTGTGTTTGCCTCTAAATATAAAGGAATTCACTCACAAAGAAACATTTAATAGAAATCCAATGCTTTTATAGACAGATATCGAGGCGCTGTAGAGTGCATTAGAAATATATTCTTACTGTGCTACTGTTGTAACCCCAGTTGCTCTTAATAAATGGTACACAATACAATAATACAAATAATAATTGTATAATCGCTCTGTTGTGTCTGTGTGTATCTTTTATTGCCACAGGGGGGCGCTCTGGATGCGGGAGGATGTGCGTATGTGTTCGCCAATTTTGCAAATGGTTTTGGACATTGAGAAGCACTTGAATGTTGTTTTTATCTCCTTGTGTCATAGTGTCATGTTTTTTTTCCTTATACTGTGTTTTTCATATATCTAATATTACTTGTGGGGCACACTGGGAATTTTTGCAGTGGGTTTAAACCATAGACTGTATATATTAAACAGAAAATGGCATATAAAGCAGCAAGTGGAATATAAAATGAATTTGAACTGCGTTGAATTTTATCGGTTGCTAGTGGAATGTTGTTTATAAAAGCACATTGAAAGGTTAGCTGATTCTTTACCTGGGTACAAGATGGGGCATTAAATCACTTTTCTTCTAGAATAAAAGGTCTCTTCCTACAATTTTTTTGTACTGTAAACCACTTTGTGAATCTGGTCTGTGAAAGGTGCTATATAAATAAAGATCACTTACTTACTTAAAAAGATCGAAAAAGACGTTGCTCTAATTCCTACTTTTTAGCGGTTCCCTGAATGTGACTTCACCCAATCAGGGCTTGGAGACCTATGACGCATATTTTTTGCGCCGCATGTTTTTGATTCACATGTAATGCATTTGTTAGTGCTTTAGAGGTTCTCAGACAGTTGTGGCTTAACTAATTAATTACTGTATTGAATTTTAAAAAGCTGAATTTAATTATTTAATATGTTGAGATGACTGCAATTTTATTATCGGCCATAGAGATCCTCATCAAACCTGCTGGTGAGTGTTAATCAAATTTGACTGTCATGGTCTTGTCTTCATCAGTACAAAACTCTTCTTTCTATACATCCCAACATCCCAATGTATTCTGTATAGTTTTGAGATATCTTGTTGGCTATTGTGATCAATCCACCAACAAAAAAACCCATGCCAATAAAAGCTGCTCTTACAAATGTTGTCCTACTTCCAATTTCCATAGAATCTGTAGGCGATACTCAAACATCTCAGGAGGAGGCGCTGCTCTCTGCTCTCCAGGCCAACAGGAGATGCCTGCTGCAGCACTTGGACTCTGATCCAGGTTTTTCCGAGGTTAGGAGGCTTAGAGATGACGCCTTACCCAAGGAACATTGGTTCTCCAACGACAGAGATGATGACCAGAGTTGGAGTTATGTTCATGAGTGTCTTCTCTTGCTGCTCGCACTCACACGGCATCTCTCTTTGGAGTTGGATTTGTTCAGACAAACTCCTCCACAGGTCAACAGAGTGCGCACTCCAGAGGCTGCTCCTCCTTTACCCCCTGATGTTCTGAGCGTGTCCCAGCAAAAGACATTGACCACTGCCCTTCAGTTCATCATCTCCCTGGGGGTCTGTCCGTATCTGGCTCCAGGAGTTGGGATACCCCTGGCTCATCGGTCTTCTTTTGGAGCAGTGGTGGAAAAACTGACCAGAAACAGGACGGATAAGACTCTTGGACAGCAACGCCTTTTCACTGTCACTAATGTCCTGTTAAAGATGGCAGAGCTGTCTTCTTTAGCGACACTTATCTTCACACGACATTTGGGCGATGTAATGGCAGCACTGTGTCAGCTTGGGTACCAGCCTCATAAAAAGGAAAAGGAAATGACCGAAGAGGCCAAGGTAATTAAACATATAATACAAAACTTTCTATTGTACACAAACTTCTGCCCAAACCATAGACCATATATTCGGAGTGGACTATCCAAGTGCTGATACACCATAGTGTTAGCCCTAATGCTGCAGAAGCTGATTTGAACATAAGCTAGCTGGAGCCAATTTCCTTATACGGGCATTGTGGGACAAATAAAGATTGTCTTCATTGTATGTTTTTTGATCCAACAGCATTTGAATACTGAACAGCAGAGAATGTGTCGTGAGAAACTCAAAAGCCTTATTGGAAGGGTTTATCAGCCAATCGTTATCAAAGAGTTGCTGATACTTCAAGGTAGCAAGGTGAGGAATGTGTGTCCCTGTTATTAAGGCATTATTATATGTTTATTATTCGTAATCTAATAATGTATTTTGTATCAGTCTGTTGCAGTGGGGGGGTGCACTCCAGCCTGGCTCAGACGCCTCTGTGGTCAGTTGCTATCAGAGCGCCTCATGCAGCCTCATGGAGTCCAGGCAGTGGTCAGGGCCATCTTGGAGGGAACAGGTCAGGAAAAGCTGAAGTTTTAAATAGTGACATCTTGATTATTTATCTGGAAAGTATATGTAATCTTTTATCTCAGGGGCAGACTCTGACTGGAGGAAATGTGATGGCGTGGCAAAAATCTTGGTGACTTGTCCTCAACAGTCAACATCAAAAGATTGCTACTACAAACAAGTGTGCCCTCAGGTTAGCCACAAAGACTACATCCTCCCCATATCTCCCCATTCCCAAGAGCTCCCTGCCATAAGGTTTTTCAATATGTTCACACTATAGCGTCTTTTCAGGCTTTCAACTTCCTGTAATTCTCATTACCTGAAGTTGAAATGAGTAAGACAGGATAGCTTGTGTGTGTTATTAATCATTCACAAAACCCATATACAGGTGGAGGTCGAAAACTTACAATACTGTTACTTTTGAAATTTAACTTGAAACTTAATATATATGACCGACTCATTACACGTAAAACGGGATAAAATGAGAGACAGATGTTAAAGTTGTCCATGGGCAGATGTCCATCTGTCGAATTGCAGAAATAAATGCATATATAGTAAAGTTAATGATTATCACTTCAAACTGCCCCTCTCACATTTTAACTGTATGTTTGTGCAGATCTTGGACATGCTACATTTCAAAGACAAGCTGACGGCTCAACAGTTTCAGCGAGTGGCAACTTCAGCATTGCTTGCTCTGGTGGCAGAGAAGAGCTCTTTTGCTCAGCAGTACCTTCTAACTCCTATGTTTGCACCGATACGTCGCTGCACTTCATACAGTCAGTAACATTGTTGTATTTAAGTTTTTGAACCACTGTAGCTAATAGATGACATGGGCATTTACACTTGTACTATATATGTGCAACTTATTTTTCTATCAATAAAAGTAGTGCTGATGTTTTTGTTGTTTTGAATGTTTGCCTTATGGATTGTCAATGTTAAATGATTTTGCTTTGTCGTTCAAGACCCGAGCCTAACTCCTGATGAAGTGACTGAATGGGAGCTTACACAATGTATAGAAGATTTGTACAAAGTGAGAACTCGTCATCCATGTCCTGTATTTTGTATTGTTTTCTGAGTAATTTCTATCCCATATGTTTCAGGTCTGTGTTGTGGGGAACCAGCCTTCACCTCCACTCCTCACAGCTTTACAAGAAGTTTTACCTGTTATTTTTACTTTGTTCTGTTTTACCAAGCAAAATGTATCACATCTACGGTATTGCCCCTCGCCAGGAGTAACAGGAATGAATAAACAAATGAGACATATTCTGTTTGATCATGTATCTGTTCCCCGCAGTGCTCCCTGTCAAGAGATCCTGCTGTGGGGCTTGAGTCAGTCTGAACACGCCACATCTCTCACTATTCTGAGGGAACTGTCAGGTCTGAAAGCACAACAACACAAAGCCGCTCCAGGATTTCACTTTTGTCCTGGCAGTGATGGAGGAGTGACACTTAAATCAAGGGACAACTGCAGGTGACTGAAACCACTTTCACATTGGTGCATTATGTGTTTTATTGTTTTACATGAAAATGGTCTAGTCCACGGGTGAATCATTGCAAATCAAAACTAATCATCTGAGGTTTTGACTCTCATTTAGTTATCATTATCTTGATCAAGAAAATAATGCCTGGGTGGGAGTCTAAACATTTCTACAAACCTTATACACTTTTGAAACATTCTCTATAGTGGTTTTAAATGTATTTTTTCTGGTTATCAGTGATGAAGATGATGCGCTGTTTGAGAAGTTGTCTGGTGAACAGTGGAGACTAGAGTGTCTATCCGAGCTCCTAGCTCAAATCAAAGACAATGATATACCTGGAGACTTCTTCTTAGACCTGTTGCAGGTAAATGCTGTGTGGAGAAAGGAACTATAACTGTAAAACTATATCAGAGTTGAATGACATCGTGATTAACTCTGAAGGGTGTGTAAACATGTTACAATCTTACTGTTGTAGGAGCTCACATGTTTTGCTGCTGAGGTCGATGAGGAGGAGCACAAGGAGCTGTCAGCCATGACTCTTCTAGAGGTGGAGCAGCAGGTGCTGTCCCGGACGGAGCAGAGAGCCCAGAGGCTGGCTCTGCTGCAGGTGCTGGCTGTAATGGTGGAGTGTTTGCCTCATACTTCTCTGTTGAGGAAAACCACACAGGTCAGTCTCATTGGCAAATGATGTGATCCTCAATGAAAATTCTCCTCAAGGTAGACTTAGGGTCTTTAAGTGATAAAGGTTCATGATTAATTGCTGAGTGAAATTAAAGGTCTTAAAAGCTTCAGGGCACATGTAAGTATTACAGCATTCATTTAAAATAATGAATTCTGTAATTTAAATGTTTACTTTAAACTGAGTCGCCAAGCACAAGCCTCAGCACAGTGCAAATTCTCCCACTATTACTATCAATATCTGTGTGTATACAGAACAGGGGCAACTTTCCAGGCCCTGGAATAGCAATGGAGTCCTGTTCGTGGCACCACTCTTTCTCTTTAACAAAGTTCAAAAATGTAACTTGACCAATCCTGGACCCTCCGTGCAACTGTAATAGCAGCATCCAGTAATGGCCATTATTTTACAAGATAATGTATAAAACCCATTACTTCACTTGTAAAGTATTACTCAGCGTTCCACCAAGAAACAGTTCAGTAGACATTGATAAGATTAGTCTTTAACACAGGCCAGGCGCTTGTTCATGACTGTGCCCTTTTAAGTACTGCATCTTAAAAGTGAACTGAAAGAATCTATTCTACAGTATTTTACAAGATAATCTAGATATTAACAGTCTGTGGACGCAGGTGACACCCCAGAACAGAACTCATACATGTTTATGTTTATACAGAAACCTACATTTTTAAGAATTTTTACAATTTGTTAAGTGTAAATTTCATGTGTTCATTATTGTTGTTAGTATGTCTCTCGTAATTTAATTTCTCTCCCTCAGGTGGTGGATTTCATATTCTCTTTGCTCCAGAGAGCCTGTGTGGGCCTCTCTGTGGACCCCAGCTCCAGATGTGAGAATCCAGTGGACAGTCAGACCCTGAGCATGGGGATGGGGCTGGTGGCCACGCTTCTCTCTGTTCCACAGGTACAAGTTAACTTGTGTCTATGGAGGATTACAGCTTGTGGTTTATTATAATGAAAAATAATGTACAATTTTTTTTCGGTTGCGCACTTATGCATTTGAATTAATTTGCCATTTATTCATGCGCAATAAACAATATTGTATGTGCAGAAGTTTCTGGGCTATTAAGCACACCTGTATACAAACCATTTGTCATTCAACATTTTAAGATAAAGGACATGTAGAACGATCCTTCTGCACTGAAAATCACTCTAATCACCTAAAAACATGTCCTCTGTGTTTCCCTGCATTTCCTCGTCGGCAGGAATGTGTCATTCAAGTCTCATATATTTTAGTAGCTGCATATTTGTGTTTGTGAGGGCGACTGTGGGATCTCTGCTGCTCATTAATGCAAATTGTCACAAAGTTTTGCCCATTGGTCTTTACAAAACAAATTGAGCGCCTCAAATTAGATGGAGAACATTTATGAACAGCAGTTTTTAAATCTTTCCACTGATTATCAAATGGATTTAGGTCTGGACTTTGACTGGGCTTAGTACTTTTGCAAGCCACTGTACATTGTTTAATGTACTCCTATTTCCAGGTGAGCGCAGAGGACTATCGGAGCATGTCACGCCTATTATCAGCACTGGACACACTGGCGCAGCTTCATCCAGATGTTTTCATCCAAGAGTTGGCCTCAAATCTCAAAGCCGTGATAGCCACACATGGAGCCGTTACGCCAGATGACCTCTCCACTGTACCCTCAAAACAGAAACTAAACACCAGCAATACCAGCTCCACTTCTGCCAGGCCTGGTTCATCAAACCAGGTGCCCAGAAAGCCACCTCTGTCCTCTAATGACACCAACAGAAGTATTGACTTTCCAGTGAAGCCTCTTTCTGATTGGATCTTGGAGGCCTGTGATCCAGATGTACCAACAAAAACATTTGCACTAAGAGGCCTGACCCAGCTGGTGCAAAGAAGGGATCCAGAGACGCTTCAAGCTCAAGATAAAATCCTTGTGGTAAGTTTGTTATTAATCTGCTCTCGATACAATACAAAAATACCACTGTGATTTATAGAGCTTAAAGGACACAACATATTATGAAAATCTGTTAATGTTACAATGTTGTTCCCCCATCTACAACAAACCTGGAGTGGTTTTTAGCCATCCACAGCACTAGGAACCTCCTATCTCAGTCCTCTAATACAGCCATTCCCAAACTCAGTAACACCGAGACCCCCTTAAAAGTCTGCGTGGCCCCCCAAAATAATAACCAAGAAGACAACATTAAGAATAGGCTCTTCTGGTTATTTTATTTTGGGGAAATAGCCTCTGCTACAAACATTGTAATACAAAAATGATTACAGTGGATTATTCAATTCAAATAATGAACACAAATATTTTAATATTACAAACAAAACATTATAAATTTAACATTAAATAATTATATTTTATTTTTATTTTTTTAATGACCTCCCGCGGCCCCCCTGCAGTACCCTCGCGGCCCACCAGGGGGCCGCGGACCCCACTTTGGGAGACACTGCTCTAATAGTATGATTTCATTGTTCCCCTAGGACATCACACTAAAACAAAAGGATTGCCCATTAATTTGTCTTGGCAATTAATCAGGTGAAATTACATTCAATACAATTGTATGGCTATGTTTGCAGCTGGTAATTTTTCAATTAGGAAAAAAATCAAAACATTTCTTGTTTCACCATATATTTTCTACTTAAGATATTTTTTTCACATTTTAAACATGAAATAACAATATAAATAATCTCTATCAATTTTAAATTATGCATTAATAGTTCTCTTTTTTATATTTCACATTTATATTTCATAAGGCTCTAGTTGTCTCTCCAGGGCTTCGGCTGGATCCATAGTCCCAGGGGACTTGTTAAGGTGCCACAATCAGAATGATTCATTGAAAATTGAAAATTCTCTTTGATGGAAGCTATACCTTGGTTAACTTTGGGAACCAACAACAAAAGACCATACAATAGCAGTGACTTTTTGACCCTCTCCAGGGGTCCTAGATTACCTGGGGCAAGATTCTGGATTATTCCTTTTGATGAATTGGCTTCAATATACCATCAAGTTGATTAACTTGAGGCGTTGGACCACAGAAAATAAATTGGCACAAACAAATAGTTCACATTTTATCTTCATCATTGTAATTGAAACCTATGATGTGGATGTACATGGGTTTTATTTACTATTCTATTTGATTGTCTCCCTTTTCAGCTTTTTTTAGAAAATTTGGATCACGAAGACTCATTTGTCTACCTCTCAGCTATTCAAGGTATTTACTTTTTCCGTTCACTGACATTTATCCTATTCAGCCTCGGGCGCTGCATCCACAGAAGGCCGGCAGTTTCATCCTTTTAAGTCAGATCAACCATTCTGGGATGAATCAGGACCAGTTTGTACCAGTCTGTACTACAAATATAATTAATACCACATTTGCTGGACTAATAAGTACACCTGTATATAAACCACACCAGCTAAATTGGAAAAGAAAGTACATTTTATTCACATATAGGCCACAGTATTTTATGATGAAAATTATGAAATTTATGAAATACAGGGCTTCAGAAAAAGCCTTGAGTTTGTATTCCGAAGGGTACACAAACAGATTCATTTGAACAGAAAGGGATGTTTGTGAGGAAAAAATGCATCAGAAGTCAATTTGGCCTATTCTATTTATATGTACAGTATATGTGTATTATAATTTCTACATCTTACAATAGAATGAAAATTCATACATTCACAAATTGCTTATATCCTCTATTCTTGCACTCTGACTGTAGGTTTGGCTCTTCTGGCTGATGCCTTCCCCCAAAGGATTCTGGAGCGGCTGCTGCAGGACTTCCATGGAGGCCCTTCTCGGCCCACATCCAACAAGGATCGCTCCCTGGAAACACGGCTCAAAGTGGGAGAGGTCTTAATGAGGGCAACAAGAGCCATGGGTGAGCTTCTGTTTAATATATTGAAGGTCACACACGCAGCGCACACACAGCACAGTGAGAATAAGGAGCACCGAAAACAAGACAAATGGCTGTAAATACTTCTTTATATTGTGGTATGAAATTTGTAGTGTGACGCTGTAATGATGTATCAAAATGAGTACTATTCTCCTTGTTCAACATGTTTTGTTGTGTGTACAGGAGAGCTGGCACCACATCTAGGCCGGCCATTGTTGGGGGTCTTTCTGCAGAATACCAAGGACTCGGACCACAGCATCAGGACCAGCAGTCTGTCCAACCTGGGAGAGCTGTGTCAGAGACTGGACTATGCTCTGGGGCCGTTGGCTCAGGAGGTAAACATCCACTACCAAAACAAGATAATATGACCACCACTTCCACCAGGGTTTTCATTGACAGTCAGTTACTGTCTGTATCCAGGAGGTGGATTTCACGCATTAATGCATAAAGGAAACAAATAATCAATGAAGAGCTCATGTTGAAATTTTGCTACTTTGTCATCTAAAAGTTTAAAGATGATGCTAAAATTGAATAAATGAATGACCTACTTTTGAAACTAAATGTCACATTTATTACACGTTAATGGCTTTTTAAAAATGTGTTTTTATTGTATTCACATTTTATTCAACAAAACAAAAAAAGTGTGATGCATGCCAACCAGTGCAAAAATGTTAATATGTAAATGTCAATACAACACTTGAATAAAACAATTATCAAAAAAAACAAAAACAAAAAAGGGACAGACATATGACAACAGAATAACACACAATAAGCAGCAAAGAAACAGAAGGTAAGGGCTTTTAATACATAATACTATTTTATCCGCTATATCCACCGAATGTCTGTTGTGCCGCATCCCTCACATGACTTCCCACACACCAGTCGATCCGTATGTTCTGAGCTCAGCAGTGAAGTGACGCTGACTCTGCCGTTTTGTCACCAGAGGAAATGTCAAATGATTCTAGATTCTGTGCTCTTGCCCCTGACAGCTCAGCACCTGTTTGACGGCTCTCATAAAGACTGAGAAGGAGGCGGAAGTGAGGAGGGCTGCAGTTCACGTCATCACCCAACTACTGAAAGGCCTCAGCGACAAAACCACACAGGTAAAAATACACAAATGCTGTATTTAAAATCTTAAAACAATTAATTACCCAATGCCCAAGATTTTATTCTTGACGTTGCAGAAATGTTATCATTCAATGCAAAGTGGACGTATGTGGGCAGCGCTCATGCCTCACAGCTAGAAGGTTGTAGGTGTGATTCCCGTGCCAGTCTGGGCCTTCTTGTGGGGAGTTTGCGTGTTTCTCCCCGTGTCTAGGCTTCAGTTCAGCTCAAAACATGCACTAGGAATATCCTGCAGTGAAACATCTGGAGGGGCCCCCAAGAGCTGCAGTGTAATGACCAATCCTGAAAAGGGGCATTGGAAGGATGGTCCCACTGCAGAGGACGATGTTCCAAAGTGTTGGAGAAGGCCCTGCACATAGCTTAGTCAAACCTTGGAAAAAACACTTAAACACTACTTTTATACAAAAGGGTTTTTTATTTACAGATGAGCAGCAATTTGGTTGTGACTGTGCCCCTTTGTCAGGGATTTTTTTTTTCCAATTTGAGAAGGCATCTTAAATAGGGTGGGGCCGGCAACAAAACTTAAAATGTGATAAATCAGTGTCAGATCATAACAATAGGACATGAGGATAAATAATTTCCATTACATTTACTAATATCGTACTGTATGCAAAAACTTCAGAACTCCCAAGTCCAGCTCACTTCGTCGTCTATGGCAGATCAAGAAGTAGATTATTAAATGTTTTTTTTCCCATTGCAGTTTTGAAAGTGTTTGATTGAACCAGAGAGGCTCAGTGCCGCTGTCTTCGTAAAGAGCAACACTTATTAATGTTTGATTCCGGATTTATAAATGTCAGATTTACACAAATTATTTGTAATCTGTAATTATTACTTACCAATGAACAAATGCAAGATATGTTTACAATAGTTAATGATTCACAAATTATTTACTCATGAATTACTTAATTACATAATACTTAAATATATCGAATCTTCATATGTAAATACTGAAATAAACATGTACGACTAATTTAGTAACAGACATCACTTGTTAATGACTCGGTAATCTTATTGTAAATGTATTTTAGACAGTTGTTATTTGTTAATGAGTACTTACTTTGTCCATGAACGATTCTTTAACACTTACAAATCATTATAAAGTGCTACCCACAAAAGTAGGCGTTCACTTGCTCAATTGCCCAGTGATCTATCATCCGTTTGGGGAGCAGTTTCATTATGTTTGCTGCCCTTCAACGCACATCGGGCCAAAAGTTCAGGTGTCAAAGTGGATCTTCACGTGTCGCCATGGCCCAAGAATGTCTCCTTGTCTCCGTGGTCTGGTCTCCCACGTGTAATGAGGGGCTGCACACTGACCGCCCCTGTAATCTCATCACTGCAATTACTAGTGTTTCTCACAGGAAGCGAAAACGTGTACTGGAATCTATTGTTTTGTCCATACATTTTCTGAATGAAGGTAAAGCATTAAAGGTACACTGTGTAGTTATTACCCCATCTAGCATTGAGATCATATATTGTAATTTTCGATATTACTGTAGCTTCGCAGAACAATATTTCGTCTTTGACAGCGGTCCCCATTTCCCAGTAGAACTCCTTTTTGTCAACCACTGTATTTCAAGATGGCGCATTTACATGTAGACTCCTCCAGCTCTCATGGACATTTATCAATTTACCAATTTCTAAGCCAATGAAAACCATTCAAAAACATGGTGGAGGTAAGTATTCTTAAAAAGGTCACATTTGTGATTGGTTAACATGTTTTTTCAATTGGAGCAATTGTAAAAATTACACGGAGTACCTTTTAAATTAGTTGAAATTATTGAAGCATTACATTTGCGAATTTAGTGAAGGATTAACTTAGTCGAATTTAGTGAAGCATTAAATTGGTGAAAAAAATTGTGAAGCATTAAATTAGTTGAAATGATTTTGAAAAAAAGTTTGAACCCGTTATGTGACCTGCATATATTTTTAAGATGAAAGAGATCCTTTTTTTTCACAGTGGGGAAATTTCAGTGTTGCATCACAAATTACAGAACATTAGGAATGAGGAGCAAACAGCACAAGATTAATGAATAACTATAATAAAATAAAATAAAATCTCTAACTCTAGCATAAAAGAAGCAGTATAAAATCTTTAGTTGTTTAACCAGGTCACATGCTACTTTTGTGTAAGTTGGCAAGCAGCTAACTAACCCTGTACGTTACGGTACACACTGTAGTGGACCCTCAATGAATTCTAATGTTGTGGCCAACTTTTTAAAGCTACAAGCAATTCAGACAATTCATTTGCAACATCTGCTACACTCATTCTGCGTTAATTGATCTGTCGAGTCTTTCTTCCTCTAAATTGAATTCACTATCGCCCGCAGGAGAAGCCGGTATCAAAGGCCAAGCAGGCAGTTGTGTTGGGACCTGTCATTAGGGGGACAGCTGTAGCAGAGGTGGCCTGGACCAGCTGCTGAGACTTAATGACACACAACCACATGGGAAAAGGGAGAGCTCGGACATCCAATTATTTTAATAGGGATCCCGGCTTTTCCCTCCAAGTTTATTCTAAAAAATCAGGGGTTATTTTTGGCTAGAAAATCAAATCAGATTCAGAATGCATCAGACATGAAGAAATTATGTAAATATTCACTCACATCAGCATGCTTACCTTAACTGTCCAAGTTCATTACCTCATTTACCTGTATCTATCTTGACAATAAACCAGCGTCCCACAAATAAAAATATATACATTGCCTGCATGGCTATAAAGGCCACCGGGTTCAAAGAAATTGAAAAATGTAGCAGCTTAAAGTCGGGCAAATACGGTAACTATAAAAATCTGTGTAATTAGATAATATATATATCTCTCAATATGTGCATGTATTTTTGGCCTCAGTTCGTAAAAGACAAAATGTTTTCTAATGAGACATCATTGTGTGGATTTATTTGTTCATAAACTTAAACAAGACTTTCTACTGGGACAAATAGCTTTAAAGAGGCTTCGGCATGTACTGTTATTATTATTATTATTTATTGATGTATGTATATGGCATCTGTTGCAGGTCCTTGCTAACGTGCTGCTGGAGTTGTACCGCGCCTTGAAGTGGGTGGTGCGCTCCGACCCAGACAGTGTGGCGGTGCTCCACGCTCAAATCGCTCTCGAGGAACTGGACGATGTTATGAGAAAGTTCCTCTTTCCTGAGCAGAAACTGGAAAAGAAGATTGTTGTCCTCCCTTAGACTGAGAACTTCTACAAACTCTGGATAACAAGATCATTTACAACAAAATATAATAATGTATCTATGCCACAGAAAAAATAAAAATGCTATCACTGCTAGTTTATTGATTATTTTATTTTTTTTGGCTTTTAAAGAATTTATTTTTATGTTTTTTATTAAAATTATAGATTATGTTTGATACATCTCTAATATTTGTTTGCCTTTTGATCCTTGCCGAAAGATGCAACATTTGTTTATGGGTCTTTGGTCAACGTAAACTGTGGATGTCTAAATCATGTCCAATGTAGCAGAGAGAGGATGGGTTCATGACTTCAGGGATTTCTTCCTTTTGTGATTTTCCAGGTTTGTTCACATGAGTCATGACCTTCTCCATCTCTGGTCCTGGGAGAAGGTGCAGAAGGCAAACAGCCACGCTACAGTCATGTTTGCAGGGCCCCCCACAGTGGAGGGGTCTTAAAACTCTGGCTGGCACAAGCAGGTCACACTCACAAAAGATGCTCCAGGCCTGGTGAATAACTGAAGCCGTTTCTTATTATCATAGTAGTCGAGGCTGTATTACTCCTTATATACAATTTGTACCTTTCTTTGAGTTTATTGCGGGCAGGATTGCCAGTAGATCAACATTCCACAATAATGGCCCATTATGGATATTTTCAATTTTTCTTTGCTTTCAGTTACAAAATACTAAAAATGTAGTCACTCCCAAACTAAATGGGGTCCTCTTCACTTAAGTTACTAACACAATGTTTGTCCCTACAGAAACACAGAAGACATGTTGTGTATTGTATTATACAATACACAACTATTACTATCTGTCACTATTTGACATTGGGCTGAGTGGGGGGGGGATCCACTTTTCGAGGTGGATAAACTGTATTGAGGAACTAAATAGATTTTTTTGCAGGGGATGGGCAATGGGGTCTGATCTTGTCAGGCGCAAGGCCTGGTTAGTACTGTGATGGGAGACCCGGGGACCCGTTGTGTCCTCAGGCAATACACTTCACCCACATTGTCTATGAGTCTGGTGAATGAGTGAATAATTGGTGGTCTGAGGTGCTGATGGCACAGATTGGCAGCCTCGCTTCTGTAGGGCTACTCCAGGGCAGTTGTGGCTGCAGTGGTAGTTTTATCAACAATGTGTACAAAGTGAATGAATAATGCCATGTGAAGCATGTTTGTCCACAACATGCCTTATAAAACCAATGCATTATTAATATGTGAGCCTATGCTTAATTGGCTTATCAAAAGTATAATTATAATGAGATATAATCCAATGGATTGGCTGTAGAACAAACAAGAATCCCCAGGACTGAAGATCTTTGGTAGAGTTGTGCTCATTATATACATACCTCATTATCATCATTATTCAGACAAAAGAAAACTTTCTGGTGGTGGTACTAAATTATTTTTATATATATAGCGCCTTTCACAGACCCGAGTCACAAAGGGCTTTACAATTGTGGGTGAAATCATAATTAGTACCAGAGAACTTTTGAGCACGACTGAAAAATGGTATTAATCCCACAGTCCTGGCCTCATGTATCAGAATGATCCTTCTGTTGCAGAATGTGCGTTTCACATTCAAGGTACGTATGACTTCCATGTTTTATTGAAAAATCAAATTGATATTCTCCCTTGTACTCTACTGCTTTAATCCCTGGAGACAGTCAGGTCTTTGCTGCATCTCAGCCTTTCATTGACCTTCAACGCCTCAAATGCAACATTGTGTAAATTTCAGCAGAATAAAACAATTCTTTGTAAATTAGATTCTACAGCTACAACAATTTATAAATGATCTATTCTATAGAATCACTATTCTGAAATGTATGAGTGAGCTTTTTATGTGTTTGACAATAAAATGATTAAAATAATTTCAAATGCAATCTCTTCATTTATGCTGAAGAGCATATATGAAGAGAATGTGATATATTTGTATTAGTAAAATGGCAGCAACCTAATTGTTCTGCATCAATGTCAGTCTGCCCTTTTCCCCTCAGTACCCATGTGGTCAGGAGCCATGATTTATATTCAGTCACAGTGATGTGCAGGCTACGGAGCTTATCTGCTGGAGTCACAGAGGTCTGAGCAATCTACTCTAATGAAGTGTGTTTTGTGTTGAGCAGCCGATCGATCGTGAGCGTGTGCAGCAGTTTATCCTGGGCTCCTGAAGCTGCAGCACGTCAGCAGCTCCCCTCAGAGGAGGGGTGGATAAATAAAGCCATAAAGGATGCTTTGAGTCCGGCCGAGGTGGAGAGGGGGCTCATTCAAATAGACGCCCGGCTGTTGGCCGCTGCAATGCAGAGGAGACCGGGAGCTGCCGGCAGAGGAGGGGGTGTGGCAGGACAGCGGAGCAGCGCACGTACTCCAGAAGCTCTCCTGTGAGGGTCTCACTGCAGCATGGAGAGCCCAGACCAGGGTGCACCTTTAGCAGAGCTGTAGCATCAGGCTGAGCAGCTGGAGGGTAGTCATTCATGTCCCTGGACAGTGCCGGCAGACGGGGGAGGAGCAGGGGACGGCCCTCACACAGACAGGAGTGTGAATGCTGGAGGAGGGTATTTTGGGATGTGGGATCTCCTGAAACCAGCGCTGGAATAAAGATGTAGTGTATACTGCTGCTGAAGGAGGGACAGAACAACGAGAGAGCTGTGCTGGCAGAGGAGAGCAGAGGGCAGGACGTCCTGGCTGCAGCCACCGAACCGGACCACTAAGAGCGGGGGGAGGCCAGCACACAGGGTCCATCGGGTCAGGAAGGTAAGACATAGTAATGAAATGCCAAAATGTATATTCACATTTCAGCAAGGTATCCAGAACATATAGTTGGCAATATTAATGAAGGACAATTGATGGGAAATCTCTATAACAATGCATTTCTATGGAAAAAATAAACTTTTCAGGTAATAGTTTGTAGAATTTTGTCCTACGAACTGTGTCACTGGGGTTTTTCCACCAGTCTCTTTGCTCAGTTAGTCAGATGTTCTAGCATCTTATTGATATTGGACTTGTGCCTGGCTTCATTTAATATGGGATGAAGCTAAAATAATAACTTAAAATAATTTAACTGTTTAGCAGATTAGAAAATAATTTCCACCATGCAGCAGTTTAATTTGAGTAAACTTATGTACACTCCATTGGAAATAGTTCAAGCACTGAGACTTTGGTGCCCGTTTACTACAGCAGGGATTTCTTAAATGAGTCCACAAGGGTACTTTATACTTTTTTTCTATGACCTGCATTTTAGTCTAAAACAGGCAGCTTTGTTATAGTCTGGGAGCATTGTAGCGGTGTCCAAAGAAAACTGTGTTGGCTGTTTGGTTTTCCATGGCATCAGTGCTAGGCCTGGCACTGGGGCCTCACACCTCACTCTGTTTAAGTCCAGCTACTCGCACCAAACACTTGGAGAGCGGGACACTTTTGTGGGCAGACACCCCATTTCCTTGATGATGTCATACTCCTGTGTGTAACTGAAAGTTTAGCCTGTCCACTGTAATCAAATCCATTTAGTGATGTTTAGGCTGCCACTTGTGAAATACGTTTCATTGAACTTGAGAATAAAGTAAATAATAGTTTTGCATATTGTATATTGATATAAATACATTGATATTAAGATGTTTTACATTACTTTGTAAGCTACTATTGAAGCCGTACGGGTCCTGGAGGAAACCATACTGCATGTAGTGAACTGATGATTGATTAATAAAACTGGAGGCACAGATTCCAGCCCCACGCACATTTCCTCCAGCTCATCTGGGAGAATGAAACTAGTGACAATGTAGTGACTAGCTCTATAAATCTGCTGCACATGCATGTCAAGTTGGACTTAATAAATTACATACTGATAATAATAGGTTAGTAATGCATTCATAATATAATATACATAGATGTAAGAGAATAGAAATAATTGATGCTTTTCCCAGTTGACGTGTCGTAAACTTCTGACATATGACCTTTCCCCCCACGCTATGTAGTATATGAGGTGTTCTTGTCCAGTTTTACATGTGCAAAACAGGAAATGACACTTCAAGGGTCACGGTGTACACTGTACAGTCTCCCTCTATGTCGTCAATAACAGATTATGCACCACATGAAAACCACAGGTCTCCACCAACACTTCACCCAGGCATAATTGTAGTCCCCAAAATTTTAATATCAAGCAATATACAGGAGCTCTATAATGAATATTACTCAAGAAAGATTCATAAGATCATATACAGCATGTAATTAAGAACATGGCAGAAAATGTAAGTGCACTGCACAGACACTTTTTGTTCACAATAAGTAAAATGTTATGTACTTCCTCAGATGCCCTCTCGCTGCAGAAATGCGGTGAACATTGTGGTCACGACTCTCTTTGCAGCTGTGGTCCTGTTCACAATCCTGCTGGCCTATGTGACAGGTTTGTTACTTTAAATTCATTATTCTTCAAATGCATTTCACTGCATCTTGGTTAATAATGTGATGTGCAGAATATGAACTTGCAGATGTGGGTATTACTCGGTTACATTTAAGAAAGAGCTGTAATACTTTGATACTAGTCAGCTCTGATGAGCACAGGGACTGGCCTCCAGTAGGTGCCCAGACTCAGGACTTAACATGGGGAGGCAGCATTTCATATTTATACAGATAACATCTGGAACCCCTGTAATCCCCTGTAATCCCCTGGGACTAAAGATGGAAATTAGCCTTTGGCTAAAATCTGACGTTTCATCTGACATGTTCATTCATATGTGCTGTCCCAAAAAAAAAAAAAAGAAAGAAGAAGATACAACTACACAAAAAAAAGACACAATTCAACTGAAGGATTGTATTTTCACATATAGGAAGATTTTCCCAAATTGTGGGAAAAACTGCCCTCACCACTTTTAGAACAAAACTCTCTGGTCTTATTTGACAAGCACGTATCACCAGAATGATTGACAATTGGGAGGACCACTCCGAAGTACATTAATCTTCCTATGTATGACTGTATTGCCTTGTGTGATTTTAATGTTTCATTTCTTGTTTGGTTTATCACTTTGAGGTCCTTGTGGATGAACTGTGCTATACAAATAAACTTGCCTTGCCTTATATATCATTCATTATCAATATAATTTCCCATTGTGATATGGAGCTGTGTTGTGCGTTGAAGGATACCAGTTCATCCACACCGAGCAGCACCACCTGTCCTTCGGCCTGTATGGAGCCTTCCTCTCGCTGCACCTCCTCCTGCAGAGCCTCTTTGCCTTCCTGGAGCATCGGCGCATGAGGGCCCCGGCTCGGCCCCAGCACCTGCGCCGCACCGTGGCCCTTTGCATCGCGGCCTTCCAGGAGGACCCCGACTACCTGAGGAAGTGCCTGCGCAGCGTCCGTCGGATCTCCTACCCCGGACTCAAGGTGGTGCTGGTGGTGGATGGAAACAGGCCCGAGGACCGCTACATGCTGGACATCTTTCAGGAGGTGATGGGCGGCGTGGATCATGCCGGGAGCATGGTGTGGAAAGGGAACTATCACAGTGACGGCAGCGGAGGCGCACTGACCAACAACAACACGGTGCACATGGAGGAAGCTGCGAGGGTTTCCCGTCTGGTCAGGGGCTGCCGCTTCTCCTGTGTCATGCAGGAATGGGGCGGGAAGAGGGAAGTCATGTACACTGCATTCAAGGCCTTAGGAGACACCGTGGACTATCTGCAGGTACACATCTACAAATATACATCCTCATGTCACTTCTGTACTGTGATTAATGGTGCTTTTATATTTAGTTTTGTTTTTTACCCTCTAGAGACATTGCCTTTTGCAACAATGTTTAGTGCACTGAATACTTGCAATGCAAACTTGGACATCTTGTTTACCCCTACAGAATGGTTTGTAAAAGTAAAAGTTGAACAAATCAAACCACAAGATGCTGTCTTCATCTTAATAGAAAACTCTTTTGCATACGTTGATACATTGGGATTAAAGCTGATTGGCTGAGTTAGGAATGTCCTCTTTTTTTCACTGTTCTGCATGAAAAAGGCAATTTAAAGATGTGAAACCGGGCATACATGCATGTTAAAACTAGAGATAGAACCAAACTGTTCTGAGAGCCTGGTAAACTATAGGAAGATGGATTTCTGTTTTAACCCCCGTTTTAACTGGATTTGGATCCTCTTCGAGCTTTTTGTTGTCTTGTCAAAATGCATTGCTTGCCTTTTCAATCATGAACAAGTGTGAAAAGGGGCAACCATCTCTTGCAAAAAGACAATAGAGTGGATTCACTCTATTGATGGTGTTTTATAAATACTTTTTCATCAGTTTGGGACAGCTGTGTCCTTGCTGTGGGTTCGGTGACAGGAGCTGACCCCTCTTGTGCAGTGGGGGGTGAACAGCTGGGGGCTCCATCAGCAGCATCTCATTTACTCAATGGATGTGTCCTTGTTTCAGGTCTGTGACTCGGACACCGTGCTGGACCCTGCTTGCACTTTAGAAATGCTGAAAATAATGGAAGAAGACCCCATGGTGGGAGGGGTTGGGGGAGACGTACAGGTAAAGAGTTTTTCTTTTATTTCCACACAACCAGTTACAACCAGTGTTGCATTCTCTGTGAGGTGCAGAAGTGAACAGCATTATCAATCTAATATGACGTTATGTTCTATTGGTAATGCTTGTCTTGTCTTTTCTGTTCTAGATATTGAACAAGTATGACTCGTGGATTTCTTTTCTGAGCAGTGTGCGTTACTGGATGGCCTTCAACATTGAGCGTGCGTGTCAGTCATACTTTGGCTGTGTGCAGTGCATCAGTGGTCCTCTGGGGATGTATCGAAACTGCTTACTACAGCGCTTTCTGGAGCCCTGGTACCACCAAACCTTTTTGGGCTCAAAGTGCAGTTTCGGAGACGACCGCCATCTCACCAACCGCGTTCTAAGCTTTGGCTTCAAAACAAAATACACGGCTCGTTCACAATGTCAGACTGAAACTCCAACACAGTACTTGCGTTGGCTCAACCAGCAAACCAGATGGAGCAAGTCATACTTTCGTGAGTGGCTCTACAATGCTCTCTGGTTCCATAAGCACAGCCTTTGGATGACCTACGAGTCTGTAGTGACTGGATTCTTCCCTTTCTTTTTGGTGGCTACAGTGATCCACCTGTTTTACAGAGGGAGACTGTGGAATATCCTGCTCTTCCTGTTGACAGTGCAGCTGGTGGGCATGGTCAAAGCCACCTATGCGTGTTTTCTGAGAGGCAGCCTGGTCATGATCTTCATGTCACTCTACTCCCTGCTCTATATGTCCAGTCTGTTACCATCTAAGATCTTTGCCTTGCTCACCATTAACAAGGCCGGATGGGGCACTTCAGGGCGAAGGAAGATAGTTGTGAACCTGATTGGGGCTGTGCCCGTCACTGTGTGGGCTCTGGTGCTGTTGGGAGGTGTTGTCTACACTATTTACTGTGAAACCCAGGAGGCTTTTAGTGAAACAGAAAAAGCCTTATTAATATCAGGGACAATATTATATGGCTGCTACTGGATAATTCTACTGGTCCTTTATTTGGCCATTGTAGCCAAGAGGTGTAACAAGAGAGAGGAGCAGTATGAGCTGCCGTACACTGTGGGATAAACCTGATCTGAGACCAGCAGACTTTTCCTGCAAATTCAGGCCTGGCAGCAGCAGGACCGAGGTCCACTCTGTGATCCTCTCATACTCGAGGATTCATGTGGTACTGAGAGGTGAAGAAGAACAGGTCTCCCCTCAGGGGCCAGTGGCCCTGTTCAATGGTGCTTCAAAACAGAGCCAAAGCTGGTGGCTATGAGAGGGTAATGCACAAGAGGATGTCTAAAAGTGATGAGATGGGGCAATGTGGCCAAAGGGAACAGGACAAATCAGTTGAACTTCAACACATCAGCATTATGTGTGTATGCTCTTTGCTTTCAGTAGATCACTTTGAAAGGGATTGTTACATCAACTTTCAGCAAACACTCAATTAAAAATTACAATCTTACAAACAGTATTTCAGCATAATCGGCCATAATCGGTTTTCAAATTCACATTTGAAATCAAATTAGTGTAGAGAATCCAATTTTTTGATTTTGGGGTTGTCAGTTGGATTGTATTTGTTAGTGAAGTGAGCAACACTCGGAATTCAGTAAGTTATTTATTTATTTAGAGATGCATATAATAAATGAATAAATATTGTCAATGCACTGCGATAAATCATGGTACTTGCATGTCTTAGCTGTTGGTTGTGATTATTAGCAAGCCACTGCTCATAATGGTAAGTATAAAGCAATATTTCAATCATATCATTAATAAAGCCCTACTGTGTAACTTTTTGATGAAAAAAGTACAAAAATAGAGCTGGAAAGCCATGAAATGTTCTTGTAATGAGGGAACATATCCTGTAGCTCATAGGAAGGTGGAGCCACGTTAGAGGGGTCATCCTCACAAACATGACAATAAACATAACTGAAATTTCCCCACTATGGGACGAGTAAAGAATTTCTTAAAACTTGTCCTGGACGAGGGGTGCTTGTGTTCCTTGTTCCAGGAATATTTTACTTAATCTCATTTGAGGACTAGATTTCTCTGTCTAAACCAGATGAATGCACATAGCAACACTTTACAGTTAACTTTGATCTGGTTTGATCATTATTTGATACTTACTATATATTTGTAAGACAATAATAGTAAAATATGCATCAACATTGAGACTTAAATAAGGATAAAACGGCTAAACAAGAGAAAATGCATATATATTTTTGTAGTCTGCAGAATTCCGGACCACAAGTTCGTTGAATAGGCCTCTTCTACACAATAGCATTACTAAACTCCAGCCTCCAGTACTTTCATTTCTATTTCTATTTCAATGGTGCAGTTGACAAACCACCTCCAGAAAGTTACAGTGACAGCCTCCTCTATAGCGCGGTGCTTCTGTCAGATCTGGCTTTTTAGATCATTTAGGATCCACACTTCAGTATTCTAAAGGGTCACTGACAGTCTATGTTTCACAGTAAGACAAATGTTGTTTGATCAGAAAGCACCTGCCAGTGTAAACGTTTTTTAAATAATTACTTAGATACTAAATGTTTTAGTTTAATGCCTTTGTTTTCATTCACTGTGAGAAACTGCAATTGGTTAATAATGCCTTAAATTCCACGAACAGCTCAAGTCTATCTCATAATGGTCAGAGTGATCTTCCACTGAGAGAAGACACATGGGCACAATTACTTTTGTGCTTTATGGTTAGAACAAAGGAGCTTTTTGAACATGTGTTAGAGGTGCTGATACAATACTGTGCGTCATTCGTCACACATTTGTGAGTTTTTTGTCATGTCTCTTTTGTAAACTGAAAGATGCCAAGTCATGCTTTATAGAAATACAGTTTTTTTCAAAGAACTGTCTGTGTCCTTTAAGGCTCTTTATATTGTATACTACTGGAATATATATATTATCAGAAATCGGTGTATTCACCCTGAACGCATGCACACAAAATGTTTTTGTTGGAGCATTGCATACGTTTGTCTTGTGTTTTCACGTTAGAGATGCAGTGCAGCTGAGTTAAAAAGAAGGAAGAGGCAGACTAAATGTTAATGTATTCATATCAAGCCTCATCTGGATCTTTTATGAATGAGGGGATTGTGTCTAAAAAAAAGTATTTTCGTGAGCCAGGAAATGTCGGAAAGAAGATGACCATGACGTACTTTAGTGTCTTATTTCAAGAAAATATGACTGCTAAAACAAAGGAGGATTTACACTTAATTTATTCTCAAAACATCACATTTTATGAATAACTGGTTAAATTAAACGTAGGGCTGGGTATCTCTGAGTCAGGTCACAATGGGCCACAATACGATTCATACCTAGAGGGCATGGTCAATTCGATTCCATTTCCAAGCAACTCGGTATGATTCAGTAAGTTTACCCCTAACCTCCACCTCCTTTTAACAAAAACACATTATCGGGGCGTTTATATTTCATTTAGTGAAGATTGTTTGAGGAAATATCTCCTCAACCTCATGCTTCTGTCCAATTATATATTGTCATTACAAATATAAAACAAAATGAATGTTACTTAATATGAAAATCAATATTTCATCTGCTAAAGAAATCTACAACTAAAACATATATATACAAGCTAGAAATGTTGTCCTATCATGCATCCAAGTGGGAGTATATAAATAATTCTGTCCAATCACTAAATATGTGCCGACCTGCAGCAGGAGGAGGTGGCGTCCACATGAATGGTCCTTTTACAGAGTGGAGAAACAGGCAGGCTTTTCACTGCTGCAGTTACACCTCAACATGGGGGCCGCCTTCATAAACACACGCTGTAAGCCCCAAACTGTAAAGTATGTGTTTAGGGAAATGCTTGACAAATAAAAATCATTTGATGAACACAAATGTAAGGGACTCTACGCAGCCTGCACCCTTATTGTGTTCAAATAAGTTACTACCCTAAATGTTGAAGTACACACTGTGGACTTTGTGCCTAAAAAAGGTATCATAATTCTCTAATAAGTTATTTAATGTTGATTTGATCAGATGAAAATGCTGTATTGGATTTAAGCAGGTTTACCTTGTATCAGTTTCACATCAAATATTTGGATCCACTACATTTACTTTAAAAATGGACAAACATAAAAATGATAAATCTATATAAAAGTATAATTACTATACACATTTATTCGTTGTGACTTCTTCATTTACAGAATTAAAACATGACAAGAGTTTATTGAAAAAATGAAAGAAATCCATCATTTAAGAGTAAAGAAAATGTTGCTGCTTGAGGAGGGAATAAAAAAAATATTTTCTTAAAAAGGTTTTTACAAGAATATGATACAATTTGATGTAACACATTTTCTATATGGAAAGTTTCCACTTTTTAGATGAGTGTCATTATCTCACTGTCCAGTGTCCATTGGAGCCTATACCTTTTTGGGAACATTGGTAATAATGGGTTTGGGTCGTGTTTTGAAGATAATTTTCTTTTTGATCAAAGCGTTCACAAAGTAAGATGTGGTGCTGTGACCCTGGTCTTCTGTCTCCATGGTTTCAGAGGGTTCACAAACCTCGTCCCCGGAATGTCCAGTGTGTTTGACCAGGACAGCGAAGGGCTTCTCAAGCTTCACCTGTTTTCCGTAGAGGATGTGATGGCCAACTATGAGCACTGGCACCCCCTGGCGGAAACAAGACAAACAGCAGCTAGTATATGATCATTTTCTTAGGATGTATAAAAGTTTGACGCAGCCATCCTTTGGACATGGAATTGAACCCATACATTTCAAAACAACTTACGGTAGAACAAATGGTAATAAAAACGTCTATACTTGCTGCTAGGTGAGTTTTATAGCCCCATTTAAAAATTGTATACAAAGTTGAAACACTCATTTCAATAAGATGTATTGCATGCATGTACAGCTACCTTGTCATTTATTTAGGGCTGTCAAAATTATCGCATTAAATAAATGTTTAACGCATTGACGCATGTCCGAATGATCCGCCCATGTATCCCATAATATCACTTAGAATACCGCGGACACATGCGTGTGTGAGATGGCAACAGAGCAGGTAGGCCCTCTGGGAACTTTTAAAAGAATACATGCGTAACCGTGGGGCACTTCCTGTTTGCTATTAATTGTAGTCCGCATCCTCCGTGGCTGCAGCATTCTGATCCGGGGCAGCTGCGGCCGCTCTGGACAGGTAGCGGCTGTGAGCCGCTAACAATAACACGGTGAATGGCGCCGCGGAAACGTGGTCAAATCCAAAACCATACACGCACAGAACTATTCTCTGCATGTTGTGAGCGTGTCTTTGCGTAACCTGTGCACGCAAATACACCGCTGAAGCTGAACAATGGAGCCTCAGGAAGTGTCTGTGTCTCCTCCTGAAACGCAACTAAACTCACTAAATTAAAGCTGAGGTACATCAATTTTCCCTTTCATCAACAGGTCATGTTGGTTGTGCTCAAAAGTAAAAGGTTGTGGGCAAAGCAAATAGATTTAAGTACATTTGGTATGAATGACAATGTGTCATTACATTTAATAATCTCATTTAACTTCAATTGGAGTGGATTTGAAATAGAATGTTAAAAATGCGATTAATCGTGAGTTAACTCACCATTACTATGCGATTAATAAACTAAAAAATTGTAATCGTTTGACAACCCTAAATGTATTACATGTTTGAGAAAGTGACAGTGATTTGCAAGAGGGTTAAAGGAGCAGTATGTACAAATCTGGCAAAAAGTGGTACTGCAACCTCCCCCACTCTCCCTGATTCAGGTTGCCGGATATGCAAATTAATCCAGCCGGGAAAATAATATCTGAATAGACAAGAGTTTTGTCAAATCAATAACCAACACCTTTTTCACAAAGGCCCCGATAGAAATCCTCATTTCATTCCTTGTTTTGTTATTAATGATTTGAGAATCAAAACAAGACTTTTTTTAGTTCTGCGGCCCGATTTTAGTTCTAACCCCACTTTACCAGTGAGGTTAGCTCAACACGGTGAACGAACTTTCTGATTAGTAAAATGGTGGAGGGCGGGACATCGAAATGAAAACAATAACAATATTTAGGTGCTGTAAAACTAATTTTGAAATTCAAATATCTCGGCTAAACTGCTGTTATTTGTTACAGAAGTATTCAAAAAGGGCATGATTTATGAATGCCTTTTGACATATCAGGGCCTTTTAATGATGACTTGACATGCATATCTTACAATTTGCTACTTTGACATTTGCATTTGAGTTTCTTGAAGACATTCAAGCAAATCTCACAGACAACAAGGAGTGGACCAGCTTGTATGGGGTTGTATGGTTAGGAGACAGCCCCTTGCCCTCACCTCCTTGGTGTAAAGCAGATCTCCCATCACATTCCCTGCCAGACCGGAATTGTGGCGAGACACCACCTCCCCCTGCATCTCCACCAGTAACCACTCTGGAGGCTTCATTCCGTCCTCACTGCCTCTGGAAACACAAATGGTATCAATGCAAATTAACATATACATGCATAAGTGCTTTCAGTAAATTATGTTTTCCTTTCATAAAGAGATCACTACAAGTGTGTTCCATACACATTAAGTTACATCAAGTCTGCTGAATAAGCCAAGTACATTCCATGTGGATATCAGAATGATTAAAAATTAGTACTTTTAATTACAACTTAAAAAAGTTAAAATAAAATAAAACAGTAAAAATAGATGTCTAGGCTTAAATACACTCATATTAAAAGGCATACGTTCAATTGTCAACATTATTCGTACAGACAGATGTGCAACACACATAAATATTACCGAAGATTTGGTCTTTGCAAGTAGAGTAGATAATATGAAATAAGTGAGTGGAAAACAAATGTGTATAAAATCGAACGTTTAGCTTACAGCTATGCTTGGAAAAAAAAAAAGGTTAAATAACATTAAATGGACTTAACGCATGTTACATTTCATTTAACCTTTATCCAGTGTGAGCTTAACCTTTTCTGGCTTGTGTTTTTCAATGCTTGGTACCGAGTGTGGGTTTGAGCTGTCTGTTTAGAGTTAAGACTCTACAATGAAAGCCATGTCATCTGTCCGACTCTTACCTTACAACTATCTGCACCATTTTCTCTTGGATAGCAAGTCTTTTCCAGGTATATACAAAGTGTTTTTCAGAATTATGATCAAATTAGGTGCTCCAAAATACTCTGATCCTACTTCGCGCCAGTCGCTTGTTTTGGAGAATGCGTTATTTTCCCTCCAGCATTTCTGTAAAAATGAAGAAAGAAACAACTTTTTCCAAAAAAACAATGTACGTTTGCAATAAATGTACCATACAATAATTCTAAAATAATGTATGGTCAATAATTCATATGTTTTAACACGACATCCACGAAATGCAAATAAATGACCTGGTGTAAGATGCGATGGGGAAAAAAAGCCTCCCATACTTCCGCTGTGCACGAGCTTTCTCTTCCGGATTAGAGGTCCTCAACGTGGCTCCCGTGATGTTTTGTCGCGTGTGTGCGGAACTTATCTTTGGGAAAACTACTTTAAACAAGTAAAATTAACCGTGTTTAAGATATAACAAGTAGAGATATAGTTCGCATAGACTGATGCTTAGTTAGTCATGTTGTCAAGGTATAAGCACACGTGGAACATTGATTAAGGTGAAGGAAAGAAATCGCCTTATCCGGGATCATTTAAAACGCGACTTATGTCATTTTCCGCTTTAGTTGAGATTGACTACGCATACATTTGGGCTTGATAAAGATGGGTGAGTTTAAGGTGCACAGAGTCCGCTTCTTTGACTACATGCCCAGTGGGATCAGAGCTTTAGCGTTTAACCGAGACACTGAAAGGCTGGCCGTGGCCCGAGACCAAGGGTCTTTGGAGATCTTCAACTTCTCTGATAACTACTGTCAAGAAAAGGTAATAACAAAGAACCAGTCGTTATTGTGATTTAATTGGAGCCAAATTATATTGTTATGATTCACTACTACAATGGTTTGCGTTTAAATGTATGTGCATTGTAAAACTATTTTTTCCCATTGTAGAACAATCAAAAGTCCTCATCATTTGTTCAATATAACATTGTCACGACATTCATCATAACACTTGTGTATCAGATATTTCCAGGACGAGACGGGCGGTCCATAGAGGCTCTGTGCTGGGTGGGAACACGGCTCTTTAGTGTTGGTTTGGATGGATTGATCACGGAGTATGACTTGGAAAACTTGAGACCTAAGTACGCTGTGGAGGCTTATGGTGGACCGGTCTGGAGCATCAGCTGTAACCTCCAGGGGAACCTACTTGCAGTGAGTTGGAGAGCATGCACCTCCTTTTACAACGTAACAAGTACTTTAAAGTGACGTTTGTTTCAGGTTGGTTGTGAAGATGGGACTGTCAAAATCTTTGAAGTATTGGATGATGGAATTCAGTTTCAAAGAAATCTGGACAGACAGAAAGGTAACTAGATGACAATACAATCAATCAATACCACTTAATGAATAGATTCAATAATCTTCTTTACAATTCCTCTATCTCCCTAGTTTGTTTGTATACAAAAATAAATGAATAGATCTTTGCTTTAATAGTTGATATTTGCACATTTATAATACCTCAAATTTTTAGGTCGTATAATTTCTGTGAGTTGGCATCCATCTGGGACAAAGATTGCTGCCGGTATGATGGATATGGTCAGAGTTTTTGATGCTGAAACAGGTTAGTTGCACACATGTGGTACTAAGCATAAATGTATGATAGAATATGGGATTGGATAATTAACATAATATATTTTGTTTTTTACTTAAGGCCGTGCTGCACTTAGACTGCTGGTTGAGAGGGGTGTAGGTGCCGCTAAAAACAAGGAGGTCGTTGTATGGAGCCTGGCTTTTCTGTCTGATAACACCATTGTCAGCGGGGACTCAGCAGGAAAAGTTCAGATCTGGGATGGACTCATGGGAACACTGGTGCGGAGTCACTTCATCACTAAATGGGATGTCCTTGCATTGTCTGTTGCTTCTGTAAGTATCTAATTCCATCTACATCCAGTGTTGGGGAGAATACTAAAATAAATCCAGTTATATAAAACTTAAATCTGTTTTGTAGCGCATTTACTTTTTAAATGCGAATGTATTTCTGCTGAGTTACATCATATTACAGTAATGCGATAATAGATTCCAATGGAGACCATTGATCAGAAAAGGAATTCTCGTATACATTAAATTTTGTGTTAGATCTTTGCACAATCAAATGCAATGTATTCCTTTATTTTTTGTTCCTCATAATTGTATTCTGAGTTACTCAAAATGGTACTCCCAGTATGTACATTCATGTTACTTCCCAACACAGTAATATATCGTTTTTGGCAGTAAAACCATTGACGGGCAAAGTTATAGTTTGTCTGATATGTTTGCTTTGTTCAGGATGAGAGCAGTTTAATTGCTGGAACGTCAGAAGGTCTGGTGGTCCAGTTCCAGTTCCTCCAGTCATCTGGAGAGCAGCAGGACAGACAGTGGGTCAGAACAAGGACTTTTAAGAACCACTCTCATGATGTCCACGCCCTGGTCTTAACTGATACAGCAGTTGTATCTGGAGGTATGTGTATTTTCTATATAAAAAGATCAAAAGTATATTCAGTGGCATTGATTGTATCTAAATGTTTAAACATTTAGGTATGGACACTCAGTTGGTCGTGCGTCCTTTGCTGGATAAAGTTGAAAAAAACACCTCAGAGTCAGAATTGCGCAAGATAATTTTCCCCCTTGTAAGTTTATGATCTCCTTTACTACATGACACACATACCACTGTGTAGTATGTTTTGCTAACCCCTTCACTCCTTGTAGAAAAGCTTGGTTAGTTGTGCAAAGAAAGCTGGATTGCTGCTCTTTCAGTTTCCGGGCCATCTTGAGGTTTGGAGGCTTGGAGAAAGTGAGGGATATGGTAAGACTTTGGTAACGCAAACATTGGATCAAAAGCACCGATTTGTCTTGTTCATTGTATTCCTCGCCCTCGTTAGGAAAAGACGGAGATCGCCTATCGGTCAAGAGAAAACCAGAGAAGCTAATTCACTTAAAGCGAAAGGTGGGTGAGGATTAGTTATTTTGCCTATTTATGGAGATGCATGTAGTCTTTATTGCTGTTACAGATGATATATAAAGTCAACATTCTTACATGTGGTGTCTGTAGGGTGAGGATCACATCAGCTGCAGTGCTCTGTCTCCCTGTGGAACCTGGCTGGCTTACTCCACAGTCTCCTGTGTTCGACTTTACAGATTGCAACAAAGTGGAAACAACATAAGCATCACCAAGGTCAACAATAATACTCAAAATAATGTTTCGCAAATTGTGGAATAAATCAACAAAAACATTTCCATGTATATTTCTGCATACAGGTTCCCAAGCTCCCTAAAGTCCTTTGCTCCGCCCACCAGCTCTGCTTCTCTCATGATTCCACCAAACTCTTTGCCTCTGCCACTCAGTCCTCTGTCATTGTAACAGCCCTCTGTCAATCAGAGTGCAAATATGTCCACACGCTTCAGCCAAAATCAGGCAAGTTCCAGAGGATCATTTCTAACATTTCTAACACTTGTTGCATAGGAAAAAAACGTACTTGAAAATATTTACATGTTTTGCTACTTTCCATTACGTAATCCAGGCTCCCAGCAACCAGTCCATCTCTTGGCTCCGAGTGAGGATGGGAAATGGCTTGCAACAGCCAACACGGATAATGAGGTCCATGTGTACAACCTCAAGAAGCTAAAGGTGTAGTGTATACCAGAGAACCAGACGTAACATTTTGCACCCCTTTGTGAATGTGAAGCGGTTTAAAACATATCAAATGTTGTTTTTTTTAGCTTCACTGCACAGTCCCGGTTTATGACTCTTCTCCCACTGCAATTGCCATTCATCCCATGTCCAGCAACCTTGTGATAGGACATGCAGACAAGCAGGTTTGTTGTTTTGTTTTTTCATAATAATTTTCAACCCTTTAGGCACCAGTTTACAACATGGAATTAACTGTAGAAATAGTACTGAAAGTGACCAGTGTGTCTTGCACTTATAAAGCTTTCACCTTCCTTCTTTTATGCTGTGTCCCAGGTGTTTGAATATTCTCTGGGACAGAAGGAGTACACTGACTGGAGCAGAAAGTTGCAGAAACAAGGCTTGCACCCGCATTGGTTTGAGCGGGACACGCCGATCAGCCACATCTCATTTAACCCTCAAAAGCCCAGCCACATCCTCCTGAATGACGCTTACATGTTATGCATCATAGACCAGAGCTTGGTATGTATCACATGGTTGGGGTAATGGGGTGACGTGTGTACTAGTTTATAGACTTTTTGTCTTTTGAATTTAGCCTCTTCCAGACCACAAAACAAGGCTTTGCAATCAGAATACTCTCAGGGGGCTCCCGGAATCTGAAAGAGTCCAACACAGCCACGCCTTTAAGATATGTAAACGGTTTCAGGTAAACTGTTACACTCTTATATTATAGACTTATTTCATTTCTATTTAATGTATTTTAATAAAATATTTGTCCAAAGGATGTCCTGAGTGTGAGCTTTCAAGAGGACGAGTCTTTGGTGATAGTGGAGCGCCCCCTGTTGGATATTTTGTCTCAACTGCCGGCTCCTGTCAGGCAGAAAAAGTTTGCCACATAATCTTAATTTCTTGACAAACGTAGTAATTTTGCTTGTTAAAATAAATTCTTTTTTTCACTTGCTGTTTTTGGTTTACATGATTTTCTTGCACTATATCAAGGGTTTTTTATTCCAAGCAGCAATTATCAGACTGAATAAGAACAGCTTCGGGCAAAGATATGGAACAAACTCTCACAGAGCGGACTGCCCCTCTGCAACAAAACGCATTCAGAAACAAGTACACTTCAGTGATCGATGAGGTCAAATAGTGACTACAAACATCACTTTTAGTTCTCCACACTTAGGAATACTGCAGGGTCAGACGCAACGGTACAAGAATGAGCAACACCTCTTCTGTAATTTATGAAGTGATGTCTTTTTAAATATGCAATACTTAATATATATAGTGTTCTTGCATATAAAACTGCCAAATCCCCGCCCTGATGCAGAGCTGCACCTGCTTCATCAGTTTTACTCAAAGAGAAGATTGATTAACCTAAACTCAGTGTGAAATGTATTGGGTTTAGTAACGTGACCCACTTAAGTAGCAACAGGCCTTATTTCACATTATGCCAAAGCAATTTCCAAGTGGTGACTTTTGTTACTTACGTGGCAATAAAAATGATTCTGATTTTCAAAATATCTGTATATACTGTTTTTCAGTATATAATACACGGAGTTATAAATACATTTCCCCTGTATAAGTGATACTTCAGTCTGTCTGCTCAGGACCTGGTGCACATTCTAGTGCCATAGTGACTGGGATCGACTCAGCCTCATGTGGCCCTTTGAGTCCAGCTTAGGAAGTTAGAAGGCTTTGTGGGAAAAAAACATGTTGAATCAATTTAAAAGTAAAATATATTTTATTTGGCTTCATAGAAGCTCAACTGCACACAGAATATAACAAGGATTACAAAAATATAAATAAATAGTTATAAATAAAAGTGAGATATTCATTGACACTGTTTTCAATGTGAAAACATTTAGGATCTACAAACCGCATCACAATTATCCTGTAATAATAGGCTGTCAGTTAAAGCTCCGTTTGCTCCAGGTGTCCAGATGTCATGGCATTGTGGAGAATAGTGTAACAAATGGAGGCAGTTATAGTATTGCGTCTGCATGACCTGTGGAAGCTGACACTGGCAGAGCAAGAACATGATTGAGAACTGTGCATTAGAAAACTTCAGATCAAATGTAGTGCAATAGCTACACTACTCTGCGTACACTACTTTTGGGCGCACACAGATGCAGGCAACAGTCACGTCCACATTGACACGTCTCAGATGGTATCTTCTCTCTCCTCCGGAATGCTCACACAGCTCCCTCTTCAGGAAAATGCGAGTCTGATTCACCGGACGAGAGTTGTAACAAGTTGTTTCATGCGGTTCTCCATCTTCGTCTGGAAGAATGCAGCCTTGACACAGACACTCGGCCTCATAGTAAGTGGACGGGAAGTGCCCAGGCATCTTTCGTTCCCTAAACAAACAATGATAATGATGATTAATCAACACTCAGTCTAGAATATAAAAATGTGGTTATGTGTGTACAGACATAATATCATTTTTTCAGTCATAAAAAAGAATGTGGTACAACAGAAAGTACAGGCTTAGGGCTTCAACTTCTGCTTTCTACGGAGGCTGAGCATGTTTTGTGATCATGTGTCAACAAAATTCAAACTGTTCCTTTATTATTATTCATAGCAGCCTGAGTTGCCAGAACTGGGATTGTCCCTATTTCAGAGGGTGTGGATTACTTGAGTTGTTTACAAATACTTGTTTCTTCTGTTTACTTTGTAAACCAGTTAAGGAGCAATTACTAGATATGGAGCGCCCATCACTCATCAACTGCCTGTCTTTACAGATCAACGGGGCACTTGATGGGCACATCTGAGGCCTGCATGGGAAAACCAGTCTGGGATAAATGGTTGTTGAGCTTCACCCTGGCTGCATCCTCCAAGTCGTATTTCATCAAAGCAAGGATGTGCAGAGGCACCACTGCGATTGCTCACATAAATAAACAAAGACCTGCAAAATGTAGAGAAAGCCAACGTCAGCCTTTAAAGTCCTTGGGAACCCTATCTGTGAAACAACTATAATGTAATAAACGCTATGCAGTTCCTCGCTCACAGAACAGGTAACATCTTCATCAGATTAACCGTGACAGGGACAGTAATCTCCTTCACTCAGCTCTCAGTAAAGATATAATGTTTTCTAATGAGATAAATACAGAATGTTGTTGATCACAAAATGTTGCCCAAAAAAGCTTTAAAGTGCTTGTCATGTCTAAAAAAAACCGGAATGTGTAAAAAAATAAATAAATAAATAGATAAAAAAGGTAGTAATAATAACAGTAAGAATGAGGATTATTATTGTTATTGTGTTTCTAGTCCATCAGAGCCTAGTTGAGTGTAGGCAGCAGTGGTCAGTGTGTGGAGCCCGCTCACACTGTCGGAGTGCCATCCCTGTCAGCGTCTCGTCCGCGGCTCTGCCCCTCTGCTCTCTGTGCACCATGCTGCTCTATTTTATTACAGCGCTCGGGAAAAAACGTCGTCAACACAAGGAAATGGAAAACCAGAAGTTCCTTTCAAAAGAGCGCGCCTGGCCCGGGCACACGCGCACACGCACGCCCACCCTGCGCCCGAGGAAAAGACTCCGAGGTGGCGTCACTGCGTTGTGTGGACAGGGAGAGAGGGAGAGAGGGAGAGAGAGGGAGAAAGAGAGAGAGGGAGACAGAGAGAGAGAGAGGAAGAGAGAAGGAGAAAAAGAGAGAGGAGACAGTGAGAGAGAGAGACAGACAGTGAGTCGAGGGAGAGAGAGGAAGAGAGAGGGAGAAAGAGAGAGAGAGAGGGAGACAGAGAGAGAGAGGAAGAGAGAGGGAGAAAGAGAGAGAGGGAGACAGAGAGAGAGAGAGACAGACAGTGAGAGAGGGAGAGAGAGAGAGAGAGAGAGGGAGAAAGAGAGAGAGGGAGAGAGAGAGAGAGACAGACAGTGAGAGAGGGAGAGAGAGAGAGGGGGGGGCAGAGGGGGGACAGAGAGAGGACGAGAGAGGGAGACAGAGAGAGGGAGACAGACAGAGAGAGAGAGAGAGAAAGAGAGAGGGAGACAGAGAGAGAGAGACAGAGAGAGAGGGAGACAGAGAGAGAGACAGAGAGAGATAGAGAGGGAGACAGAGAAGAGAGACAGACAGACAGAGAGACAGACAGAGAGAGGGAGACAGAGGGAGAGGGAGAGAGAGGAAGAGAGAGAAAGGGAGACAGAGGAGAGGGGAGACAGAGAAGAGAGAGAGACAGACAGCGAGAGAGGGAGAGAGAGAGAGAGGTGGAGAGAGAGAGAGGGGGGGGGGGGGGCAGAGGGAGAGAGGGAAAGAGAGAGATAGACAGAGAGAGAAAGAGAGAGAGAGACAGAGAGAGAGAGAGAACAGAAAGACAGACAGAGAGGAGAGGGAGAAGCGAGAGAGAAGGAGAGAGACGGAGAGAGGGAGAGAGACGGAGAGCAAGGGAGGAGGAGAGAGAAAGAGAGGAGAGAGAGGGACGAGAGAGGGAAGACAGAGGGAGAAAGAGAGAGAAGAGAGACGAGACACGACAGCGAGAGAGGGAGAGAGAAGGGGAGACAGAGGGAGGAGAGGGGGATCGGGGACAGAGAGCCGAGGGGGGGGAGAAAAGGAGAGAGAAAAAGAGAGAGAGAGACCATACTTTTGCATGTGGAAACCGGGCTCACAGCTGGTTATCGTTTCCATTGCGGTGTTGACAAAAGTACTTATTAATATGGGCTCTGATCACAGTATTAATCGCTGTAATCATATCCCTCACTGAAAGTGAAAGACCATAAAGGTAAGTACTGAAGGTTTGTGTGTAAGATGATTGAAACGATTGATTGATTTTCTTAAGTCGAGCAGAAAAATCTACAATATGTAACCTTCCTTAGTTTACGTGCCCGTTTTTGTTACATGTTGCCTAGTGTCTTAACAGTACAGTAATATACTTACACATGCAAATATATAAATATACAAACAAGCAACAGTATTTTTCTCCTAAAAAACTTTCCACTTTTAATTACAATTTTGTTTGTATTTGTGATGTACCATAATGCATTTCCCTTTACAATTTTTTGTCCTGCTCAAAAATGGATTTAGGAAATAAGTAAAAACGTGGAGAGACCCCCACCCCATGAAATATTTTCAAATACGTCATGAATGAAGTTTTAGCATTGATAAGTAAAATACAATACCCAAAATAAAAAACAATTATTCCTTGTACTAGCCCTAAATCACAACATAATTTTCAATGGTTTTGTTAAGTCCCACTGAGAGGACTTACAAAACCATTGAAATCACGAATTCACAGATCAGGAGAATCAACAGTAAAAACACAAAAAGAATATGAACAAGAAAAAAAAAAGAAAAAAGTCCATACATGTTTGAAGAAAATGTTTAAGGTCCCGGGATCATCTCCAACCAGTCTTTTTGTTGGACACTAACCACAGACCCTCCTGCATCGGCAAGGAAAAACTCATAATAAGAACCCAGTTGAGGAAACAAGTAACAGGTAACATTCCATCATGCATGGGCAGTAATATTCATCAATTAACGCAACTAAAGACAATTACCCCTACAGGATAGAAAGTACAGTAGGTTTGGGTTTAAAAGTACAACGTATTCAGAAAAATAAAATAATCAGTAAGTAAAGTACTTAAGATAAGAGGAAAAAACAACATCAGTAAAAACACTAAGGTGACATGTCGCCTCCGTCACATTGGTTCAGTACAAGTACACAGTCCAACATGTCTACACTTTCTTATAGCACAAAACGAACAGCACTCCATCATTTCTATTTACAGGAATTCACTTTTTAGACCCCAATATTTTACATTATGTCAACATGAAATCCTGTGAAAAATCCTTGTTGCTGAAGTAAGTGTTGTATAATATGGGTATAATGTGAACGTTTGGAAGCCACACATCTGTCAAACACAGAAAAAAGGCTTAGTTTCTCATAGACTTTACACAAAGAATTTTCACAGAAAAAAGGCAAGACAAAAAGTTGCCTATGGACGTCCCCTCTTTCACCCTCGCCGCACTGTTCCTTTTATAATCTTTAAAAATGCTATAAAAGCTGGAAAATGTCTGATCCGATAAACTCTATGCTCTTTCTCTGAGCTTCATGTTCTGACATTTGATCCTAGGACGCCCAAACATTCCACCTCCTTGTCCGGATTTATCCAGATTTTCATTCCTAAGCCATTAGTATTTCACCAATAATCCAGGTTTTGTTTAGAAATATCCTTTACAAACACATACAGTATACCAAATAGTGGCATAAGTCATCTTTATATATAATGGGCACATTTACCGACTAACCTCAAAGTCCTCAAATAGCGTCTTTAAACACTTTCACGTTCGAAAGGCGACTGCAATTTCTGTGTGGTAGAAAGCCAGTCTGAGAGAATTACATTTTCAGTCTAGGATTTAAAAAGACCAAAGTTACTGAGATGGTGCAGAGTCGGGGGCCAGTTCGACAGAGAATGCCTGATCCAAACTGAAATGATACGTTTATATGTTTCAAATAGATAAAAGGCTGCGAGCCAAATACATAAAAGCATAATAAAATACTTATTACTACAGTTGAAAGTGGATCTTGCAGACAAGTGTGCAAACAACAAAAATTTTGACAACATTAAGTTTTAAAGGTTAAATAAAAAAATAAAAAAAGTTTAGTGATGCACCATAATGTCATGTGGCCGAGCTTGTTATAATTGTCTACATAATTCAGACTTGTATCAATAGATTGTCACATGAAACTATCGTTATAAGCTTTCACAAGTTTCTCGATAGTTCCTGTG